TTCTGGATATTTTTTCTCAATTTGTCTGTCATAGTTGACGTGTACCTATGATGAAAATTACAGGCCTCTCTCATCTTTTTAAGTGGGAGAACTTGCACAATTGGTGGCTGACTAAATACTTTTTTTCCCCACTGTATGTGAAACTGTGAAACTGTGAAACTGCGAAACACTATAGGGAGAGGTTCTCATCTGAATCTGAGAGGCTTTTATCTGAGGGGACCAGATCGAGAGGCTAATTTGAGCCAGCAGCACGATCAAGGCAGAGAACAAGTGGCCGTGTTTTGTGTCAGCCCCTCGTTAAACACGCCTGAACACACCCCTGATTGGACACAGTGGCGACTTAACGACGACTGACAGGTCTGTGCCTTCAGCTCAGCCTGCATGCAGCCCCCGAATCTGCTCGAGTAATCACTGAGCACCTAAACTGCTCATCCAGTGTGTGTGTGTTTGTGTGGTGTGTGTGTGTGTGTGTGTGTGTGTGTTTTTCATTTTACTGTCCTTGTGGTGATCAGAAGTCCTCACAAGGATATTAAAACAAGGAAAATTCGGACAAGTGGACATTTCACCAGTCCCCACAAGGAAAAATGCTTTTTTAGGCTTGAGGGTTAGGTTTGTGTGTGTGTTCATGTGTACATGCATACATGCACTTGTATCTAAGCAGGTTACGACAAAACAGTGCATATGCAGTTTGTTGTATTCAGTCAATGGGCCTACACCAGTTATCAAGTTGAATTATCCACAGCCTACTCCATAACTCCATAAGGTTACAGTTTTAAGGACTTCTGGAATCTGACATTTCCGAAGCAGTCCACAAATGGAGTTGTCATCAGTGAACCTATAGCTGAAGTAGGCCAGGTCAGGAAGCCTCTGTTTTCTTTACAACATGTGTTTTATCACTCAGGGTAACCCAGGAGTTAGCTGGGATATGAATGGATGGATGCAGCTCTAACATATTGGCATTTCCTTTAGCTGCTGGGGTTACATACAGAGCCCGTCAAAGACCACAGGAATGAATGTACATACATGTTCATCAAATAAAATATTACTGTAGAGGCCTCAAACTCAACTCTGGACCTCGAAGCCTTTTTTTTTTTGAGTTCCCTCTAATCAGAGACTGATTTAGACCTGGTACAGCAGGTGGGTGCAATTAATTATCAGGTAAAACAGAAACCCAGCAGGCTCCGGACCTCATAGGGTAAGAGTTGAATACCCCTGCTGTAGACTATTATTTTTGCTCCATTAGTCTGTGGTACAAGAGCACCCCCCCCCCCCCCGATAACCTGTCTAGATAGTCTAAATGAGGAGAGACTATCTAAGTCAATCTAAATTGTACTTTATAGTGCTTTTTGTACGAAGATATATCCCTTACTTACAGCCCTATCTTGACTCAGAGTCAGCTGCTACAAGAATGTTGCCATGAGGAAATCACATCATTTCCCCTCTGCCTGTAAGCTATGGACGAATGTGAATGCCCATGTCAACAATGGCAAGTTGGATGTCTGCACACCCTGCAAACCTTCAGCCATCACTGGAAGTATGCATAACTGTCATAACAAGGCTAAACCTTTAGCCAACGAGTTAGGTAACGGTTTCTGTCGTCACAGAGTAGTAATGGTGATTGCCACAAGCTGTCATAATTGTTCATTAAATATTGTATGTTATGACAATGTTATGTAGTGTTATAAAGTTATTTGTTTATGTACTTAGCCATATGTTAAGTGCTCGTTAGTTACGCTCCCTAAGTGTTACCAATTTGTTTGTCCTCAATGCAATGCAATGCACACCTGCAGAATCCATCTATAGGATAATTGAGTTGTGGGGTGAGTGGACTACTGGTACTGTTCATCTCTGGGCTCGGACTGAGGGGTGTGGGTGCGTGCGTGCATGTGTGAGCGATAGAGAGAGAGAGAGAGAGAGAGAGAGAGAGAGAGAGATTGGGAGGGTGCAGACTTGGGTGAAGAGGGCAACTCTGCTCCCCTCACTCAACTGAGAAAGGCAGCCCAGCGGGGGAGAGGTATGTCTTTGTCCCACAGGTCAGCCTGGGGCGCGTGTGTGTATGCGTGTGTGTGTGTGTGTGTGTATGTGTGTGTGTGTGTGCGTGCATTTAAGAGTGAAAAAGAAAGACTGTGAACGAGAATGAGGCAGAGTGTTGGTGTGAGTGTAAACGGGAGAGAAAGTGTGTGGTTCCTGAAAACCCTTTGTGTTTCTTTTCCTTTCTTTTCCTTTTCTGTGCACCACCAGTCTCCTTCCAGGATGCCTGTGATGTCATAAAACATCAAAGCTACTGCTTCACAGCAAACAGGTTGGCTCAACAAAAACCTGTTTACGTCTACGCTATTGGCTCTTCCCTCTTTCAGAAGAACTACAGTTTTGCTAACCAAGTCAAAGGCCTCTCTTTCTCCTTTCTCTCTCTCTCTTCACTCTCTCTCTCTCTCTCTCTCTCTCTCAATCCCTCTCTCTTTCTCCTCCGCTCACTCCCTCTCTCTCTCTCTCTTTCACCTTCTCCCCCTCTCTCTCTCTCTCTCTCTCTCTCTCTCTCTCTCTCTCTCTCTCTCTCTCTCTCTCTCTCTCTCTCTCTCTCTCTTTCTTTCTCTCTCTCCCTGCTCTCTTTGACTCTGCAGTGGGGTCTGAGGTTTGCCTTCTTTGGGGAATAAGAACATCTGGGCTTGTGAGTGCAGGAGAAAGCGATAGAGAAGTAAAACTCTTGGAGCTGCTCCGCACATTTCCTGTGTTTTTGAGGTTAAGCTGTTTTCCCTCTCCCCCTTCCCTTTCCCCTTCTCTCTCTCCCTCTCCCTCTTTCTTTCTCTCTCTTTCACTCTCTCTATGTACTTCCCAACAGTCTGGCAGGAAGACGACCTCTAACAGACGTGGAGACCCTGTGTGTGCTTTAGTTCTCACTATCTCACAGGTCTTTCCCCTGTGTTTTGTCTCGGCTGTGGTCCTTTTTGTGTTGGGATGCCAGAGTTTTCACAGTGACGGTGTGGTTCCAGGAAGGGTGTGAGTGTGTGAGTTGACAGGATCCCTCCTCTCTGAGAGTGTGCAGATGGTGCCGGACAAGAGACCTTTAGGACAGCTCCAACTGCAGGTATGTGCCATCGGCTGCATGTATCACACACAAACACACTTCCAGCACTTTCTGATAAGAGCCTTACCTCCTGGTCAGTTTAGGTAAAAGTAGGGATTTCTCTCCTTTCTTTTCTCTCTCTTTCTGCTTCTCTAACACTTACAACTAACAATTAGAGCAGTAGACGTTTACTGGAAACTTTCTCTGAAGAGTGTTATCATCTCTTCAGCACGTAAAAGTCTTGCACAATGTCACGCCACTCTTCATTAATGACTCTGCTCTAAGGATGTATGGTTTAGACATTAACTGTTGCAGTAACACAGACATCCACACAGGAACACAAACCTTTCTGTTTGCGCTGTGCTAACATTAAGTTGTAAAATACTGGACTTCCCCTTCAAGTTAACCAGTTGTTATTAAATGTCATGTTAATGTTAAGTGCACGTAGATAGGCAGAGAAAATGATAAGTGTTGATCTACTTTTTTTTGTGTGACTCCCTCTCAAAAATGAAACTTGAGGAATCTACCGCACACCCCACACATTAGCCAAGGTGCAGAAAGATGAGTGAACAGAAGATGATGCCCTTTTGATGCCTTCTTAGAAAAGTCAGATACATTTCGTTTTTTTTTCTAGAGGGCTATGAGGAGGTATGCTACATTGTTAGCTTGCCTAACAATTGCCCAACAAAACAAATATGTTTTCCATTTAACTACAGTGACTAATCACAGACAATAGAAACAGCAGGCAAAATGTTAACAGACCTATTCTAGCCTACCAGCAATCTTTCTACACTTTCTCTTTACTGTTCTCTCTGCTCAAAGGCTCTATGTGGTCAGTTCTAGTCTAGAAATTGACTCTCTAGCATAGAAATAGACTCTCTAGTCATTCTATTTCTATGGTCCTAGCCTACCTTTGTCTGGCTGACAGATGAAAGGCTGCTAGCTTTCACTACGCTAACGAAGTAAAGTACGTCTGGCAGAATGGGAAGTGGCACGCAGGCTCCAGTTCGCGCCCTCCTTTGATCCTCGCTCCCCCCGCCCCCCGATGCCATTTCCAGCACCTCGCTGGGGTCACACAGATTAACCCCTTGTTTCCTGCAATGGGGGCTTGTTTTGAAGTGAAATGGAGGGTGAAAGCGTTTCCGGAGCGAGTCGCCTGTAGAGTAGACTGCTGGCTGCATTTGGTTTCTGGGTCAGATGGAGTAAAAAATCCTGATTATAGACAGACTTCGTGTTGGAGAGTTATTTTTTATTTTTTTGTATTCACTTATTCCTTCAGGTTTTGCTGACTATTAGGTGGAGATGGAACTAGTAAGTCGGTCATTGCTGAGGCAATCGTCCTGAGGTATCTGAGAGACATTGAAAGACTAGAGAAACTGCCTGATTGTGGGGAGTCCATTTTGTGCCTCCTATACATCAAGCCCCATCGTAAAACTAGAGCCTGTTGTTTCCAATGGGAGCAAATGAATCATAGTGGGCAGAACAAGCAAGGAGGTGGGCAGAGCCAAGCACGAGCTAGTTAGATCCTATTGGTGCGTTCTAGCATTTATTTGCATATTTCCATTAGGGAACGCCGACTCTGTGAAGTGCGAGTGTGCAATAACTCAAACGCAGTCCACTCTGTTTGTTACAGATTTTAGTTTTGGAAACAGAAAACTGTATGGAGATCAAATGTTTCATCGTTGAGAAAATGTGCAGAATGTCGGCCAAAGTCCAAACTCGCTCCATCTTCACCCACTGCCGGCCACTGGGCTTCCTCTCATCACCATATTTGGTAGTGAGTGGAAACACCAACCGGATGCTTCACATTTATACATCCAGTGAAATATTTGTCTCATTGTTCTGTGGTAAAACCCTTTCTCAGGCCTCCATCAATACATCTGATACAGCTCTGAGCTCCTGCCACAGAAAACCAACCAACAGACATTGAGCCAAAATGGCGGCGGGTGGGGTCCATTCCTGGATGTTGTTGACCCTGATGGCTGTTCTACCACATGCCTGTGCCCAGCAGAGTCTGGTGCAGGTGAACTCAGGGGTCCAGGTAGGCCGGGGGAGGTCTGTGTTTGTGACAGACAAGGAGCTGCAGTTCAACGTGGACCAGACATCAGACTGTAAGGTGGAGGTGGTGCTCAATGAGCCGGTGACTCAGAGAGTGGGGAAACTCACTCCTCAGGTGAGAGGATCAAGTCTGTGTTACTTTTCAATGATGACAAATGCAAACAAAGCTAAAACAAAGCGGCCATTTTGTTTCTGCTTCTTTACTAGCCACCCATTGCAGTCTTTAGAATATATCCACATTGCTATACCATAAGTGTATGATTTCATATGATATAACAGTGTATGTGAACTACAAAACTTTCTTAGAATGTGTAGCTATTGTAACAGGGTGTTCTACTGTGTGGTTGTGCATGCTCTACATCAGTGTGTTGCTGTCTAGTTATGTGAAGTTTAATGGTGTCGTCACTGATTTTGTTGCAGGTGTTTGATTGCCATTTCCTGCCTGATGAGGTGAAGTACATCCATAATGGTAGTCCCCTGCTGGAGGAAGACATGGTCATGTTGAGGGTATACAGGTAGGACCACATACATTCAAATTCAAACTTTATTCATAGTGCTTTTAACACACGTCACACTTCATTAACTGAGATGAATGAAAACAAGGCGAGAAAATAGATGTTGTTGATTGTGTTGAGTCAGGAGTGGTAGTGCTGGTCTAGAACAAAAAGGTGAGGTCCCACCAGGAATGGATTGAGAAGCACTGCTGTGTAGTTTTATTCATTGCACTCCAAATTCAACGTTTGTTATAAAATGTTTTCAGATCTCAAAAGTAGTCAAGATGAATGTGCTCCAACTTCTTCCAGGTTCACAGACTCCGACACCTTGGTGGAGATGGTGGTGTTGAGGATGATTGTGGTGGAACCTGAACGCAGCCTGGTAGAGCTGGGCAGCACTCCCCTGGTGGTCCCCCAGTTCTACGGCCTGTCCAACGCCATCGACGGCGCCGTCCTTACCATCCGCAGTCAGCCCGACGTGGCCTGCACCGTGCGGCTGCTCACCCCAGAGACCAGTGTCCCCTCCCTGGGGCAGCTGGTGACTGAGGAGGACCCTGGGCTGAGGAAAGGTAAAGCATGGCATCATTCCATATCTCGCTACTGGTCAACACGTTGGAAATGCAATGATATTGAAGGTGCTTCATGAGTATGTTGTGTTGTTGTGAACATGAGTTCGAATCCCAGTTCCCTCATGGCAGGGATGGACGATCCGATGCAGAATTTGGATCAGTAGGCCTATTATCAATGCAGTCTTATAGACGCAGTGATTTAGTTATTGTATAATTATTTGGCCTAGATCCAGACTGGCATTACAGATGTAGGATCTTAATTTGATCACCCTGTTGCAGGAGAACTTTTAGTGTATTTGAGGTTTAAAAAGGCTTCTGAAGTTTGTCATTTCCTAAAATAAATGTATACAATGTCAGACTTGATTTTCCCTTAAGAAAAATGCATTAACCCCTACAAAAATATCCATTAATTATGATCCACATAATAATTCCCATTTCCTGTTGCTGCAGGATTATTTTCCTGCTGTAGTAAACTTTCTCAAATTAAGATCCTACATCTGTATGGCATCACATCTGGGAGCTTTTGTCCTGCTTTTGTCCTGTACAGCAAAGTAATCAAACACTGTCACTCACTTTTGTTGTGACTTGAATGTGATTTTGGAAAGCCACTCTCTTTGATTCCTCTCAGTAGTTGCTCTGTATATTTAACAAGCCTCAGGTAAACTTCCATTGATTGACATACATCTCCCAACGATCATTCACCCAAGGCAGACAAACTGGAGACCCCTGTCCGGGAAACAAGCCCTGTCTCCATGGCACCAAGGAGGTGCGTTTCCTCAAAGCCACATGCCACGAGTTCCTCAGCTCGGCTCTGAGGTACCAGCACCTGAGTCCCCCCTCTCCGGAGATTGATTACATCCCTATCAGAGTGGAGCAACGGGACCAGACCTCCAGAGCACTGCTGGAGGTAAGAGACTACTGTAACTGTAACATACTGTATGGCAGGGTTCCCCAATAGGCGGCCCGCGAGCCAAATTCATCCCACTCTTGGTTACGGAACTGGATTCTTAATAACCCATGGTGATCTTAAATATTAGTGATAGCCATACTGTGCAAAGCAGACGTTATATTTTCTCCCGAGATTGCAAAACAATTAGTATGTTGATGTAGAGCCCATCGGTTATGAATGTTTCAACCTCTGTGTTGAGAAGTCGTGTTTTTCCCGTCAATTCCTGGTTTCAAAGAGCACCAAAGACTACACTAACCATGAGCCTTAGCGTTTCTGCCACCAGACCCTGGGTCTGTTCTAACACAACCAACATGTTCAGGTTGCGCCTGTGACAGTGCTATCGAGTGCCGTCATGTGTTCTCTAACAGATCTTATGGTTTATTTTAGGTATATAATATAATTTATTGTGGCAATTCTCTCAGTGTAATTGTGGTAGAATCCATGGTTTTGGCTCATGCTTGACTAAGCTAGCAACAGTAACTAAGGGGGGCAGGACCTTTTTTTCATTTTTTATTTTTTTTTGGGGGGGGGGGGGGGGGGGTAGATCAGCTTTAATATTGCAGATAGATTGTAACTTCAATCAATGTAATTGTCTGCATCACTTCCAATCCCCCATATGGTTTTTTTCTCGCAAATATACACTACCGTTCAAAAGTTTGGGGTCACTTAGAAATGTCCTTGTTTTCGAAAGAAAAGCAATTTTGTTGTCCATTAAAAAAACATCAAATTAATCAGAAATACAGTGTAGACATTGTTAATGTTGTAAATGGCTATTGTAGCTTGAAACGGCTGATTTTTTATGGAATATCTACATAGGCGTACAGAGGCCTATTATCAGCAACCATCCTGTGTTCCAATGGCACGTTGTGTTTGCTAATCCAAGTTTTACATTTTAAAAGGCTAATTGATAATTAGAAAACCCTTTTGCAATTATGTTATGCAATTCCATGCGAGAAATTGCCAAGTAACTGAAGATCTCGTACAACGCTGTGTACTACTCCCTTCACAGAACAGCGCAAACTGGCTCTAACCAGAATAGAAAGAGTGGGAGGCCCCGGTGCACAACTGAGCAAGAGGACAAATACATTAGAGTGTCTAGTTTGAGAAACAGACGCCTCACAGGTCCTCAACTGGCAGCTTCATTAAATAGTACCCGCAAAACATAACAAAACATCTTAATCTTTTCTTTTTATTGGCCAGTCTGAGATATGGCTTTTTCTTTGCAACTCTGCCTAGAAGGTCAGCATCCCAGAGTCGCCTCTTCACTGTTGACGTTGAGACTGGTGTTTTGCGGGTACTATTTAATGAAGCTGCCAGTTGAGGACCTGTGAGGCGTCTGTGCACCGGGGCCTCCCACTCCTCTTTATATTCTGGTTAGAGCCAGTTTGCACTGTTCTGTGAAGGGAGTAGTACACAGTGTTGTACGAGATCTTCAGTTTCTTGGCAATTTCTCGCATGGAATAGCCTTAATTTCTCAGAACAAGAATAGACTGATGAGTTTCAGAAGAAAGTTGTTTGTTTCTGGCCATTTTGAGCATGTAATCAACCCCACAATTGCTGATGCTCCAGATACTCAACTAGTCTCAAGAAGGCCAGTTTTATTGCATCTTTAATCAGCACAACAGTTTTCAGCTGTGCTAACATAATTGCAAAAGGGTTTTCTAATGATCAGTTAGCCTTTTAAAATGATAAACTTGGATTAGCAAACACAACGTGCCATTGGAACACATGACTGATGGTTGCTGATAATGGGCCTCTGTACGCCTATGTAGATATTCCATAAAAAATCAGCCGTTTCCAGCTACAATAGGCATTTACAACATTAACAATGTCTACACTGTATTTCTGATCAATTTGATGTTATTTTAATGGACAAAAAATTTGCTTTTCTTTCAAAAACAAGGACATTTCTAAGTGACCCCAAACTTTTGAACGGTAGTGTATATATATATACATTTACTGTACATACACAGGACTTAGAGATATTTAGCAAATTAGTCCAGAGGTCACGTGACTTGTATCTGCTCTGTGATTGGATGATACAGACCGCAATGCTGTATGGGATGAGTTGTTTCCCATCTGACAACAAAAGTTCCCACAACTTTAGAGAATCTCATTTGTTCATTACCTAACGTTTTCATAGTAATGTTCCACTAACGTGCAAGGACCGTTTCCAAGAGACCCATTCCCGTAATGTCAAACAGAAACTACCCAGAACGTGGTTACCATGTTCTCAGAATATTCAATATGAATGTTTCATGGGAAGGTTGCAAGAACATTCCTGTGTCCAGTTTTCTGTGGGTTAGGAGAATATTCCATCAACATCCCACCAAACATACACAGAACATGGTTGCCATGTTCTCAGAATATAAGATATTAATGTCGCTGCTCACCTCAGTTTAGTCAACAAAAACAAAAACAATAACAAATGCGCCTGGGGTGACCAGTGGCACTATTTCCCTCTTCAATCACAGCTTTAAGTAGTATTTCATTAGAAAATAAAGGTATATTGAACCCATTCAATGCCACTAACCTCTGTCTGTCCCCCAGACGGAGGCTGTGTGGCTGCCCGTGCTGATCCATGGGGCCATGCAGAACCAGCCTCCGCAGGCCGCCTTCATGGCCTCCTTCATCCTGGAGGTGGACCAGTTCATCCTCACCCCCCTGACCACGGCCGCGCTGGACGCCAAAGACGGAGAGACCCCCCAGGAGCGCCTGGTGTTCAACGTGACAAAGCCCCCCGCCCAGGGCTACATCGCCCACCTGGACGACCACACCAAAACCTGCCACTCCTTCACCTGGCAGGACCTACACGAGATGAAGATAGCCTACCAGCCGCCCAATAGTAGTCATACAGGGAGGAGGAACTATGAGGTGGAGCAATAGAGCTCTTGTGTCCTTTTCACACTACTGAGCCAAGCTAAGCCGAGCCGAGACAAGCTTGTACTGAGCTGGCCTGCTCGTTAATGAAAAATGCTTTCCAATGCCTTTTTTCATCTTCAAAGTCACATTAGAGAGATTGTAACTGTCGAATGAGTGGAAACTTAATATTGAACTAACACTATGTCTGTTCTATTTTCTACAGGTTGAGTTCCAGGTTATTGATGGTTCCTATGTAGCCAGCCCACCCATTATGGTTCACTTCTCCATCAGAGCAGCAGAGACAAACGCACCCAGAGTCTCCTGGAACATGGGTAACTTCACATCAAAACATCACATTGAAATGCAAGACATTACCATCATAAGAGATTGAATGATGCAAACCCATTGAATAGCTTTTATTTATGTCTGTATTGTAGGCTTCTATATGTGCTATATAGCGGAATGTAAGACAGTCCACAATGGAAAAAAGGTGTTTATTCAGTTTATCCACTTGTGTGGCTGAATTGTGTTTTAAAATGGTCAAATAAATCAAATCAATAAATGAAAAATACACCGATAAAAACAGGATGTTTATACCAACCTATCCTGGCAGGGTTGAATCTGTTGGAGGGTCAGTCTCGACCAATCACCTGGGAGGATCTCCAGATCGTGGACAGTGACAACATTGATGCTGTCTACCTGGTGGCCGTTGATGGACCTCTGCATGGACGACTCAGTGTCAGAGGTGAGAGGTCAGATGGGGTGGGTTCAGTTAGGTGAAACGTTCAGAACATTGCAGGTAGAACTGTAACAAATATAACTATCTTGATATGATACATATGAAAAATATGAGACAAGAAAACATTGTCACTAAATATCACAATTAAAAGTAAAATAATGCATAAACAAAACATTTGTTGATTCATTGATGCACTTCCTTATCACACAACATTCAGGGAAATAGTGATACATTTTTTAACCCTTCCTTGGAATTCTGTGATGGTATCTGGAGTGCCACCCTGAAGATTCCCAGGAACGCCTGCCCTTTTCCGCCCTTTTGCTTCCATGTGTTTCCCATCCGTCGGGGACGGCGGCGAGGCTCGGGAAGCATATGTGAGGTGGCCTGCATGTGTTTCCTAATCAGGTGTAAAATGGGCCGTCGCCACTTTCGCCAGGGGCACTCGCATACGAAGCTGTCTTCAGCGTGCTGGCGTCTGTCCTTCCACTCCAGCGCACGGGGAGACAGGCCTTTGTTTGCACAGGCCCTGAGTGAAGCAGATTGGGGAGACTTATGCCATTTCATGCCATTGTGCACAAAGAGCAGATGCGCATTCCCAATCGCAGACCTGAGAGAGAGAGAGAGAGAGAGAGAGAGAGAGAGAGAGAGAGAGAGAGAGAGAGAGAGAGAGAGAGAGAGAGAGAGAGAGAGAGAGAGAGAGAGAGAGAGAGAGAGAGATGATAATGCTCCAAGGGGTTTGAAGACGACGGACAAGGCTAGGGACATAACCTTTCACTTTGGACAGTGAGAGAGAAGCGCAATGCTTTGTGTGGTTTTATTGAGGTTACAGTAGTGACGTGTACGACTGAGTGGCTATAGCTATTGTTTTCAACCCCTCATAAGGGACAATTGTACTCTGTCAATCTGGGCTGTGTGGAAGGCTAGTCCCTTATAGAGAGGCTGAGCTGGTGGTTTCTTTCAGTTCGGTAGTTTCCTGTTTCGACTAACTTCAGTTCCCATCGGCCACTAACTCCATCCCATTCCCTCCTGTAGGGCCATCCGATGAACAGCAGCACCTGCTCAAAAAAACGTCCCACCCACACCCATCCCGCTATCACTTTAATTGCTGTTTATGTTGTTGTTATTTGGAGGGGGAGGGGCGTTTTCATACTGAGATGACCCCCCCGTGATAGATAGAGAGCGAGAAAAAAATAGAACCAAAAGTTTTGGCTCCCATTCTCCCTTATCAGAACCTGTTTGCTCATTTTCTACATGGCTCCATTCAGTTCCGCGAGAGTTCTGGCCCACCAATACACAGTGTCTCTGGAGGAGTTGGCGGGAAGAGGGAATTGTTCACCCTTGACCTCCGACTCGGGACGTCGACGCTGGGGAGTGTCAGCGCACGTTTGGTCCAACGCCTTCAGCCAAATGGAAAGCTGCCTGACTGTCCCTCTACACTCCACACTGTCCTCCGACTTGGGAACCTGTGTTTTTTTGTTTTTTTGGGCCTGCTGCCCACTGCCACCTTTGGGCCCAATTACCAAGTTGTTTCTCCGTTGGACTTGTAGCCGTTTCCCCCATTTCCCCCGCAGTAAAGTTGCTGCTAATGAGGTTTCGTGCGCGACCATTCATCACTCAATCTGTCTGGTGACCTTGCCCTTCTGTCTCCCTGGCACGCAGGAGTGGGCCATCGTCGCGTTGGGCAGCAGCCACAGCACGCTAGCCTGGGAAGGACGCCATCTTTCCCTCTCTGTTTTTCAGCGACAGGGAAAAGCCTGAGCCAGTGCATAGTGCCTTTAGGCGAAAGCGAAACTTGTTATTTCCAAATGACAATATGCGTCCAACATAAAAAACAGCTTATTTGTGGGGAAATCATTAATAAATGAAAACATGAAGTTGCTTTGGCTAAAGTGGGGGATGTCCACTTTAGGGTGCTTCTCATAACACATGTCAAATATCCAAGTGAACAATTTCCTGATGTACTGTATCATTAGCCTTAATATGCCGTAGTGGGGTTAACTTACAGTACATGGCACCGGTAACACTTTACTTGACACCCAGCTTCATAACACGTTATGACACAGTCATAACCATGTCATAATATGTCATATCAGCTGACGTAACTTGTCATAACCTGTCATAATATGGTCAAAACACTGTCATGACACATATTTAGACCTGTTGTGACATATTGTATCATTTTATGGCTGGTAATGACACCTAAATAAGATTGTCAAAACCCACAAAACATACCACACAAGGCAAGACATTCCATTACACCATAGCCTACTTGTCAACAGTATGTTTGTTATTTAACATTTTCTGAAATTAACAATATTAAATTATCATTGTAATTGCGCACAAATTGATGTCAGACATGCACCTACCCCAATGCTCTGTTGCTGATGACTAGGATGAATGCAGGAGCAGATTTCAGGAGCAGGACAAGACACCCTCTTTTTGACTGATGACTGACATAAGGGCATGTATGTGATAGGCCTATCTGACTTGTATGATTTTGAAGATCATAATGCTTCTTGACAGTGTCATAAAGTGCATTTTCTTTGTCCAAGTGAAGTGACACAGGATGGTCATAATGCTTCATGACAGTGTCAGGAAGTGTATTTTCTGCAAGTTATTTAAAATATGATGAAAAAAACATGACTGTAAATAATGAATTACAACAACAACAAAGCACTTAGGAAACAAACTTTTTAATGAAAGTACACTTCTTGGAAGGGAAAAAACACATTTTAATAAATGTGGGTTTTGACATTCTTATGTAGGTGTCATAACCAGCCATAAAATAACGCAATATATGTCAACACGTGTAAATATATGGGTCATGAGTGTTATGACCATATTATGACAGCTGTTATGAAATATTATGACTTGGTTATGACCGCTGGGTGTCAAATAAAGTCTTACCATGAGGACATACTATACGCTATAGTGACCCAAATTTTAAAAAGAAAATACTAAAGAAAATACTAAAACATTAAACAAGGGTTAAATACATTAAAAAATCAGTCGATTTGAATCTCACTAGCCTACATAAATGAAAAAATCCTCCAAAGAAAAGTCACCTTTCCAATTAATTCATTCCAACTCGCATCTCCTCCCAGGTGGTAAAGGCTTTATGTTCCGGATACGGGACCTCCAAGAGGGTGTGGTTGTCTACCAACACTCGGACAGCGACACCACCCGCGACCACATTGTCTTTCGCATCACAGACGGGCGCCACAGCATCCGCCACAAGTTCCCCATCAACATCCTGCCCAAGGATGACACGGCGCCGTTCCTTATCAACAACGTGGCGTTGGAAGTGCAGGAGGGCGGTGAGGTGCTGGTGGAAGAGTACATGCTGCTGGCCTCCGACCTGGACTCTAGTGATGACTACATCCTGTACCAGCTCCTCAACTTCCCCTGCGCTGGAGAGGTGGTCAAGAAGGCCCACCCACAACAGCCAGGTAATAGGATATCATCACAAATTGTATAGAAAAGCTTTTTTAAAGATTTTCTTTGCTATAATTGCCTGTTAACTTATAGTTCAACCCCATAGAATTGGAATTAAAGCTAGTTAGGTTCAACCTGTGTGTGAACTAGATTGATTGTGTTTGTTGAGGTCTGATGAGGCTAGCCTTAAACATGAGACGGGAAGTTCTCCTTCTGTATATACCATGTTGCATTGAGTAATTCCCATTCTATGCATTCTATGTCTATGTTGGTGACTGGGTTGTGATTTCCTATAGGCGTGCCAGTGAAGAGTTTCCTGCAGAGGGATCTGTTCATGGGGCTGATCTATTATAGACACTCTGGAGAGGAGTTTTTTGAGGACACCTTCGACTTCACCCTCTCAGACAGCCATCAACCCCCAAACCTATCCCACAGACACGTAAGTGTGCAAAGATCTAAACCCGATATTCCATATGGCACATTATTGTTATGTTGCAATACTTGAAATTGGGGATATTTTAACTAGAAGTTGATGGTAAGGCAGTGAATACAGTGAAAGCGAAAAATATTATCTTTAAAAAATCTTTATTGGATCATATGTCTATATTATAACCCCTGTAAATATATGTCCTCTGTGCCCTCCAACCTCAACACAGACTATGGTGGTCCACATTTTCCCGGTCAAAGACCAGCTCCCGGTGGAAGTGTCTGGCAGCGTTCGCTCAGTTACGGTCAGAGAGACTGATGTGGTCTACCTGACCCAGAGTCACATCCACTTCAGAGACACAGAGCACCCAGACACTGACCTCTCGTTCTTCATCACCACACCCTGCTTCAGCCCCACTCGACCAGGGTACAGTACAAGTTCTTTCTTTCTTTCTTTCTTTCTTTCTTTCTTTCTTTCTTTCTTTCTTTCTTTCTTTCTTTCTTTCTTTCTTTCTTTCTTTCTTTCTTTCTTTCTTTCTTTCTTTCTTTCTTTCTTTCTTTCTTTCTTTCTTTCTTTCTCCCCTCTCTCCTCTCCTCTCTCTTTCTCTCTCTCGCTCTCTCTCTTATAGTCACAACATGGTTGTTCACTTCATGGACTTTGCTGTGGTTGTGTCACCAGCTTAGATGAGGCCAATGCGTGCTTAATAAATATTGTTCCAGATGTATTGTTTAATGCTTAAGGTTTATGATGTTTAAAGGGAAAATGCACCTCAATATGAAAATCATGCCACTGTATGCTGGATTTGTACCAAGACAAATCAATCACGCCCCAAGCCTAAATAAATGGGAATGATTGGCACCGTCTAACTGAGTGTGTTTGTGCCCCTGGTTGCAGGCTACCTGATGCAGGGCGACTGTTCTACACAGACAGCACCCACTCCATGAAGAAAGACCCAATGGTCCCTGTGTTAAAGTCATTCACCCAGGTACACTCACCAATATACTGCACCAATACACTGTTATGCATGTAGTGTACAGGTATATTCATTTTGATTACAAATGCCTATTATTACTAAACATCACACAGCAACATGTGTTGTGTCCTTCAGCATGCAGTCAACCACATGAAGGTGGGATACATGCCCCCCATTGAGGACATTGGTCCAGAGCCAGTGTTTGTCCAGTTTTTGTTCTCTGTGAGTGACCACCACGGTGGAACCACCACTGACCTGCTCTTCAACATCACCATCACTCCTGTGGACAACCAGGCTCCTGAGGTGGGGGTTCTATGGTCAAGTAAAATATTTATCAACAACACCCTGTTACATAAAAATTAATAAAGACAAATGCTAGTCAAGTACTGTAGGTGAACAATGTCTTTTATGAACCGCTTTGGTATTGACAATCTTAGAACTGTGACAGTTTGTGATAGATCAGTTGTAAACATTGAAACATTTCAAATGAGAAGATCCATTCCACTCAATATCTGAACCAAACTAATCAATTCTCATTCTCTATCAACTCTGTTTCTATCTCCACCTCCATCTATTTCTATCTCATTATCCAGGTGTTCACCAACCTACTGAGGGTGGAGGAAGGAGGCGGGGCCTTCTTAACGGAGGAGCACCTGTTGGTGCGGGACGGGGACAGCTTGGAGGACGGGCTCAGAGTAGGGGTGCAGACTATGCCCGTCCACGGGAAGCTGGAGCTGCAGGGGCGAGAGCTCCACCAGGGTGACACCTTCATCCTCCAAGACCTGAGAGGTCTGCGGGTCAGGTGGGACACATACTGGCCCGATGCGGGAGCTAGATGATAGAGGGAGGTAGTCCGTGTAAGGACTTGGTTTCGTTTGAGGTTAATCACGGCAACCCAATCTATGTGGGTCCATTTTTCAAAAACCCTATATGTCTCATTGCAGGTACATCCATGATGACTCTGAGACTGTGGAGGACACTGTTGGTCTAACAGTAACTGATGGTGTCAACTCTGCTCATGTGTTCTTACCAGTACAGGTGAGTAGGCTATATAGTCCAGGTATGAAAGGAAAATGGAAAATGTAAGGGAAATGTAGAAAGTGCTAGTGCTATCTTTCTCTTGCGCCATTGTGGCTTTCTCCCACCCTCGCCCTACACAGATCCTACCAGTGAATGACGAGCCCCCCCAACTAGGACCAGCGCTGCGTGGGGGGCTGACATGTGAGGAAGGGGGCAGGGTTCAGGTCACTGCTGAGTACCTGTTTGCCACGGACGCAGACAGTGATGATGCCAGGCTAATCTACATGCTGGCCCGGACCCCTGCCCGGGGGGAGTTGCAGAGAGGGGGGGTCACTGTGGACAAGTTCTCCCAACAGGACGTCCTGCAGGGGCTCATCTACTACATACACACAGGTGACAACTAGCCTGATCCTGGATCTGGTTGTTCTGTCTTACCAATGACCTTAGGAGTTGACCATAGGACCATGACCATAGGACAATGACCTTAGGAGTTGACAAGAAAGCACAAACAGATACAGTGCCTTACAAACTGTAATTTAAATGGATTTTTATTTGGATTTCATGTAATGGACATACACAAAATAGTCCAAATTGGTGAAGTGAAATGAAAAAAATAACTTGTTTCAAGAAATTCAAAAAAATCTATAACGGAAAAGAGGTGCGTGCATATGTATTCACCCCCTTTGCTATGAAGCCCCTAAATAAGATCTGGTGCAACCAATTACCTTCATAAGTCACATAATTAGTTAAAGTTCACCTGTGTGCAATCTAAGTGTCACATGATCTATCACATGATCTCAGTATATATACACCTGTTCTGAAAGGCCCCAGAGTCTGCAACACCACTAAGCAAGGGGCACCACCAAGCAAGCGGCACCATGAAGACCAAAGAGCTCTCCAAACAGGTCAGGGACAAAGTTGTGGAGAAGTACAGATCAGGGTTGGGTTATAAAAAAATATCAGAAACTTTGAACATCCCACGGAGCACCATTAAATCCATTATAAAAAAAATGGAAAGAATATGGCACCACAACAAACCTGCCAAGAGAGGGCCGCCCACCAAACCTCACGAACCAGGCAAGGAGGGCATTAATCAGAGAGGCAACAAAGAGACCAAAGATAACCCTGAAGGAGCTGCAAAGCTCCACAGTGGAGATTGGAGTATCTGTCCATAGTACCACTTTAAGCAGCACACTCCACAGTGCTGGGCTTTACGGAAGAGTGGCCAGAAAAAAGCCATTGCTTAAAGAAAAAAATAAGCAAACACGTTTGGGGTGAATAGTTATGCACGCTCAAATTTTCCGTTTTTTTGTCTTATTTCTTGTTCGTTTCACAATAAAAAATATTTGGCATCTTCAAAGTGGTAGGAATATTGTGTATATCAAATTATACAAACCCCCCCAAAAAATCGATTTTAATTCCAGGTTGTAAGGCAACAAAATAGGAAAAATGCCAAGGGGGGTGAATACTTTCGCAAGCCACTGTATGGGGCCAGGCTAGGTGTGGATCATTGGGGAAAACAATTGGTTAAAAATGCAGATGTTTTATCTATGAGCGCAATGCATAGGTAGCCTGATTTGATCGTAGCATTCAGTCTGGTTTAACCAGGTTAATGCTTGGGTGGAAGGCATATGTAAGTGCAATGAACTCCACTGAATTAACCTAATGCCTTCCAACAGAAGAGAAAGAGTTTGAGAGTCAACTCAACTTTAGACTCCTAGCGGTTAGAGAGGCAAGCCAGCAACCAGAGGGTTGCCAGTTCGATTCCCGGGTCTGACAGGAAAAATCTGGTGAGAAGTGAGCTGGAAGCTGGAGGGTTGCTGGTATCAAATCCTAGCACTTAACCCCCCACAACATCTGCTCCCCGGACGCCCAGTGTGGCAGCCCCCTGCTCCAACCTCCAACCTGCACATGTTTATGTGTCTTTGGGAGGGGTTAAAATAAAGCGGAAGTCACATTTTAGTTGGACCTTGTGTACAATTGACAAATAAAGTGATCTTAATCATCCCACTGCATTGGTCTATCAACCAATAACCAGTGAACACACTGTTACATTAGTTAACTTCCTGTTTTTCTCTGACCAATAGGGGGCGAGATTGGAGCCAGTCCCGTGTCTGACTCGGTCACTCTCATCGTGTCGGACGGAGAAGCAGGGGGCACGGACAGCTGTTGCCATGGAGACGCCCTGCCACCGCCTGTACCTCTCCATGGGACACTTCCTGTTTACGACCTCAACGTGACGGTGCTTCCTGTCAACAACAAGGCCCCAGTCATCACCATAGGTAAGCCTCCTTTCCCCACTTTCACTTCAATGTCATAAAGCAGGGGTGTCAAACATACGGCCCGCGGGCCGGATCAGGCCCGCAAACGGGTTTAATCCGGCCCGCGGATTATAAAAATGCGCTGCAATTTTTCAATAAAATAAACTGCTGTTCCATTTGCGTCCACTGGATGGCGCAATAGCAATTGTGTTAAGCAAGCAAACTGTTTATACCGGGGCAGAGCAAGTAGGTCAAGCACGTGCAGCCAATGAGCTACTTTGTTTTGCCCGCGATATTCATTACGGCTTCTACTTTTAACATTATGTGCTTTGGCACCCTCATTGCCCCAATATGTCTCTGTCAAAAAAGAGAAAAGTGGACGCAGAGTGCAGAGTGTTCCAAGAAAAATTGTCATCCTATTTATTCACGGAATTGAATGGGAAAGCTGTATGTTTGGTGTGTTCAGAGCATGTTGCAGTGCTGAAAGAATATAACCTTCGTCGCCACTATGTGAGTCTTCATGCCGACAAATATGACAACTTTCAAGGACAGCGGAGATGAGAGAAGGTGAATGAACTGTTGGCGGGTCTGAAGAAACAGCAGTCTGTGTTTACTCACAGCCGAGACATCAGTGACGCTGCAGTGAAAGCTAGCTACCTCATTGCTAATGAAATCGCAGTGGCTTCAAAACCATTTAGTGAGGGTGAATTTGTAAAAACATGCATGATGAAGGCAGCGGAGATTGTGTGCCCTGAAAAGCGGCAGGCTTTTGCAAATATCAGCCTGACAAGAAACACAGTTGCAGACAGGATTTCCGATCTTTCAGTGGATTTGGACAGCCAGTTGAAGCAAAAAGTAAAGTCATTTATTGCGTTTTCGGTTGCAATTGATGAAAGCACGGACATTACAGATGTTGCACAACTGGCCATTTTCATCCGCGGAGTTGATGACACATTGAACGTCACCGAGGAGTTTGTGGAGTTGGTGCCGATGACAGATACAACGACAGCAGCTGATATTTTTACCGCACTCGTCGGCGCGCTGGACAGGGTCGGAGTGGACTGGTCCCGCGCTGTCAGCCTGGCTACAGATGGTGCGCCCTCAATGATCGGGAAAAAAAGCAGGCGTTGTGACAAAGTTCAGAGAGAAAGTGCAATCTGCAAATGGAGGACGTGATTTTTTGACTTTTCACTGTATTTTGCACCAGGAGGCTTTGTGTTGCAAGTCATTAAAGATGGATAACGTCATGAAGGTGGTCATCCAAACTGTTAATTTCATCCGATCCAGAAGCCTGAATCACCGTCAGTTTGACAGCCTTCTCAGAGAGAAAGACCACATCTATGGCCTGCCATACCACACTGAGGTAAGATGGTTAAGCCGAGGTGCTGTGCTGAGGCGTTTCTTTGATTTACGAGAAGAAATTGAACAGTTCATGGAAGAAAAGGGCAAACCAGTGTTAGAATTTCATTCCGCAGAATGGATGCAGGACCTTGCATTTATGGTGGATGTTACAGAGCACCTGAATAACTTGAACAAACAGCTGCAAGGGCGCAACAAAGTTGTCACGCAGTATTATGACAGCATACGTTCTTTCAAGTTGAAGCTGTCATTGTGGGAGACGCAACTTGCCGGTGGTGATGCAGCTCACTTCCCCTGTCTGAAAAATGTGTGCGCGACCCAACATGTGGCAGACATGAAGCGGTTCAAAGATAAAATAATGGGACTGTTACGGGAGTTTGAGCAACGCTTTCAGATTTATGTTTATGTTTTTATGTTGATGTGCTATTGTTTTTAATTGATTTTATTTGTATATTTAACCTATTCTTGACTCTGTGGTTCTTGCACTTGTTTGGGGAACAGGATTTCATTATTTTGATCTACATTTCTGCCTGAGAAATGACACCCTGATATAGTTCTGTGATCTGTGATATACTTCTGTGAATCACTGAGGCATTGTGTGTTTGTGTGTTCTTTGTCCTCAGAACTTTCAAATAACTTGAGGTGTTTTATGATTAATAGTGATGTTGTGCTTTTGGACACTGTCCTCAGGCTCCAGCTTTATGTTTATATGTTGATGTGCTATTGTTTTTAATAGATTTTATTTTATTTGTATATTTAACCTATTATTGACTCTGTGGTTCTTGCACTTGTTTGGGGAACAGGATTTCATTATTTTTATCTACATTTCTGCCTGAGAAATGACACCCTGATATAGTTCTGTGATCTGTGAAACAGTTCTGTTAATCACTGAGGCATTGTGTGTTTGTGTGTTCTTTTTCTTTAGAATTTTCAAATAAACTTGACGTGTTTTATGATTAATAGTGATGTTGTGCTTGTACTATTTTGGACACACTGTCCTCAGGCTCCAGCTTTATGTTGTATGTTGATCGTATTAAAACAAAGAAAACAATCTGAAGTTGTTGTTTTTAAGTTATATATACCATGATTTTTCCGGTCCGGCCCACTTGGGAATAGATTTTCCTCCATGTGGCCCCTGAGCTAAAATGAGTTTGACACCCCTGTATAAAGGGACAATACTGGGGTATGGGTTCAAATAGATTCATATATAGAGACATACAGTGCATTCGGAAAGTATTCACCCCTTCCCCTTTTCCACATTTTGTTACGTTACAGCCTTATTCTAAAATGTATTAAATAGAAAATATTACTCATCAATCTACACAGAATACCCCATAATGACAAAGCAAAAACAGGTTTATAGAAAAAACAGACATACCTAATTTACATTAGTATTCAGACCCTTTGCTATGAGACTCGAAATTGAGCTCAGGTGCATCCTGTTTCCATTGATCATCCTTGAGATTTTTCTACAACTTGATTGGAGTCCACCTGTGGTAAATTCAATTGATTGGACATGATTTGGAAAGGCACACACCTGTCTATATAAGGTCCCACAGTTGACAGTGCATGTCAAAAACCAAGCCATCGGGTCGAAGGAATTGTCCGTAGAGTTCCGAGACAGGATTGTGTCGAGGCATAGATCTGGGGAAGGGTACCAAACAATTTCTGCAGCATTGAAGTTCCCCAAGAACACAGTGGCCTCCATCATTCTTAAATGGAAGAAGTTTGGAACCACCAAGACTCTTCCTAGAGCTGGCCGCCCGGACAAACTGAGCAATCGGGGGAGAAGGGCCTTGGTCAGGGAGGTGACCAAGAACCCGATGGTCACTCTGACAGAGCTCCAGAGTTCCTCTGTGGAGATGGGAGAACCTTCCAGAAGGACAAAAATCTCTGCAGCACTCCACCAATCAGGCCTTTATGGTAGAGTGGCCAGACGGAAGCCACTCCTCAGTAAAAGGCACGACAGCCCGCTTGGAGTTTGCCAAAAGGCACCTAAAGGACTCTCAAACCATGGTGGCAGCATCATGCTGTGTGGATGTTTTTCACTAGTCAGGATCGAGGGAAAGATGAACGGAGCAAAGTACAGAGAGATCATTAATGAAAACCTACTCCAGAGCGCTCAGGAGCTCAGACTGGGGCGAAGGTTCACCTTCCAACAGGACAACGACCCTAAGCACACAGCCAAGATAACGCAGGAGTGGCTTCGGGACAAGTCTCTGAATGTCCTTGAGTGGCCCAGCCAGAGCCCGGACTTGAACCCGATCGAACATCTCTGGAGAGACATGAAAATAGCTCTGTAGCTACACTCCCCATCCAACCTGACAGAGCTTGAGAGGATCTCCAGAGAAGAATGTGGTGTGCCAAGCTTGTAGAGTCATACACAAGAAGACTCAAGGCTGTTGTTAACATATAGACTAATATGTTATAAATTGTGTTCTTACACTGGTACAGTTATGCCCTATGAGAGATGTACAACTGCGCATGTGCGGAAATAAAAAAAGGGCATTCCCGCGTTCTGGTTGAAACCCCAACGATGAACATGTGTGTTTATTCCTCCGTTAAGTAAGCCGGTATTCCTGTCCTGAAGATGACAGCACCAACAGGTTATGGGCCCAGGATGGAACATGGAAGCCGATGGAATAGATTATGTTTCGACGGAGATGAAAAAAAACTAAGAGTTATGGGAGACTAAGTTTTTGGGGCACTTGCGTTTGCTAGGGCTAAAGGCCACCATATTGAGCGTGGATGAAGAAGATGGAGAGAAAAATGAAGAAGCCTACGCCGAATTGATACAGGTTTTGGATGATAAAAGTCTTTCCCTGATAATGAGAGAAGCAGCAGATGATGGGAGAAAAGCGTTGAAGATATTGAGGGAACATTATGCAGGTAAAGGGAAGCCACGTGTGATTAGCCTCTACACTGAGCTAACTTCTCTTCAGAAAGCTGCTGACGAAAGTGTTACGGATTATATCATTCGTGCTGAGACGGCTATTACAGCACTGAGGAATGCTGAAGAGACTTTAAGTGACGGGCTGTTGATTGCAATGATTCTGAAAGGTTTGCCCGAATCATTTAAGCCGTTTGCCATCCACATAACGCAGAGTGATGAGCCGACAACTTATGGCAAGTTCAAAACCAAGTTGAGGAGCTATGAAAGCACCGAGAAGTTTAGCGCCATTTCCACTGACGACAACGTGATGAAGGCAAGTAACATTAAAGTTAGCTGGCCAAGAGGAAGAGATAAAGGGACCGAGATAACCTGCTTCAACTGTGGCCAGAAAGGGCACAAGGCCCGGGAATGTACCGTTACTGGAGAGCACAGAGAACGGAGACAGTGGTGTAGTTTTTGCGAGAGCTCCACTCATACTGACGCAAATTGCAGACGAAAAAGAAGAGACAATGTGAAACAAGCAACAGATGCTGAAGGCCACACATTTGCATTCAGAATAAGTGACTGTCAGGTTCGTGGACTGAAACAAAAAGGGCTGATGGTTGATACGGGAGCAACGTCACATATAGTCACGGACATCGGGAAGTTTAAGGAGTTTGACGAGACTTTCAAACCGGAAAAACATTCCGTGGAGCTGGCTGACGGAACAAGAACGAATGGTGTCGCGGAGAGGAGAGGTGCAGCGGAGGTTTACCTGAGAGACAACACGGGTCGTCGGGTGAAAACAACGCTGACGAAGGCGCTGTACGTGCCGTCGTTTCCACAGGACATTTTCTCTGTTAAAGCAGCGACAGCCAACGGAGCTTCAGTCAACTTTCGACAGGGGTGTAACAAGCTCATCCACAAGAACGGTACCACTTTTGACATCGAGGAGTACGATAGACTTTACTATCTTAACACTGTAAGTGATGAAAATGATGATGGATGTCATGGGTGCTATGATATTCACACATGGCACAAAATTCTTGGCCACTGTAATTTTGAGGATGTGTCAAAGTTAGAAAATGTGACAGAGGGAATGAAAATCACAGGTAAGATTGACAAATCTACCCTCAACTGTGAAATCTGCACACAGGGAAAATTTGTTCAGAGCAGAAACAGAGAGCCTGATGAAAAGGCAAAAGCAGCTCTTGAGCTTGTGCACACTGATTTGGCTGGCCCTATTGAGCCAGAGGCGAAAGATGGGTTCAGATATACTCTAGCATTTACGGATGATTATTCAGGGGCAGTTTTTGTATATTTCCTAAAAGCAAAAAGTGATACTGTAAAAGCTACTGAGAAGTTTATTGCTGATGTGGCCCCTTATGGAAAAATAAAGTGTGTCAGGTCTGTCACACCCTGGCTCTGGGACTCTATATGTTGAGCCAGGGTGTGTTCTTTCTGTTGTGTTTATTTCTATGTTGGCCAGAGTGACTCCCAATCAGAGGCAACGAGTGTCAGCTGTCGTTGGTTGTCTCTGATTGGGAGCCATATTTAAACTGTCTGTTTTCCCTTTGTGTTTGTGGGTTCTTGTTCCGTGTTGGTCATTGTTACCGTGGACTTCACGAGTCGTTTCTTGTTTTGTTGATTGTTGTCTATTATCACTAAAGATAATAAAGTTAACCATGTTCGTTCATCACGCTGCGCCTTGGTCTATTCAATACGACGATCGTGACAGAAGAACCCACCATACAAGGACCAAGCAGCGTGTCCAGGGGCAGATCTTGGACTGGACATGGGAGGAAGCGCCGGGAAAGGAGATGGAGAGGTTGGCGATGGCCCAGGTGGGCAAAGTGTGGTCCTGGGAGGACATGCTCGGGGGAAAAGGGCCATGGGCTAGGATTAAGGCCCTGGCGAGAGAGGAGCAGCGGCGTCAGCAGTGTCAACGTCGGACAGGCGAGAGGCAACCCCAGACATTTTTTAGGGGGGGGCACACGGCATGGACAACGTGGCTGACGGAGGCAGAAAAGGGGCGGATTCAGAAGGCCACCAGGTTACGGGGGCCACTGGTCAAAGTAGGGAAGGAAGGTGTAGAGGCACGGCGAGAGGTACTGGCGTGTGTTACCAGTCCGGTCCGGCCCGTTCCAGATCCCGAGGTAGAGCCAGTGGTGTGTGTCCCCAGTACAGTCCGGCCTGTTCCGGCCCCTCGCACCAAGTGTACGGTGTGCGTCGCCAGCCCAGTCCGGCCTGTCCCTGCTCCACGCACCAAGCCTACGGTGTGCGTCGCCAGTCCAGTCCGGCCTGTCCCTGCTCCACGCACCAGGCCTACGGTGTGCGTCGCCAGCCCGGTCCGGCCTGTCCCTGCTCCTCGCACCAAGCCTACGGTGTGCGTCGCCAGCCCAGTCCGGCCTGTCCCTGCTCCACGCACCAAGCCTACGGTGTGCGTCGCCAGCCCGGTCCGGCCTGTCCCTGCTCCACGCACCAAGCCTACGGTGTGCGTCGCCAGCCCAGTCCGGCCTGTCCCTGCTCCACGCACCAAGCCTACGGTGTGCGTCGCCAGCCCGGTCCGGCCTGTCCCTGCTCCACGCACCAGGCCTACGGTGTGCGTCGCCAGCCCGGTCCGGCCTGTCCCTGCTCCTCGCACCAAGCCTACGGTGTGCGTCGCCAGCCCAGTCCGGCCTGTCCCTGCTCCACGCACCAAGCCTACGGTGTGCGTCGCCAGCCCGGTCCGGCCTGTCCCTACTCCACGCACCAAGCCAGGGGTGCGAGTCGTCAGCCCGGTCCGGCCTGTTCCTACTCCACGCACCAAGCCAGGGGTGCGCATCGTCAGCCCGGTCCGGCCTGTTCCTACTCCACGCACCAAGCCAGGGGTGCGCGTCACCAGCCCGGCCCGGCCTGTTCCTGCTACTCGCACTAAGCCAGGGGTGCGAGTCGTCAGCCTGGTAAGGCCCGTTCCTCCTCCACGCACCAAGCCAGGGGTGCGCGTCGTCAGCCTGGTAAGGCCCGTTCCTCCTCCACGCACCAAGCCAGGGGTGCGCGTCGTCAGTCCTGCCTGGTGAGGTACCGGTCAACTGCTCCACTACGGAGCTGAAGCTAACCGCTCCTGCTGCGTCCAGTTCAGCTCCAGCCAGCGGGGCCAGACTGGACCAGGGGCGCTATGGGGGGTTTATTGGAGGGTGGTGGGCAAGGCCGGAGCCAGAACCGCCGCCGAGGAGGAATGCCCACCCAGCCCTCCCCTGTTTTGTTCAAGTTGAGGCGCGGTCGCAGTCCGCGCCTTTAGGGGGGGGGTACTGTCACACCCTGGCTCTGGGACTCTATATGTTGAGCCAGGGTGTGTTCTTTCTGTTGTGTTTATTTCTATGTTGGCCAGAGTGACTCCCAATCAGAGGCAACGAGTGTCAGCTGTCGTTGGTTGTCTCTGATTGGGAGCCATATTTAAACTGTCTGTTTTCCCTTTGTGTTTGTGGGTTCTTGTTCTGTGTTGGTCATTGTTACCGTGGACTTCACGAGTCGTTTCTTGTTTTGTTGATTGTTGTCTATTATCACTAAAGATAATAAAGTTAACCATGTTCGTTCATCACGCTGCGCCTTGGTCTATTCAATACGACGATCGTGACAAGGTCAGATAATGGCACAGAGTACACAGCCAAAGAGTTCCAGTCACTGCTCAGTAAGAATGCCATAAGACATGAAACTTCAGCCCCTTACTCACCCCATCAAAATGGGACCGCTGAGAGAAATTGGAGAACACTGTTTGAAATGGCAAGATGCATGCTACTTGAGAGCAACCTACCAAAGAAATTGTGGACATATAATAATATAATAATAATATGCCATTTAGCAGACGCTTTTATCCAAAGCGACTTACAGTCATGCGTGCATAAATGTTTGTGTATGGGTGGTCCCGGGGATCGAACCCACTATCTTGGCGTTACAAGCGCCGTGCTCTACCAGCTGAGCTACAGAGGACCACCATGCTGTAATGCACCAGGACATATGCTGTAATGACTGCTGCAGTAATTTGCAATAGGTGTTACAATAAGCGTGTATGACAGACTCTACACTACATGTTTACTGGGAGAAAGCCTGATCTTTCAAAGATGAAATAATTTGGATCTGTTTGCTATACATACAGACAGAACAAGAAAAAGTTGGACTCAAGATGTGAAAAGGGTATTTTTGTCAGGTATGATAAAAATAGTCCAGCATACCTAGTCTACTACCCAGACACTGGAAAAGTTCTTAAAAAACAGATTAGTCAAGTTCGTTACAAAAGGTGTAGTCGAACGCCAAACTCAGACAGATTTGGAAATGAGTGATGATCTTCATGGGGAGAGATTTCAATCCCCCATGCCAAAAGCCAAGATGGCAGATCAAAATTCCGAAGAGACACAAGATGTGCAAATCGAGACTTCAGATAGTCAGAGTCCACGCTATCCAGACAGAGAGAGGAAGAAGCCCCAGTACTTAAAATACTATGAGTGTAAAGTGAAGTGTGATGACCAGATACCACCTAGTGTTGACTACTGCTACAGAGTAATGTGCAATGCACCACAAACCTTCAAAGAAGCAATGATTTCACCAAAATCAGAGATTTGGGCTACTGCTATGAAGGAGGAGACGGATTCCCTTAGGGAAAATGATACATTCACATTTACCACACTGCCAGAGGGTAAAAATGCAGTGGGGGGCAGGTGGGTCTATACGGTCAAAAACAATTCAGATGAGACTGAGACATACAAGGCAAGATATGTTGCAAAGGGGTATAGTCAAGTGGCAGGAATAGACTATAAGGATACTTTTTCTCCAACTGCAAATATGACATCAGTACGTTGTTTGATGCAGCTAGCAGCTCAGTATGACTTAGAGTTACATCAGATTGATGTCAAAACAGCATATCTACATGCTCCTATTGACTGTAAAGTGAACATGGAGCAACCAGATGGTTTTGAAGTCAGGTCAGATACAGGTGAGCAACTAGTCTGCAAACTGAACAAGTCACTGTACGGCCTGAAACAGTCAGGAAGGAACTGGAACAAAATGTTGCATGATCACCTTAGTGAAAACGGTTTTACACAGAACCCAGCTGATCACTGTGTTTATAACAAACAAACTGCAACAGAAAGGATCATTTTGATAATTTGGGTCGATGATCTAATTATCGCTGCTAGTTATAGTGACTCACTCACAAGTGTAAAAAAAATGTTAAGTGAAAAATGTAAGATGAAAGATCTTGGGAGGCTTGGACATTTCCTAGGCATTGATTTACACAAAGTGAAGGGAAAATGAAGATGAACCAAACAAGGTACATAACCAAGATACTGGAAAGGTTTGGTATGTCAGACTGTAAAACAAGGTCAACACCATGTGAACAAAAACAAAACTTTGATGGTGATGGTGAACCTATTGATTCAAAAAGGTATCGTGAAGTGATAGGCAGCTTGATATACAGTGGGGGAAAAAAGTATTTAGTCAGCCACCAATTGTGCAAGTTCTCCCCTTAAAAAGATGAGAGAGGCCTGTAATTTTCATCATAGGTACACGTCAACTATGACAGACAAAATGAGGAAAAAAAATCCAGAAAATCACATTGTAGGATTTTTTATGAATTTATTTGCAAATTATGGTGGAAAATAAGTATTTGGTCAATAACAAAAGTTTCTCAATACTTTGTTATATACCCTTTGTTGGCAATGACACAGGTCAAACGTTTTCTGTAAGTCTTCACAAGGTTTTCACACACTGTTGCTGGTATTTTGGCCCATTCCTCCATGCAGATCTCCTCTAGAGCAGTGATGTTTTGGGGCTGTCGCTGGGCAACACGGACTTTCAACTCCCTCCAAAGATTTTCTATGGGGTTGTGATCTGGAGACTGGCTAGGCCACTCCAGGACCTTGAAATGCTTCTTACGAAGCCACTCCTTCGTTGCCCGGGCGGTGTGTTTGGGATCATTGTCATGCTGAAAGACCCAGCCATGTTTCATCTTCAATGCCCTTGCTGATGGAAGTAGGTTTTCACTCAAAATCTCACGATACATGGCCCCATTCATTCTTTCCTTTACACGGATCAGTCGTCCTGGTCCCTTTGCAGAAAAACAGCCCCAAAGCATGATGTTTCCGCCCCCATTCTTCACAGTAGGTATGGTGTTCTTTGGATGCAACTCAGCATTCTTTGTCCTCCAAACACGACGAGTTGAGTTTTTACCAAAAAGTTCTATTTTGGTTTCATCTGACCATATGACATTCTCCCAATCCTCTTCTGGATTATCCAAATGCACTCTAGCAAACTTCAGACGGGCCTGGACATGTACTGGCTTAAGCAGGGGGACACGTCTGGCACTGCAGGATTTTAGTCCCTGGCGGCGTAGTGTGTTACTGATGGTAGGCTTTGTTACTTTGGTCCCAGCTCTCTGCAGGTCATTCACTAGGTCCCCCCATGTGGTTCTGGGATTTTTGCTCACCGTTCTTGTGATCATTTTGACCCCACTGGGTGAGATCTTGCGTGGAGCCCCAGATCGAGGGAGATTATCAGTGGTCTTGTATGTCTTCCATTTCCTAATAATTGCTCCCACAGTTGATTTCTTCAAACCAAGCTGCTTACCTATTGCAGATTCAGTCTTCCCAGCCTGGTGCAGGTCTACAATTTTGTTTCTGGTGTCCTTTGACAGCTCTTTGGTCTTGGCCATAGTGGAGTTTGGAGTGTGACTGTTTGAGGTTGTGGACAGGTGTCTTTTATACTGATAACAAGTTCAAACAGGTGCCATTAATACAGGTAACGAGTGGAGGACAGAGGAGCCTCTTAAAGAAGAAGTTACAGGTCTGTGAGAGCCAGAAATCTTGCTTGTTTGTAGGTGACCAAATACTTATTTTCCACCATCATTTGCAAATAAATTCATTAAAAATCCTACAATGTGATTTTCTGGATTTTTTTCCCTCATTTTGTCTGTCATAGTTGATATGTACCTATGATGAAAATTACAGGCCTCTCTCATCTTTTTAAGTGGGAGAACTTGCACAATTGGTGGCTGACTAAATACTTTTTTTCCCCACTGTATGTTATGACATGTACAAGACCGGATATCAGTTGGATTGTCAGCAAGCTGTCACAATACCTATCAGAACCAAAAGAGCAACACTGGATAACAGCTAAACATGTGTTGAGGTACTTGAAGGGGACAATGAATCAGGAGTTGTGTTACAAAAAGGGGGTGGAAAAACTCAACCTCGTAGCATATAGTGATGCTGATTGGGCAGCAGATCAAAGTGACAGACGAAGCATAACAGGGTATTGTTTTAGTTTAACTAAATGTGGACCTGTTATTTCATGGAGATCTAAGAAGCAGCCAACAGTAGCTTTATCTACATGTGAAGCAGAGTACATGGCACTGGCTGCTACTACACAAGAAAGTTTGTACCTTGTACAGTTATTGGGCCAGATGGATAGTGAGTGCCAATATGCACCAGTAACAATCTTTGAAGATAACCAAGGTGCAATTGCTCTGTCAAAGAACCCAGTATGTCGTCAGAGATGTAAACATGTTGACATCAGATATCATTTCATTCGATCTGCACTCAGTGATGGCAAAATAAGTATTGAATATTGTCCAACGGCAGACATGGTTGCATATGTTTTGACTAAACCTGTAACGAAGTTCAAAAATGAAAAATTATTGGGTTATATGTTTGGAATGTAAACTGACATTTGTGAGATGTATAACTGTAAGCTAAATGTGTTGATAGTTAGGTTGAATACGACTTGTACAGTATAAGAGCAAGTGGGGGTGTTAACATATAGACTAATATGTTATAAATTGTGTTCTTACACTGGTACAGTTATGCCCTATGAGAGATGTACAACTGCGCATGTGCGGAAATAAAAAAAGGGCATTCCCGCATTCTGGTTGAAACGCCAACGATGAACATGTGTGTTTATTCCTCCGTTAAGTAAGCCGGTATTCCTGTCCTGAAGATGACAGCACCAACAGCTGTAATCGCTACAAAAGGTGCTTCAACAAAGTACTGAGTAAAGGGTTTGAATACTTATGTAAATGAGATATTTCCAGGGTTTGTTTTGTTGAAATTTGCTAAAAATTCTAAAAAGCAGTTTTTGCTTTGTTAGTATGGGGTATTGTATGTAGATTGATGAGGGGAAAAAACAATGTAATCCATTTTAGAATAAGGCTGTAATGTAACAAAATGTGGAAAAAGTCAAGGGGTCTGAATACTTTCCAAACACACTAGAGAGTTACAGTACCAGTCAAAAGTTTGGACACACCTACTCATTCAAGGGTTTTTCTTAATTTTTACTATTTCCTACATTGTAGAATAATAGTGAAGACATCAAAACTATGAACTATAACACATACGGAATCATGTAGTAACCAAAAAAGTGTTAAACAAGTCAAAATATATTTTAGATTTCAGATTCTTCAAATAGGAACCCTTTGCCTTGATGACAGCTTTGCACACTCTTGGCATTCTCTCAACCAGCTTCACCTGGAATGCTTTTCCAACAGTCTTGAAGGAGTTCCCACATACAGTGGGGGAAAAAAGTATTTAGTCAGCCACCAATTGTGCAAGTTCTCCCACTTAAAAAGATGAGAGAGGCCTGTAATTTTCATCATAGGTACACGTCAACTATGACAGACAAAATGAGAAAAAAAAATCCAGAAAATCACATTGTAGGATTTTTAATGAATTTATTTGCAAATTATGGTGGAAAATAAGTATTTGGTCAATAACAAAAGTTTCTCAATACTTTGTTATATACCCTTTGTTGGCAATGACACAGGTCAAACGTTTTCTGTATGTCTTCACAAGGTTTTCACACACTGTTGCTGGTATTTTGGCCCATTCCTCCATGCAGATCTCCTCTAGAGCAGTGATGTTTTGAGGCTGTCGCTGGGCAACACGGACTTTCAACTCCCTCCAAAGATTTTCTATGGGGTTGAGATCTGGAGACTGGCTAGGCCACTCCAGGACCTTGAAATGCTTCTTACGAAGCCACTCCTTCGTTGCCCGGGCGGTGTGTTTGGAATCATTGTCATGCTGAAAGACCCAGCCACGTTTCATCTTCAATGCCCTTGCTGATGGAAGGAGGTTTTCACTCAAAATCTCACGATACATGGCCCCATTCATTCTTTCCTTTACACGGATCAGTCGTCCTGGTCCCTTTGCAGAAAAACAGCCCCAAGGCATGATGTTTCCACCCCCATGCTTCACAGTAGGTATGGTGTTCTTTGGATGCAACTCAGCATTCTTTGTCCTCCAAACACGACGAGTTGAGTTTTTACCAAAAAGTTCTATTTTGGTTTCATCTGACCATATGACATTCTCCCAATCCTCTTCTGGATCATCCAAATGCACTCTAGCAAACTTCAGACGGGCCTGGACATGTACTGGCTTAAGCAGGGGGACACGTCTGGCACTGCAGGATTTGAGTCCCTGGCGGCGTAGTGTGTTACTGATGGTAGGCTTTGTTACTTTGGTCCCAGCTCTCTGCAGGTCATTCACTAGGTCCCCCCGTGTGGTTCTGGGATTTTTGCTCACCGTTCTTGTGATCATTTTGACCCCACGGGGTGAGATCTTGCGTGGAGCCCCAGATCGAGGGAGATTATCAGTGGTCTTGTATGTCTTCCATTTCCTAATAATTGCTCCCACAGTTGATTTCTTCAAACCAAGCTGCTTACCTATTGCAGATTCAGTCTTCCCAGCCTGGTGCAGGTCTACAATTTTGTTTCTGGTGTCCTTTGACAGCTCTTTGGTCTTGGCCATAGTGGAGTTTGGAGTGTGACTGTTTGAGGTTGTGGACTGGTGTATTTTATACTGATAACAAGTTCAAACAGGTGCCATTAATACAGGTAACGAGTGGAGGACAGAGGAGCCTCTTAAAGAAGAAGTTACAGGTCTGTGAGAGCCAGAAATCTTGCTTGTTTGTAGGTGACCAAATACTTATTTTCCACCATAATTTGCAAATAAATTCATTAAAAATCCTACAATGTGATTTTCTGGATTATTTTTCTCAATTTGTCTGTCATAGTTGACGTGTACCTATGATGAAAATTACAGGCCTCTCTCATCTTTTTAAGTGGGAGAACCTGCACAATTGGTGGCTGACTAAATACTTTTTTCCCCCACTGTATGCTGAGCACTTGTTGGCTGCTTTCCTTCACTCTGCGTTCTAACTCATACCAAACCATTTCAAATGGTGGCTACTTTGAAGAATCTCAAATATAAAAAATGTTTTGATTTGTTTAACACTTTTTTGGTTACTACATGATTCCATATGTGTTATTTCATAGTTTTAATGTCTAAAGAAAACCCTTGAATGAGTAGTTGTGTCCAAACTTTTGACTGGTACTGTACAGTGGCTTGCGAAAGTATTCCATTTAAATTACAGGTTGTAATGCAACAAAATAGGAAAAATGAGGGGGATGGGGGATGAATGCTTTTGCAAGGCACTGTATATAAAGATATATAGATACATACTGTATATCGAGAGAAACATATGAGCCATATATACTTGTATAGAGAGAGACATATTTAGACACACTCTATATATGGCTCTAGATCAGGGGTGTCAAAGTCATTTTGCCCCGGGGGCTGCATTCGGTCTTCAACGAGGTCCGGAGGGCCGCACTGAAAATTGGTTATATTTCCTCGCCGTCAAAATATGCAAAAGATTGTCCTCTATCCATCATTTTCTGAATTTTCGATACTCCCTGACTGCTAGCTTTAATTTCGGTGATTATTAGCGAGCTGGACATTATTTACATTTACATTTTAGTCATCTTATCCAGAGCGACTTACAGTTAGTGAGTGCATACATTTTGTTTGCATAAATGTAGGTCCATTATCATTTCTACATAGTTTAGATTTGGTTTCAGTCATTTAAAAGTATATTTAGTTGGTTTTCCCCCCCAAAAGAAAAAATCAGCAACATATATATTTTTTAAAGTATTATTTGTATTTTTTATCCAACCACCCGCAGGCCGCATTGGACCCCCTCGTGGGCCGGATCCTAGACACCCCTGCAAACAAGGGTATACCAGAGACGCCTCATCTTTCTTTGTCTTGTCAATGCCGCTCTATGGGGAGCTGGGTGCATCGAACAAGACAAGATTCCCCATCACCTCAGTTCTATTGTTGTGAATTTTGGCCCGACGTGTAATGGTTTAACTACTTAGTGATAATCACAATCCCCTTAATGATGGTAAACACACGCTCAGACCATGGAAGTAATATCCCAGCCTGCCCTCTGCTTTGAAGCTGGGAGTTCAGTGGCAGGTGGCGGTACGCATCGCGCTAGCGGGAATCTCTTAATCAGCCGAGCACACACACTCTGCACTGGGAGAGGCAGCAGGGCGAGCATTGTGTCCCCACACACACACAAAACACACATGCATTCCTGGGGACGGTGAGGGAACGTCTCTCGCTAGAGCCCGAGCCAAGAAGAGGGATTGGACCATAAAGCCCCCTGCATGTGACAGGCAACTTTGTCGTTATCAATAGGGAACAGTGACCACTGGGAGAGAATGAGAGGACTAAGAAGGGTGTTAGGAGATGGGGAGTAGAGACGGAGAGTGGCTGTTGTGAGCATGGTGTGTGTGTGTGTGTGTGTGTGTGTGTGTGTGTGTGTGTGTGTGTGTGTGTGTGTGTGTGTGTGTGTGTGCACGCGTGCGTGCATGTTGTGTATGTGTTTGGTGGTGTGTTTCTTTGTGTATTCTGTGTGTGTGTGTGTGTGTGTGTGTGTGTGTGTAGTTGAGAAGGGGGGTTGTTAAGGCATTTAATGGAAACCCCTTGCTGGGTGTTGTGTTGTAAATTACTGCATGGTGTTGTGGTGTGTTATTGCATGCAGAGGGCACACATACAGCTGGTCAGACTTATTCCTCTGCTGTGTTGGGGAGGGGAGCTAACGTTAGCGAACTGGTGGGCGCCGAGCAGACACCGATTCCCCACGAGGGCTACTGGACAATGAAGGCCCCAGCAAACAAAAGACAGAAAGGAGCATCCCTTGCTCACAAAAGAAAACACGTTAGGCCTCCTCTCTACCCCTCTTGCTGCCAAGATTATCTATCCTGGCCCACCATACCCCATCTCGACCATGACCAGGTAATTCGCTAATCCCAGCCAAGAAAAAAATGAATATTTATTCTCAATCTTCGCTGCTGCATAGCAGGCCCACAAACAAAATCTGGAGTAGTTTGCAGGGGAAATGTAGTTGTCTAATTAATTTGCATTGAATAAAGAGAATTAGCGGAGCGAAACAAAAAGGAATCCGGCTTTGCCTCTTTTCTTGTTTGGGGGACAGTGTTTTTTATCACCTGTATCCCAGACATTTGGTCATTAACTACACACACACACACACACACACACACACACACACACACCTCATCCCCCCTTCGATCAGTGTGGATCCTGATCCAAGCCTTCATCCCATCATTGCCCATTCTCCATTCATTATTTATCAGTGCTGTAAATGGGTGCAGACACCAGCGAGCACAGGCATGATGGCTTTATCAGCACCCAGGTGGCAGCGTGCTGGCCAAGAGCCGAGAGAGGGAGGATGGGAGAGAGAGAGAGAGAATGTGAGAGAGGAGAGGGAAGGAAGAAGATTGGCATACGTTTAGGGATGGATGGATACATTTACTAACCAAATGTATGATGCCTCTTAAGCTTCTGAAACCATTACAAAAAAATGTGAGTGAATTGCGTAAGAGAATTCCATTGCAATAATTTCATGTGCAATCATTTCATGCAATCATTTAATGTGTCTTTCACTGTGTGTCCCTGTTAGGTGACATGTTTGTGGTGGACGAGGGCTCCTCAGCCTGTCTATGTGGGGGAGTGCTGGGGGCTGAGGACCCCGATACGTACCCTGAAGAGCTCCTCTTCATCCTGGAAAACCCACCACTACAGGGCTTCCTGGAGAACACCCTGCCCTCGCCAGGCTTTGAGAAGAGCAACGCAGGCCTCAGAGTGGGTCAGTGGCACACAGATCCTTAAAGTGATAGCTGAAGGGAAGTTCATGCCAAATCTATATTTGGGTGGAAGTCCCCATACCTGTGTCTGAAGGCCCATAGTGACAGAATCAACAATAATCCATTGTTCACTTCTGCCACAGCTAGGAGTTAGCATAATTAGCATCATCCAAATTCATGAATGTAAACAGCGGTACCGATGTAAGCAAAGCTGCATTGCAAGCAGAAACTTCCTCAAAAACACTTAAAACTAAGTTCAGTAGTTGGTGCAGGGATTTTTTAAACACGCATACTGCTGAAATAATCGCTGGGATTTTGTCACTCAAAACTGGAACTATTTCCATATGTAGTCTCAAAGCCGCAACTGTTTCTGTTGTTTTCTGTAACATGAACAATAAAGTTATATTGTATTCCATTGGGCACTCAGATCCGGATTGATTACCAGCTGTGAACAAACTCACCAATGGCTATCAGAGCATTGGAATATTCTGATACTACTTCAAAAATAACGACGGGCAAGAAAACATGGACAGGTTCTTCGCGAGCATCGACACTTCCAAACTTAGTTTTAAGTGTTTTTGAGGAAGTTGTGGCTTGCAATATAGCTTTTCTAACATCGGTACCGTTGTTTACATTCATGAATTTGGAAAATGCAAATTATTCTAACTCCTGGCTGTGGCAGAAGTAAACAATGGATTATTGTAGTTTCTGTCAATATAAGCCTTCAGACAGAACTCAAGGCAAGGGGAATTCCACCCAAATATAGATTTAGCATGAACTATCCCTTAAGCTCTGTAGTCAAAAGGTTAGCCATGGTTAGTTCACCACACCATGGTTAGTTCTAAGTTGGCCATTAGTTATCTTGCTGATATCTACTGACACAAGCTATTATGACTGTTTAAAAAAAAAGAATACCTTAATCCGGCTCAAAGGACAAGGAATTCTATATCCGGTTCGAAGGACCAATAAGGGACAGCCTTTTTAACACATGTTATATCATGCTTATATGGCAGTAAAGCTTTGTGACTATCACATTTTTTTTTGAATTATGTGAATAAGATACTGCCTAGGCCCACTGTTCTCCCATACACTGCTGTTGTGTTCGGTGTACTCAGTCTCAGCCAGAATGGACCTTGCACACAGTTAACTCTAAGTCGACAAGAGTACAATGAAACATATTCATTTCTACTCATACCCCTGCTGTGTTGTTGTTGTGTGTTCAGTCTCATTCAGCCTGCTCCACCTCAGAGCCGGCTACATCAACTACGTCCAGGCGGAGCACCAGGGGACTGAGCCCACCGTGGACCAGCTGGTGATCAGTGTGAGCGACGGGATGCACAAGTCTACCCCCGTCCCCTTCTACATCATCATCCACCCCACCAACGACGAGACTCCCTCTCTGATGCTTAGCAACTTCACCGTAAGTCGCCTCACATCCATCCATCTAACGCTTGAAGTCTTTGGCCATGTTTAAATACTTTGGAAAATGCACCCTCCTGTCATCCCACTGATCTGACACGACTTGGTGGGTCTAAGCTATGGAGTGGAATCTTTGCTTTCGCATATCCAACCGTGTTAGACTAGTGATTACCTCAAGGAAGGGAGAGAGGAAGGAGGCATTTTCACAGTGTTCAAACAGGTCCATGGTCCGCGACGGAGTCTTCCCTCTCTTCCTATGACGTCTCCTCCATCTCCTCACACCACACCTGCTTAATTTCCTTCCTTCCTTCCTTTCTTTCCCTTCGGACTCATCCTCCTTTTCCTCATCCCTCTTTTTCCCCAGGTGATAGAGGGAGGGATGAAGGAGCTGAGTCCGGCCATTTTGAACGCGTTGGACTTGGACGCCCCGGCGGACATTTTGACCTTCACAGTGTTGGTTCCCCCAGCCCACGGGACCCTGCTGAACGGGATCTATGGAACGGAGATGAGCCGCTATAAGAAAATGGGCCCCAAGCTACTGCTGCAGAGCCTGATTGTACATACCTTCACCATGGAGGAGCTCAAACAAGGTGAGACACTTGAATTGTATGTATATGTCGGAAGCACCACTGTAGCCCTAAAAGTATTTGCCCTTAGGGGACCAATAATGATTTAAACAGAATTGATTTGAATAATCTTATTCAGTTTATGGTCGAAATATTGCAATAAACTCTACAGGAGCATATGGCTTACTGTAGGCCTATGTCTGTTATTCTATGCACCGGGAAGAATTGTTGTGCACCGTTGTTTTTTATCTATAGTAAGGCAGCAGTTGCCTTCATGTATCTGTGTATTCTTTTGGTTTAGTGCCATATGTTGACTAGTGTCATTTGTTAGTCTATGCCTTTCTGGGTTTAAGGTTGTTGGGTTGTTATTCGGGGGGTACAGTATTTGCATCCCACTACAAGGCCAGCCTGCCCCTTCCTCCCTTCCTTCCAGAGGGCTGTGCGTTGTGTTGTCATCGTCGTCGGGGTCAGGCCCCTGCTGAACAGATGTTCGAGACAGAGGTCGCAGAGCGCCCGTGGTGCTGCTGCTGCTGTCTCCGCTGCACACGGTCCTTCCAACTGCTCTCTCTCTCTCTCTCTCTCTCTCTCTCTCTCTCTCTCTCTCTCTCTCTCTCTCTCTCTCTCTCTCTCTCTCTCTCTCTCTCTCTCTCTCTGCTGCCTGCACAATTACCTCACAGCCACTGTACACTGAGTGTTCAGTCACTGAGCACACACACAGACATGCACACACACATGCAAGTGCGTACACACATACACAAGTATGCACATACACGCACACACTCCTTGTTAGCAGCTGACCCATGGAAACATAGGTGAACAAGGCTTTAGGTCAATCTGTTTGTTTTGGCTTCTTCAAAGACCATAGCAATAGTGAAAATTGCCAATGTGTTTGTGTGATGAGCCCAATTTGATACTGTTGAAAAAACGAGTGGAAAATGTGATGCGTTGACAGCACTCCTTTTTCGCAACAAAACATTACAGTTCTTGGAAAAGTTAGTTTCTCATTTCAACGACATATTTAAATTTTTTGTAGAAATACTTCAATGTCTCTACCCTAAAAACATACATTTACACAGGTTGCTACTCTATTTACAACACGACCGAACACCCCAACCCAAAATCCCACCAAAATCCCACCAATCTGTCCTCCCGTTCACCCTCTCCCACCCTCTCCCTGACTCTTCCCCTCTTGGCCCCTATCTGCAGGAATGAGGATCATGTACATGCACGATGACACGGAAACCCTGAAGGATTCGTTCACTGTGCAGCTGACAGATGGCCGCCACACAATCCAGGGGACCGCTCGCCTCCTTGTCCTACCAGTCAACGATGAAAAGCCCCGGCTGCTAAAGTAAGGATAAGAAGAACGCCCTGGGAGGAACACTCGGAGCCAAGAAGGGGATAAGGGAGGGTTGGGTGAGGAAGGGGAGGGAGGGGGAGGAAGGGAATGTGGGGGTGGGGGGAAGAGAGGGATCGGGAAAGAAAGGGGGTGAGTGAAGGTGGGCAAGAAAGCGGATGGAATGGAGGGAGGGAGGGAAGGGGAGGTGGAGGATTGGGGCAGAAGGGGGGTGGGGAGGGTGGGGGGGTATGGACTCGGGGGTCAACACACACAAACCTATACAGCACATGTGGCGGGTATGGGAGTATGTTAAATCTCCCTGTGTCCCCCACTCGAATGAGTGACTGGGAATCAAGTTACATCCTTGAATAGGTCCTCCTCTGTCCTCCTCCTCCTCCTCCTCCTCCTCCTCCTCCTCCTGTTGTTCCACTATTTCTCCTTAGATCAGGAGTTTTTTTGAATCAGTGCGTTGGCACGGGTTGCAGTCCATAAAGGCCGCATAGGCAGAAGTAATGTGGCTTTTTGGCAGATGCCCACTTCCTTGTTTGCGGTGCCCTGGTGGATGGCTCTGACAGGTCTCTCCTGCTCGCCTGGCCCATTGTTCCATGCCAGGCAGCAGGGGGAGGGAGGGGATCTGGTGTTGTTGACGTGTGTTCAGGATGAGGACTCATCTGAGCGTGCTAGGTTTAGGGAGGCTAGGGTGTTAGGGGCTCTGTGGCCCTAGCTGCATGTGTCTTTCTCTATCTCTGTGGCCCACTGTGTTTGTCCTTCTCTCTCTGGGCTGGGGCCCCTCAGTTGACTGGTGCTAGTCGGCACTGCTTGTAGGGAGCTGTATATGAGTTGGAACTGGTACTTTGCTCACGTGTGTACCTTCTCCTCCTTTTGTCCCCAATGTCTCTGTGGCCCTCAGTGTCTTTGCTGGGGGTTGTACGCTCTAATAATGTCTCTCTCTCTCTCGCTTTCTCTTTCTCTCAGTAGCCCCTAGTATTTATTTGTGTTTCTGTGGTCCTGACCATCTCGTGTATCTTCTCTGTTAGAAATGCAGGTGTGGAGGTGGACTGGATGGACAGGAGGGTGATCTCCAGTGTGGTGTTGGAGGCAGAAGACCTGGACACTCCTCCCAGTAAGCTCTACTACATCCTCAACGCTGGGCCCAGGTTTGGCAGGCTGCAGCTCAAGGTTAGTGCAAAGCATGGCCCCTCTTCAAATGATACTGAGAATCAAGATATTTAATAACGCTATCTATAGCGTCTCCAGATACACCTGACGTCACCCTCCTGACCTACATCTGACCATGTGTAAAAGTAACATTTTAGTGTGTCCTCTTCCCTTTGTGCAGGCAGAAGCTGGCTGGACAGACGTGGGAGCGGGTCAGAACTTCACCCAGGAGGACGTGGAGCTGAACCGCGTGTGGTACGCCCACACTACCGGCACCGGGTTCAAAGGTCATGACAGCATCCGTTTCATCCTCAGTGACCTAGACAACGAGACTCCTCCTCAGAGCTTCTTCATCTCAGTACGCACCATCCAGAAGGGTGAGGACAGGACAGCCACATGGACACGGTGTCATTGTTATTATTAGTGTGCTTGTTGAAATACTTTAAGACAAATAAGCACGCACATTTTTTTCAGGAAATTTCGTTTTCTAGTTCCTTGTAATTTGTCTTTAACATTTTGAGATGGGCCATCTCTTCCTCTCTGGAGGAGCCTCCTCTTTTATCCGCATAATGGAACTACTTTATCAATCACATGCTAGCACATAGTCGCATATTGTCTCTACATCTAGCATTACGTAGTACTTAGCTGGCAAAGAAAAAGGTAAATAAATAGGTAAATTCAGTCACTGAACTTTTCCTAGACAGGTTACAGCACTCAGCTACAGCACTACCCAACAGTATACCACAACAGTACACCTCGTTAACCCACCAAGACACAACAACAACCACCTGGGTGACGCATGGCACGGCAGCCATTTTGTGCCTCAACGCATCACACACGCATCAGCAGCGGCCCAAAGCAAACTTTCTCCAGCCACTGCGTCTTGGCCATGTATAATTGAATAGGTGGCTTTCCCTATAGCCAGGCCAGCTTTGCCAGTTGGGTGAGCATGACATGCGAGGCGGGGTGAAGCGAAGAGTTGAGGAGAGGGAGTGCAATCAGTGGTGCGCTTGGCCCTCTTGGCTCAGTGCCCTCTGATCCTGGAGGAGCGAAGGTGAGAAAAGCCCATGCGCTCAGCACCGCAGGAAGAGCCACCTCGGAACGTGAATAATTGAAGGATGTAGGGAGTGAACAGATGTAGAGTTTTGGTTGCCTCTGCAGTTCTCTTGTTGTTGTGTTGTCGTCATCATTGCTCTCTCAAGTCGCTGCCAGGCTATTATTGAAAACAAACCATTCATACGGGTTTTTGGTACAGTTCATATTGTGCTAGCCTATCAAATCAAGTGCATCTAAGTTAAGCTGACAGTCCCTGATTTCGGGCACTATCATGCTTTATTTGATGCTTATAATACACTTTTATCTATTTTATAACTCAGAAAGAAAAAAATGAAGCATTGATACATTTAACAGTGAAATAGACACAAAAAGCTGCTATTGCTTGACGTAATGACTGTTCTCATGTGTCCAGGTGACATATTGCTGGTCACCAGGCCGGTCACCCTGATGGAGGGAGAGCGGCTCATCCTGACCACAGACATCCTACTGGCTACGGACGGGGCGGCCAGACCGGGGGAGCTGCTCTACACCGTGTCCATCCCGCCCAAACATGGACACGTCCACGCCGTCCAGCATCCCGGAATGCCGTTCCACGCCTTCTCCCAGCTGGACGTGGCGGCTCAGCGTGTGTGTTACACCCACGACAACAGTCACACGGCTGAGCAGGACTCCTTCAGGTCAGACTGACACGTTGTAGTATTTTGTTTCATTTTGTATTTTTTGGTTGGACATACAAGACATAGGATAGATACAAACATTTATTGGAATAGTCTATATCCATTTTCTTTAGACTGACACATTAGTTGAATATTGGATGATCGAATTTAAAGCTTTTATTGTTCATTCAGATTTCATTGGATGTGTATTTGGCTCAAATTTCAGGCACAATTATGTAAACAATAAAAAAAATATATCTCCTTTTGACTTAAAAAGATATGGCATAAAATGTCATTAATTGGTCTGTTGATTTTGACTGAATAAGGAAGATGTTAGATTTTTTAAATCACCGACACGGTGCCTGCCCAAAAAGTATCACACATAAAAAGAAGCAAGAGATGAGAGCGGCCTGCTACAGTATGTTTATGTGCTTCTTCCAGACAATTTGGCAGGGGGCTTGGGTGGTGAGAGAGATGGCGGGCGTATGACTGACCTGTCCTCTCCTCTGTCTGCTCTCCTTTCCGTCCCTGGTGTGTCTGAGGACGCTGGTTTGTCACCCAGAAGCCTGGCACACACACACACACACAAACACACACACACACAGAGCCTGGCTGTGTTTCACCTCAGGGTCAGCTGGGAGCCAGGAGCCTTTCTGCAGCCAAGCTATCAAAGGACGAGAGGAGATGAGAGGGGGGAGCACTTTAGTGGGCGCACACACACTGCGTATGCTCTCTGCCAAAGAGGGAGGTGATAGCCGTCCGGCATGGGGCAGTAGTGATGGTATTTCTTAACTGACACATTGAACCCAATAGAGCAATCAGCCATGTTATCCACCCGCTTCTAAGAACTCAAATACAAACTGACTACATCCTTAGATCTAAAGCATCCATCTATTTAACTGTGACTAGTTCTACTGGGTTCTACTGGGTTCTACTTGGTTCTGGTTAAACCCATGTGTATGAGCGTATCTGACCAGCTCCATGCTGTATTGGTGTGTGCTACAGAATGTTCCATTTGGAGGGTGACTGGTGGCAGTGTGTGATGGCAGCGGTTGGAGCCTCGGATGGGGCCACACCTGAGCACACACCTGTGCGTAAGAGCAGGGGCCTGGCTCAGGCCCCAGGCAGAAGGTGTTTTCTATGCCCCCCTCTTCTGGTCGCCGTGACAGCGGATGATGAATGGGCATTATTAGGAGAATGATAACGCCGGCTGGCATCGGTTGCCATGGCGGCCAGAAAGGAGTGTACAGAGTACAGACAGACAGGCATCTCTGGGAACAATTACCTAGCAAATATGGGATGGTGGAGGTGGCAGATGTTGCACCGGTTTGGCTTAGAGAGGGGGACCTGTGTGTGTGTGTGTGTGTGTGGTGGCCAGTGTTTGTCATGGTGGAGCCTAGGGCAGTTCTCAGCTGCAGGGCTGCAGGGCTGTGTGTGTGAGAGGCAGATTGACTTGGCAGCGAGTTGAACGAGGGCTAAAATCTGTCCACACACACACCACTGTCCCAATTTCAGCTCCAGTGCATTGTCATTGTAGCATGTGGTGAGCCATGGACCGGTCTGTGAACACACAAGACTCATCCAGCTTAAAAATGGGAAAGGGGCCCTTATGATTGATTCATTGCCTTTTTACATTGGATCTGTAATAATAGCTAGCCTCATCATGGGAGAATAATGTGATGGATTTTGTGTTTTTAGATAACTTTGAGATTATATTGATTTTGGTAGTTATTTTTCAATGCTATAGCAATTTATTTTTAAATAACTTTCTATCATACAGATCGTGTTTGCCAGTGGCATCATGCAAAAATTGCCTGATTGCTTATCATTTAATTTGTACACTTTCCCCATCTATCTTTTGCTGTTATACAAGATGTCCACGAGTTGGCATTAGCCCTTTGAACTGTACCTCCATCTCCTGTGTTTTAATGGATACACCACCGCAATAGCCCACAGCAAAACCACCAGTTCACCTCATTATACAGTCCTTTACCAACCAATCCTAACCCGTTTTTACACCAACCGTGATCTGTGCTTTCTGTGCCGAACTACACAACAATAACCAAATTTCATCCATCCACTTTTCCATTTCCTCCCCACAGCTTCGTCGTCACCAACGGCATCAGCTCCCGCAGCGGCTCCCTGCACTTCACCATAGAACACGGTGACCGGATCCCGCCGTCCCTCAACTGCAATACTGGCCTCCAACTGACAGAGGGAGCGGTGAAGACCATCACACCAGACCACCTGGAGCTCACCGACCCCGATACTGCTGTGGGGAATCTGACCTATGCCCTCACCCAGCCCCCGCAGTACGGCAAGCTGCTCCTCAAGGGGTACCCACTGACGGTACCCCGTTTTACCCAGACTGATATCAACAACATGGACCTGGCTTACCAACACTACCAGGGCAGCCTGGCCCAGATTGACAGATTTAGTCTGATGCCGTCTGATGGTACTAACAGAGGATACCTGGAGTATGGACAGCTGAAGGAGGAGCCGCTGTTCTTCACAATACAGGTGGGCTTTACTGGTTTTTATACTTCACCAAATCTTGTATGCCAGGGAGGTATTCTGATCTTTTTTTCACTTATCTCTGAAAAGATCTGATGTGATTGGTAAAAAGACCAATTAGTGAAAAAAAGGTTGAATTGGGTTGCCTGCGTGAACGCAGCCCAAGTGTCAAATCAAATCAAATCAAATCTTATTGGCCACATGCGCCGAATACAACAGGTGCAGACATTACAGTGAAATGCTTACTTACAGCCCTTAACCAACAGTGCATTTCTTCAGAATATGAGCGCTGATCTAGGACCAGTTATGCCTTTTAGATCATTATTATACAATGCTCCCTCCCTCCACTCCAGTCCCGAACTGCTTTAATCAACTCTTCATTTTCCCCTAAAATATTCTTATTTTTATTTCCTTTTTGTTTGTGTCCTGTAATTCAGCTTTTAGCTGTGAATGTGTACAAGCTCAAATAAACCTTACTATAATATACACTGAGTGTACAAAACATTAGGAACACTTTCAATTACATAGACTGACCAGGTGAATCCAGGTGAAAGCTACAGTATAGCTACTTATTGATGTCACTTGTTAAATCCACTTCAATCAGTGTAGATGAAGGGGAGGGGACAGGTTAAAGAAGGATTTTTAAGCCTTGAGACAATTGAAACATTGATTGTGTATGTGTACGATTTAGAGAGTGAATGGGGAAGACAAAGGATTTAAATGCCTTTGAACGGGGTATGGTAGTAGGTGCCAGGCGCACTGGTTTGAGTGTGTTAAGAACTGCAACGCTGCTGGTTTTTCACGCTCAACAGTTTCTTGTGTGTATCATTGGAGTCAACATGGAATGCTTTTGACACCTTGTAGAGTCCATACCCCGACAAATTAAGGGTGTTCTGGGGGCAAAACTCAATATTAGGAAAATGTTCTTAGTGTTCTTAGACATGAAGGACCTGATCCTAGATCAGCGTTCTTACACTTAGACACTTTGTGAATATGAACCCAGGCTTCTAAGCCTATAGTGTCACCAGACATACAGTACACAGATGTACTAAACGTTTGCAGCTTTTATTTGCCAAACGCAAATAAAGTATAAAAGCGAGAACCAAATTTTTGTTAAAATAAAATGAAGAAAAGGTTCATAATAACCGAAGTGCAACTATCAATCATGCTTTTTTCCAAACAATCATTTCTACTTCCCACAAGCAATTATTTCAACATGAGCTATCTTTGTAGTGGTATTCACTCAGACAGGGAGAGAGGAGAGAGTTAACCCTCCCTACAGTATTGCATACTAACCTGTCAGGCTGCTGGGCTGTTGTGGCCAGGTCGATGGGGCTGCTGCTGTGACACTCTGTTCCTTGTGCCTCCCCTCTCCTGTGGCCCGCCACGCACTCACATATTCTAGAGCTGAAACGGTCAGCCAGGCGGATAACCTGCTGGCCAGCCTACCCTGCCCTGGGCCTCTGTGTGTGTGTGGGGGGGGGGGGGGGTCATAAGCAGGCCTGGCCAGCAAATGTTCCCCTCGGTCTAGCGAGACTCTCTTTCTGTCACTTGGCTAGGGCCGCGCTACACTACCGTGAGCCAAACAGCGCGGGTCCGCTCCTCTCGAATGCTCAACATCTGGCCCCCTTAAGACTGTACAATGCATAATATGCCTTAATAAGTATATAGGTTGAGAACTGTTGTGTAAGAGCACAGTTTGAAAGATATGGCATATAGAACCAAACCAGATGGACATCATGAAAATGATCGAAGAGGTTGAGGGTAGAGGAAGTTCAGGAGTAAAAACAAACAAAATATAATGATTGTAAAATTGACTGTGTCCATAAAATGTATATTGTATGTATAAGCTGGAAGTATAGGCCTAAGCATTGTTCACTAGTTTACTCCAATTAGGGGAGGGGTGGTGGGGTTGGAAAGTAATAAAGGGAAAAAAAAATGTTTTAAAGGATATGTATATATATGTATGTATATGTATTTATATGTGTGTATGTATGTATGTGTATATATATGTATGTGTGTATATATATATATATATATATATATATATATATATATATATATATATTTGCGAAATAAAACATATGGGGGATTGGAAGGTACAATCTATCTGCAATATAAAAGGTGATCTACCCCCTAAAAAACAAAAAAAACAAAAAACAAAAGTGATTAGAAAAAATAGATACAAAAATTTAAGACTGTACCATGCATTCAGTACAGTAGCACTAGCATAATGAATAATGTCTACAACAGACCTCACAAGTGGAGGACCTCAGAGGGTATAGTACAGGTAGTGCATGATAACAAGCTGTGTAAATAACTATATCACGTATATCCTTCATATATTTGCCCTTATTGCTCTCCAATTGTTCTCTGTATGCAATCAGAGGACTTTATTTGGGCCAAACATCATAATTTTTGTCTGATATGTTACTAAAAAGAACGTACCAGAATACAATACAATACTCTTTTTTTTATTGCATCTATGAAGAGGACTTGCTATCTACTACAGTGGAATTAAGATACTCACACCAACGGTTCTGTTGTCATGAGACATAATCAGAGCACCCTCTTCTGGCCTTTTGATAGAAGTGCATGTGACAGTACATTTACTGTGGTCACTAACACTGGTCATGGAGACCCACATGGTGTGCAGGTTTTTGTTCCAGCCCAGCACTAACACCCTTGATTCAACTAATCAGCTGATCACCAAGACCTTGATTAGTTTAATCAGTTGTGTGTATTAGTGCTGGGCAGGAACAAAAGCCTGCACAACATGTGGGTCTCCAGGACCAGTATTTGCTGAAAGGATTTGTCATGGGCCTCCAGATTCTCAAAACTACAGCTTCACCATTGAGAGCATCTTGACTGGCTGCATCACCGCTTGGTATGGCAACTGCGGCATACGACCGCAAGGCACTACAGAGTGTAGTGCGTACAGCCAAGTACATCATTGGGGCCGACCTCCCTGCCATCCAGGACCTCTATACCAGGCGTGTCAGAGGAAGGCCCTAAAAATTATCAAAGATTCCAGCCACCCTAGTCATAGACTGTTCTCTCTGCTACTGCACGGCAAGCGGTACCGGAGCGCCAAGTCTGGGACCAAAAGGCTCCTGAACAGCTTCTATCCCCAAGCCATAAGACATCTGAACAGTTAAGCACCTGGACTATTTGCATTGGCCCCCTTCTTTTTTTTTGCACTGATATTCTTGCACTGGCTCTATGCACACTCACTGGACTCTACTCACATGTACTACACTGACACTCCAACACACACACACACACACCCTCACACACAGACACATTTTCCACTCTCCACATACGCTGCTGCTACTCTATTTCTTATCTAACCTGATTGCCTAGTCAATTTTACCCCTGCCCACATGTACATACAGTATTACCTCAACGACCTCATACACCTGCACATTGACTCGGTACCGGTACTCCGTGTATATAGCCTCGTTATTGTTATTTTATTGCGTTACCATTTCTTTTTTTTGTGTATAATATTTTGTTATTATAATGTTTTTGATTTGGAACAACCTTTAATTGGACATAGTGCACTTACAACAAAACACCAGTAGAGGGTTCTCTGATTACATGACCACAGAACCCAACCAACTTACTGCACTGCTTTTAAACTGAAACACCGTGGTCACATTAAGGCACGCATTGGAAATGTTTAAAAAAAGTTTTTCAACACAAAAAACGAAAATGAACGTTTCTGATTGGACAAGTCTAGTTAATCCCTCGCTGTTTGTCTGTTATCTTATGTTGAGTGCCCTAATGAGCACGACCTTGTCCACCTCTAGGTGGAGCATGTAGACAGGAACCCACCCAGCCTGGTGACCAAGCGGATCCCCAGTACAGTGGAGAACCTCTCGGGGGGACTAGGGGACAAGCAGGGCATCTACATCACGTCACGTGACCTCCAGGCCTCTGACCCCGACAGTCCCGCCCAGGAACTGGAGTTCACCATCACACGGCCGCCTCACTTCGGCTACCTAGAGAACGCCCTCACCGGTAGCTCCATTTCTTCGAATTGAATCAACTTTATAGATAAACAGAGGGGAAATTAGATTCATTATTTCCATTTGTTGTGTGTTTTTTTAATTAACTTTTAAATATACTTACCTAATTGGGTATGTTGAGGGAGAGGTGGTAGTGTTTGAGGATATTGTATGTTCAGTCAAATATCTAGATTGTAACATGTACGTTACCCCTTTCTTGAAGGTACAATCTGTAGCTGTCATTTCCAGACAAAAGTGCAGCTTTTTTATGTCCGTCTGTGGATACAAAGCAAGTCTTGGTGCCATTTGAAAGTACAGTACCTTGCAATGATCTACAGTAGCAGTGAATACATCAGGGTGATAGTAAAGTGTTCTGTAGTAGATGTGTGCAGTGTAGTGACAGCTTTTTCTCTGTTCTTTGTGTGCTTGCCTAGGGGCGTACATCAAAGGACGCTTCACCCAGAGGGATTTGCAGCAGCGCGCCGTGCGCTATGTCATCCCCACCGACATGGAGGTGACAGGGGACAGCTTTGAGTTCCGCGTCACTGACCCCGCGGGAAACACCATGCTGCCTGAAATGTAGGTTTTATTCCATTGGTACATACAGTATTACTTCAACTACCCCGTACCCCTGCACATTGACTCGGTACCGGTACTCCGTGTAAATAGATAGCCTCGTTATTGTTATTTTATTGAGTTACTATTTCTTAAATTTTTGGCTAATATTTTCTTACTTTTTAACTCTGCATTGTTGGGAAAGGGCTCATAAGTAAGCAGTTCACGGTACAAAAAAAGTTTGAGAGACACTGTCTTATACTACATAGATGGATTCGGAGGTGGGCACTTTCTGTGCACAGTTATAGTGGGTACAGTAGACCGATTCACACACAGCTTAGAATCTTCCCAAATGTCACGACTGATACCATATAAAAATAACCTGTTCCCAGATCTGAATGTACTGTATGTCAATGGTATGACAATGATAGTCAGAGTTTGCTAAAGCACATACAGATGGGACCAGGGTAAAATAAATAGTCTAGCCACGCTTTACCTCTCCTGTCCACTCTTGACCCCACCTGTGGCCTGTCTAGCAGACTGGAGCTGACGTGGTCTCGGGTGGAGCTGTCGGCTACGTGCTACCGGGTATGTGAGAACGCAGGCATGCTGCAGGTGCAGCTGACGCGCAGTGGGAAAAGCATGGACCCGGCCTACATTGCTATTCAGGTACAGTAGAGTAGTGTCCTGAACACAACTCACAACAGTCAACTGAACAGCCATGCTGTGGACTAGAGCAGCTAGGGTCAACGTCTGGTGGTAAAGTTGTATACGTTTAATTGAATGGGACTTGAATCTAAGTCTGAGAAGGTCAACCCCTCTTTCTCTGTTTCAGGTGGAAGAGGGTACTGCCAAGGTGGGGAAAGATTTCACCCACAGCACGGCCAGTCTGATCCAGTTCGATCCAGGTCTGTGATGATCCACATCAAAGGGTGGCCAACCCTGCTCCTGTGGGGGTGGGATTAGTTGAAATACCTGTAATAATGTTATTAGTTGATATAGCTACCTCCTCTTCTCTCTCCCTGTATAACTGACTAGGAGTCAATGTGAAAACCTGGAACATTTACCTGAAAGACGACAGCCTGGAAGAAAACCATGAGATGTTCACTGTGGTTCTGAATGCCCCCAAGAACACTGTTCTGGGTCAGAGGAACTCAGCCAGTGTGGAGATAGTGGATCCTAGAGGAGGTAAGTTAAGAATGATACAGTAATTGTATATATAGTACAGTAGGCTGAGGGCTGTATTCTGATGCCTGTAATGCTCTGTACTCTGACTTGCTGTAAGCCTTCCTAGGCAGCAGAGGGCGCATGTTAGCCATGGTTAATTGGAACATTTTATATGCTGATGCAGAGTGATGTTTAAATGCCATGCATGTGTGACGGTCTGGGTTTTGAACATGGGGCGTCTGCGTGCCACAAGACTGTGTGACCTGAATGTGTCTAATAAGTACACTCATTTGTAATTTTCTGTTTCAAACCGTTTCCTTTCTCTTGTTGTACTTTACTGGATGTAACCCAGGGTCATGTTCATTAGGCACCAAACGGAAGAAAGCAGACTGAAACAGGAAGGAACACTTGTTGTTATTTTCCACTGAAGAACAGTTTGAAATATTTTCCGTTGTGTGCCCTAATGAACATGACCCTGGTTTCTCTGTCGCTCTCTCTCGCACTTTCTCTCTACAGGAATGTGTGACCCAGAGGACCTGAGGGTTGAGGAAGATGAAAAAGGAGCACCTTCAACCCCTCATGTCCCCCAGTCCCCACAGCTAGAGGAGCACGTCACTGACATTGAAACAGACCTGCTGTGGGAGAGCCGCCCCCATCCACCCAGGGGGGACGTGCCCAACCGGAGGCCCTTCCTGGACTACGGGGAAGGAGAGAGGGAGCCCCAGGACCAGGCCCAGGCTACCCAGTTTCACAGCCAGGCCACCAGACAACTCAGACTGCAGGGCAGCAGCAACAGTAATAGCAACAGTCGCACGGTGAGCCTCAGAGTTTCACAAGTAACTTAATTGGAGCCAATTTGTTTGAATGGAGCATTTATTTTTAGAGGAACTGATGTGAAACTTTGGAGATTCGATTGATATTAAAATGATGTCTGTGGAAGAGAGTTGTCGAAGCCAGACATAAACTTGCCGTTTACTATGGACTGGTTGTAGAATTTCCTTATTTGCTCCTGAAGGGAATATGTTAAATTCAACATTGTGTTTTTATGAATAGTGCCAGCATCTATACTGCATGTTAGCTGTCTCTCCTCTGTGATTCTAGGTCTTTCATTCAGGTGTCAAGAGAAAGAGTGAAGAGAAAGTCTGGACGGTAAGACCTTTCTATATACTGTAAGCCTCACAACTTTGGAAGGAGAGAGGTCAGTCGACTCCTGATACGTGCACTCGCTACCTAAGTGCAATATACCTTTCCTGTCCAAATTTCTGAACATTGTTTTTAATTTCTCATGATAACAGCATGCTCTGGTTTAGTGCACACTGCCACAACATGGTCAAGCTGTTGCATTTATCAGGAGTTGACTGTACAGTCTGATGTTTACATACACCTTAGCCAAATGCATTTAAACTCAGTTTTTCACAATTCCTGACATTTAATCCTAGTAATAATTCCCTGTCTTACGTCAGTTAGGATCACCACTTTATTTTAAGAATGTGAAATGTCAGAATAATAGTAGAGAGAATGACTGACTTATTTCAGCTTTTATTTCTTTCATCACATTCCCAGTGGGTCGGAAGTTTACATACACTCAATTAGTATTTGGTAGCATTGCCTTTAAATTGTTTAACTTGGGTCAAACGTTTCGGGCAGCCTTCCACAAGCTTCCCACAATAAGTTTGGTGAATTTTGGCCCATTCCTCCTGACAGAGCTGGTGTAACTGAGTCAGGTTTGTAGGCCTCCTTGCTCGCACACGTTTTTTCAGTTCTGCCCACACATTTTCTATAGGATTGAGGTCAGGGCTTTGTGATGGCCACTCCAATACCTTGACTTTGTTGTCCTTAAGCCATTTTGCCACAATTTTAGAAGTATGCTTGGGGTCATTGTCCATTTGGAAGACCCATTTGCGACCAAGCTTTAACTTCCTGACTGATGTCTTGAGATGTTGCTTCAATATATCCACATAATTTTCCTTCCTCATGATGCCATCTATTTTGTGAAGTGCACCAGTCCCTCCTGCAGCAAAGCACCCCCACAGCATGATGCTGCCACCCCCGTGCTTCACGGTTGGGATGGTGTTCTTCGGCTTGCAAGTATCCCCCTTTTTCCTCCAAACATAACAATGGTCATTATGGCCAAACAGTTCTATTTTTGTTTCATCAGACCAGAGGACATTTCTCCAAAAAGTACGATCTTTGTCCCCATGTGCAGTTGCAAACCGTAGTCTGGCTTTTTTATGGCGGTTTTGCAGCAGTGGCTTCTTCTTTGCTGAGCGCCCTTTCAGGTTATGTTGATATAGGACTCAATTTACTGTGGATATAGATACTTTTGTACCTGTTTCCTCCAGCATCTTCACAAGGTCCTTTGCTGTTGTTCTGGGATTGATTTGCACTTTTCGCACCAAAGTTAGTTCATCTCTAGGAGACAGAACGCGTCTCCTTCCTGAGCGGTATGACGGCTGCGTGGTCCCATGGTGTTTATACTTGCGTACTATTGTTTGTACAGATGAACGTGGTACCTTCAGGTATTTAGAAATTGCTCCCAAGGATGAACCAGACTTGTGGAGGTCTACCATTTTTTTACCTGAGGTCTTGGCTGATTTCTTTTGATTTTCCCATGATGTCAACCAAAGAGGCACTGAGTTTGAAGGTAGGCCTTGAAATACATCCACAGGTACACCTCCAATTGACTCAAATTATGGCAATTAGCCTATCAGAAGCTTCTAAAGCCATGACATCATTTTCTGGAATTTTCCAAGCTGTTTAAAGGCACAGTCAACGTAGTGTATGTAAACTTCTGACCCACTGGAATTGTGATACAGTGAATTATAAGTTAAATAATCTGTCTGTAAACAATTGTTGAAAAAATGACTTGTGTCATGCACAAAGTAGATGTCCTAACCGACTTGTTAACAAGACATTTGTGGAGTGGTTGAAAAACAAGTTTTAATTACTCCAACCTAAGTGTATGTAATCTTCCGACTTCAACTGTATACAGTGGGGAAAAAAAGTTTTTAGTCAGCCACCAATTGTGCAAGTTCTCCCACTTAAAAAGATGAGAGAGGCCTGTAATTTTCATCATAGGTACACGTCAACTATGACAGACAAATTGAGAAGAAAAAAATCCAGAAAATCACATTGTAGGATTTTTAATGAATTTATTTGCAAATTATGGTGGAAAATAAGTATTTGGTCACCTACAAACAAGATTTCTGGCTCTCACAGACCTGTAACTTCTTCTTTAAGAGGCTCCTCTGTCCTCCACTCGTTACCTGTATTAATGGCACCTGTTTGAACTTGTTATCAGTATAAAAGACACCTGTCCACAACCTCAAACAGTCACACTCCAAACTCCACTATGGCCAAGACCAAAGAGCTGTCAAAGGACACCAGAAACAAAATTGTAGACCTGCACCAGGCTGGGAAGACTGAATCTGCAATAGGTAAGCAGCTTGGTTTGAAGAAATCAACTGTGGGAGCAATTATTAGGAAATGGAAGACATACAAGACCACTGATAATCTCCCTCGATCTGGGGCTCCACGCAAGATCTCACCTCGTGGGGTCAAAATGATCACAAGAACGGTGAGCAAAAATCCCAGAACCACACGGGGGGACCTAGTGAATGACCTGCAGAGAGCTGGGACCAAAGTAACAAAGCCTACCATCAGTAACACACTACGCCGCCAGGGACTCAAATCCTGCAGTGCCAGACGTGTCCCCCTGCTTAAACCAGTACATGTCCAGGCCCGTCTGAAGTTTGCTAGAGTGCATTTGGATGATCCAGAAGAGGATTGGGAGAATGTCATATGGTCAGATGAAACCAAAATAGAACTTTTTGGTAAAAACTCAACTCGTCGTGTTTGGAGGACAAAGAATGCTGAGTTGCATCCAAAGAACACCATACCTACTGTGAAGCATGGGGGTGGAAACATCATGCTTTGGGGCTGTTTTTCTGCAAAGGGACCAGGACAACTGATCCGTGTAAAGGAAAGAATGAATGGGGCCATGTATCGTGAGATTTTGAGTGAAAACCTCCTTCCATCAGCAAGGGCATTGAAGATGAAACGTGGCTGGGTCTTTCAGCATGACAATGATCCCAAACACACCGCCCGGGCAACGAAGGAGTGGCTTCGTAAGAAGCATTTCAAGGTCCTGGAGTGGCCTAGCCAGTCTCCAGATCTCAACCCCATAGAAAATCTTTGGAGGGAGTTGAAAGTCCGTGTTGCCCAGCGACAGCCCCAAAACATCACTGCTCTAGAGGAGATCTGCATGGAGGAATGGGCCAAAATACCAGCAACAGTGTGTGAAAACCTTGTGAAGACTTACAGAAAACGTTTGACCTGTGTCATTGCCAACATAGGGTACATAACAAAGTATTGAGAAACTTTTGTTATTGACCAAATACTTATTTTCCACCATAATTTGCAAATAAACTCATAAAAAATCCTACAATGTGATTTTCTGGATTTTTCTTTTCTCATTTTGTCTGTCATAGTTGACGTGTACCTATGATGAAAATTACAGGCCTCTCTCATCTTTTTAAGTGGGAGAACTTGCACAATTGGTGGCTGACTAAATACTTTTTTTCCCCACTGTATATGTGTCACCATGTTTCACATTTTATTGTGTCCCCACTCTCCACTAGTTCCATGCACTCACCCCACTGAGACTCGAGGAAAGGAGGCTGCCGATTCCTGAGCCCATCCCCCAGGTGCACCCGGACCTCCAGGTGACCCCCATCTGGAGCTGGTCTGGCCACAGGGAGTTCCTCCACGAGGTCAGGGTGGGGGATGCCCCCCAGGAGGACGCCCCTGTACCCTCGGCCAAACAACACAGGGCTGGACGCCAGCGCAAGGTGAGGGCATTGTTTTAACTAAAGGGGGGGGCTAGGGGGGTTGGGTGCAATGTTTCCTCTAAGCTGCACACATGCACACAGTAGCCGAGACTGCCATGCAGCTCCCCGGAACTGCTGCACAGAAATATAAGCCCACCGAGAGAGGCACGAGATTGAACTTCACTCAACTTTCTAGAGCAGTGGTCCCCAACATTGCCAAACATTTCTGTAAAAAAAAAAGCAACGATAAAGCATTGTGTTCCTAATTTTGTTTTTATTCGTCTCGGGCTGTTGGCGGTAGGTGCACCCGAATCAGCTGACCTGTGCGCCGGGTAGGCGAACTGTTGCCATTTTGAACCATTTAATGTGTCTGAAGGTACAAACTCTGCCTTCCCGGTGGGCCGAGAGAGCAAATCAAGCCTACGGCTGGCCAATCGGATGGCTCAGATGACCGTGTCTGCAGTAAAGTAGCAGGCATAAAAGAAAGCAACAGCAAAGTTGATACTTTGAGATTTCAAAACGTTTAAAACCATGACTAGAGAGAGACTTTCAACGAATACAGCGAAGAGATGCTGTTTTTATGAGTGAGTTAATGTTTAGTTCTTACTCAACACTGTTAACTACTTTGTATTCAACTCTTTTATAAGCCATAAAATGCACGTTCTTCCTATTATATGAATGAGTAGGAAAGTGTATCTATTGGCTTGCGTTGTTGTTATTATTAGCGGCTTGGGTCTTTTTTAATATCTAGGAATATTTCACTTTCTCTGTTCATAGGAGTAATAACATGAATTTGTGCAAGAGGCAGAAATAATGCGGTGCCACTCGAGTTTCCCCATCAACTGGAAGACGGTGTCTCTTTTTGGTAAGGGAGAGTTGAGGGTCTGCTGCTCTCTCCCTCCTCTGAGACTGACCATCAGATGCAGCCACCATCAGCCCAATAAAATAAAAATAAAAAGCAAATTATTTAAACGTATGCTCACTCAGCTGTGCTTCACAAGTAATACAACAACAGATCTATTACCGGTGTGATCATATAGCCTACCTCAAATGTTTTAAAATGTCCCGAACAACAATGCATTGGCAGGGCAATTCAAGCAAAGACAATATGCGGAGATAATGTATTGGCAGTGGCGTGTATTCATGGTGCCAAGGGAAGCCAGGCTTCCCCAGAAAATGGACCAAGTAAAACAATAATGTATCTTTCGTCTCTCTGTTTCATAATTTTCCTTCAATTCGCAAGAGGCTGAATGTATCTCACAGGAGAAAGCATCCGAGCGAGCACAACAGCACACCTCTGTCTCTCTACTTGTAGGCCATCTAGCTGATGCTGTCTGGTCCAAACGAGTATGACATTGTTGCTGCCCGTAGCATTGAGGGCAAGGGAAGCCAGCGAGCATCTGGCCTCCCTTGACAATTTTTTAAATAAGAAATGTGCCAATCAGCATTGAGATAAACTGAGCGAGCTCAACTGTGAATGGTCCTGGCGCACCCAAAAAAATTGTCAAGGGAAGCCAGCTTGGATTTGGCGCCACTCCTATCAAATCCCATTGAGAGCATACATCATTGACAGAAAAACTTGAATTGTTGCATCTCATTGTGTTGTTGTCCTCTGGTGCTCTAGCTGAAATTGGCCCTTTCCTAAATTAGCCATAGATGGAGATAGGGAATTGGACTTATGATTCTGATCCAACCAGTAATTCATACATTGTTGTGCCCCTGGCTTGAGAGGATGGAAGTTCAATATGTAGCTAGATGTCGAAGGCTAATGTTAACTAGCTAACGTTGCCCATGAATGGAAGTTAGGCTAGTGAGCAAGCATTTTAGCCAGGTTGCCTAGGACAACAAAAAATTTAAGTTTGTACTGTATGACAGAGTGATAAATTGTTTCGTCAACATGGAAGAGAGGAGAATGGCATTGGCGAGTGAACATGTTTTTCTACTTGCACAATGCACACACACACAGAAATCTGTTGGTATCTTGTAGTTGTCACTGTATTAGACTAAGCATAGGTGATTTGATGATGTTGAAATTGTGCTGGAAATAGTGGAGGCAGCTCCTGTTTTCTATGCGACTTGCGGTAACTCTCTGTGGTTCTAAATCAATGCTTGTTTAGTTGTCCGAAAATGTCGGAAACATGAACTTGCTTGACCATGCTGTAGGTCATGTAACTGTCTGTTACTGTACATGCAATATGATTTGTGGACTTCACTGGACAGAGGGTGCTATCTGGTTTTGTGATAAAACAAAGGTGTGGTTGTCTCGGCCTTTAGGCCTATATATCACTGTCGCAAGGCATATGAATTAACAGGTTATAGAGCAAACAACGCAATTATCACAACATATAGGTTGTAATATGGCTTTTTTGTGGGGGGGGCTTCCCCAATAATTTTACCCACGCACCACTACTGTGTATTGGGCCTATAGCTTACTGCACAAACCTCATTGCTACAGTACTGTTTTTAATTGGTTAATGTTGCATAGGCTTACGTTTTTTAAGTCATGTTAAAAAAAAATCTGAGCGGTGGATCTCGACTTGCATTTTGACTCAAAGTGATTTTGACTCAGAAAAGGTTGGTGACCACTGTTCTAGAGTTTTCCCTGTTAACACTATCAACGTTTCCCTTTACTGTGGCAATTGTGATCGAATCAATGCAATATTAGCCACTTTCAATGCAACATACCGAAACAAAACAAACTATATATGCAAGAGATGAGGCAGAACGTATCGGAGTAGGATTCTATTGCATTGACATGCACTACTCAGCCCGTACTCTACACAGACCGGTGTGGCATAAACAATCAGAGCTGCAGTAGGCCTATATGCAAATAGACCATTGCCATATATGGATTTGTGCCATTTACTTTGAACTGATTTGTGTTTACAGCATGAGCGGTCGTGAGTAGATGCACTTGTTTTGAGATCAAAGCGAGACCTGCATGAAGCCACGTGTGCACATTTTGTTCATAGCCTTTGCTAGTTAGTGAGTTATTAGCCCAGTTATATATCATTTGTAGTCAGTAATAGGGGAGTGATTGCTTCCTACAAGAGCACAAAATGTGTACATTTCTAGACATCTTTGAAAAGCGAGCCAGGTAAAGGGGCAGTGTTGTATTTTGAGACAGGCTTATATAAGATAAGTAGCCAATAGGCAGAGGATAGCATAATTTTACTGATTCTCTGTAATAATGGTATGGGAATAATAATGCATTTTATTTTGTAAAGTGGTTTCTTGCATCAAACAACACCACAACATGTTCAGTCACCTCCTTGTCTGAAAGACAAGTGGATAAACAGGGTACTGTCAAGCCCTGCATGTTTTTTTTTCAAAAGTCTCATGGAATGTAGGCCTACATTGAACACCACACATTGGCTGCTACTGTAGGCTGAAAGATAGAACAGCTATTTCCATGTTAAAATGTTATGAGATGTATTTTCTCCATTGTTTTTGATGGTAGGCCACTCTGGTAGGCCTACATTATGATCAAATTGCCACAGTAGCCTACATGGCCACTGTTAAAACTGTAACTTAAAGCAGGTACAGCCTCAGTGTTCACAGTAAACGGGTGCTGGAAGTTGCATTGAATTTTCACAATGTTAAAGTTTGCACTCAGCAGACCTGAAATGTACTCAGTGCTGAAAAAAATTAGAGGGAACATTGGTTGGGTGTTTTGGATGGAGACACACTGGGACTGACTGGCAATCTCAAAGCCCAGGAGAGTCTTAGTGTAGTTATAATCAAATAGTCCAGTCTCGAGACCACATATTGAGTGTTTCGGTCTTGTCTCTGTTTTTTTATTTAACCTTTATTTAATTAGGCAAGTCAGTTAAGAACAAATTACGGCCTACTTGTAAAGCACCCCGGCCAAACCCTCCCCTAACCCGGATGACACTGGGCCAATTGTGCGCCGCCCTATGGGACTCCCGATCACGGCCGGTTGTGATAAAGCCCGGGATCGAACCCGAGTACAAATATCGGATACGTTTGTACTCGGTCTTGACTCGATCTCGGACAGTGAGGACTCGTAATTTCTTTCCGAGACCAGCCGAGTAAAAAACTCATAATTATCAGCTTCCATTCAGTCAGCGCATAAAACCGCTTCGCCAGGACAAATATATACACTCCTTTCTTGAAGCATTAATACCTTAACAACCTTTATATCTATTATAGACATGTTTGCGCAGTAGCGAATCTATTCGCCTTCAGTGTGTGACAGGTTCGTGATTCTGAAAGGACAGCAACCGTAATACCAGCGCACTCATGTAGGAGAGTTCACTTTTTGTAAAACACATATGGCCATGGCAGTGGTGTAGTGGAGGGTATACGCAGGTATAAGCCGTATACCCACTTTCTTTCAGTGGGCATTGCTTACACTCACATCTTAATCCCTACTGATGCGCATTAAAGTAGTGTAGTGGAGGTATACGACTTATCAATTATGAAGTACAATACAGAAATCATGTACAAAGTAGCCTACACAATCTCAAAGCACTGTCACGCCCTGGCTCTGGGGACTATGTTATGTTGAGCCAGGGTATGTAGTCTATGTTTGTATATCTATGTGGGCCTGAGTGACTCCCAATCAGAGGCAACGAGTGTCAGCTGGTTGTCTCTGATTGGGAGCCATATTTAACTATCGGTCTTTTCACTTTGTGTTGTGGTTTCTTGTTCCTTTTGGTTTTTGTGTATCGAAGGACTTCACGTTTCGTTCGTTGTTTTGATCGGGTGATCTGTTTAATAAATAATATGTACGCATTCAACGCTGCACATTGGTCCTCCTCCTTAAGCGATCGTGACAGAAGAAACCACCATAACAGGACCAAGCAGCATGAAGAAGAGAGAGGATGGACTTGGGAGCAGTGGAGTAGGAGTCTCAACTGGGCCCAGCCAAGCGAAGAGCAGAAAGGTTGGACTTTGAAGCAGTGGAGTGAGAGTCTGGCGAGAACTAGGGAGGCCTGGTCCACGGGGAGGAGAGAACCCCAGAAAATTTTTAGGGGGGGGGCTCACGACGTGGACGACGGGGCAGCCGGAGGCCGCGATGGAGCGGTCCAGCGGGTGTGCAGAGGAGGCCGCCAGGTTAAGGGGGCCACTGGTCACAGAGGAGAGGGAAAGTGTGGAGGCACGGCGAGAGGTACTGGGGTGTATTACCAGTCCGGTCCGGCCCGTTCCTGATCCCTGCATAGGGCCAGTGGCGTGTGTCCCCAGTACGGTTCGGCCTGTTCCTGCCTCTCGCACCGAGCCTGTGGTGCGCGTCGTCAGCCCTGTCCGGCCCGTTCCTGCTCTCCGTACCAAGTCGGTGGTGCGCGTCGCCAGCCCGGTCCGGCCCATTCCTGCTCCCCGCACCAAGTCTGTGGTGCGTTTCGTCAGCCCGGATCGGCCCGTTCCTGCTCCCCGCACCAAGTCAGGGGTGCGCTTCGACAGCCCGGCTCGGCCCGCTCCTGCTCCCCACACCAAGCCAGTGGTGTGCGTCGTCAGCCCGGCTCGGCTCGTTCCTGCTCCCCGCACCAAGTCAGGGGTGCGCTTCGACAGCCCGGCTCGGCCCGCTCCTGCTCCCCACACCAAGCCAGTGGTGTGCGTCGTCAGCCCGGCTCGGCTCGTTCCTGCTCCCCGCACCAAGTCAGGGGTGCGCTTCGTCAGCCCTGTCCGGCCCGTTCCTGCTCTCCGCACCAAGTCTGTGGTGCGCGTCGTCAGCCCGGTTCGGCCCGTTCCTACTCCACGCACCAAGCCTACGGTGTGCGTCGACAGCCCAGCCCGGCCCGTTCCTGCTCTCCGCACCAAGTTTGTGGTGCGCGTCGCCAGCCCAGTCCGGCCCATCCAAGCTCCCCGCACCAAGCCAGTGGTGTGCGTCGTCAGTCCGGCACGGCCCGTGCCTGCTCTCCGCACCAAGTCTGTGGTGCGTTTCGTCAGTCCAGCACAACCCGTGCCTGGGTCATGTCCGGAGCCGGATCCGCCGCCGAGGCGGAGTGCCCACCCGGTCCCTCCCCTGTTGTGGTTGTTTGGCGCGGTCGGAGTCCGCGCCTTTGGGGGGGGGGGTACTGTCACGCCCTGGCTCTGGGGACTATGTTATGTTGAGCCAGGGTATGTAGTCTATGTTTGTATATCTATGTGGGCCTGAGTGACTCCCAATCAGAGGCAACGAGTGTCAGCTGGTTGTCTCTGATTGGGAGCCATATTTAACTATCGGTCTTTTCACTTTGTGTTGTGGTTTCTTGTTCCTTTTGGTTTGTGTGTATCGAAGGACTTCACGTTTCGTTCGTTGTTTTGATCGGGTGATCTGTTTAATAAATAATATGTACGCATTCAACGCTGCGCATTGGTCCTCCTCCTTAAGCGATCGTGACAAGCACGTGAAATATATTCACATCCGCGCCGCACACATAGCCTAGTTTCAGCAGAATATCATCTGCAGGCAGTAAGAGTGTGCAGCTCTCAACTGGTTTTGGCATGGTGCAGCTCACAGAAGAATGATATCTACCAGTAAATGCTAACTAGGGAAACAATGGGTATGCAAACCCAGTATTGAAAAAGTTTAGTCAGGAGTGTTGGTTAGTAGGCTATTTGTAATGCGCAGTTGTCATCATGCGTTTGCATCAGGGGCGTAAATGTGGATGGGCCTGGGTGTGCAGAGGCCCACCCATTGGGGAGCTAGGCCCTGGCAGGCCCACCCAATCAGATTGATGTGGTTTAAGCATTGTTGTGGACTTAGACCATCACAGTTTTGTATTTTTTCTATGAGTGAAAATCAGAAAAATCTATAGGAAAAATCATAAAAAATCATAGGAAAACATACGATTTTTCACACAGGGTGCCTTTCCTTCGCTGGGCAGGCCGTTTGGGAACTTTTGGGCAAAATTAGAGTATACCCACTTCTCCATGCACCACTACACCACTGTATAGGGCCGATGGAAAGACAGCAGTCACACAGAGCATGATGTTAAAGGATAAACAGTCCATCAACTCTGACATAATAAGCCAATAGGTCCCAATCATAAGAATACAAAAACGCAACCATTAAGCATTTCCCAATCGACATTTACAACATTTAATGTCTAGCACATAAAGTAACCGGTGACCTAAAGTTTAAAGTGGAACTGACAGCGTTTTACCTACTTTGCAGTTATGAAACAAACAGACAATCATAATATTAGTAAAAAATATCAAATTCCCAGTTTATGCTACAAAACCAACTTTATAAGAGGTTTTAAAAATAGGTTCTATTTGACTCAACATTCCATGTCGGTAAGGCATTGTTGGCAGACTAGGTCTCTGACCCCTTGTCTCCCTCCCGGTCTCGGTCTTGACTCGGTCTCTCCCCTCCTCCGGTCTCGGTCTTGACTCGGTCTCTCCCCTCCTCTGGTCTTGGTCTTGAATCGGTTTTCGCTTTAGGTGGTCTCGAACACAACACTGTTTAGAACAACCATTCATTCATTCTCTCTCTCCTTCCCTGTATGGCCCAGGCTGGGAAGTCAGTGAGCACTTCCTGCCCCACGGGTTGGAGCCACTACAGGAGGCACTGCTACATCCTGAGCCCTGGTGTGGCCAGCTGGAGCAGTGCTCAACGGGCCTGCACCTTACTGTAAGAACACCTACATTACATGTACTACCTATGGGCCCAGGTCAAAAGTAGTAGGCTACCACTATATAAGGAATATCTCTAGTAGCCATTCTGTTGGTTCTGGAGAATAGGTGATCCGCCTATGCACTAACTCTACTAATGTTCTGTTTTTAATGCTCTTTCTAAGGTTTGACAGCAATCTAACAAGTGTCCAGTCGAAAAAAGACATGGCGTGGTTATGGAAATTTGCTGGGAAACAGGCATTTTGGATCGGTAAGGGGAACATCGCTACATTCTCTGTTAGCAAATTCTCTTACAGCAGAACACAGAGTTTTATTATTTTTCCTGAATACTTGTTTCATATGTTTACAGGCCTGTCAGGCAGCCCAGGACATTGGACCTGGACGGACGGAAAATCCCTGTCATTCTCCAGACTCAAGAAGGACCGAGCCCAAGAGCAGCAGCCTGAGAGTGCTGCCTCTAGTTCTATGTGTGTGTTAGCCCAAAGCCAGAAAACATGGACACCCATGACCTGCACCACGGCACCAGAACGCAGATACATTTGCTCATCGCCTGCACAGAGTCACTGAAGAGGAATGTGGATTACCACACTTAAAGGGCAATACCAGCACAAATATTGGCAATATTCTATTTGGGGTAGTACGCGATAGATGTTTAACTACAGTAACTAAGCACAAGCTGAATCCTTGATAGTGTCAGCTGGTTTTCCAGGGTGGTTGAAGGATAGATGGCAAACCTACTAGTTATTGCATGTCGACTTGCAGTTTACATCTAATAAATCAAATGGAGAGTTTATTGAAGATCTGAGAATCAACATATCAAATAAACTATCCAAATAAAGTGAGACCCAAATATACTATGAAGTTATTTTATGGAGGAAAATGTCAATGTAAGTACATTACCCCTCAGACAAAGGATAAGCCATGCACTGTAAGTGGGTGCTATTCTAGGGGGTGGGGTTATGAAATTAATTACTACAGTAATACATTGTGCTATGTTGTACTTCAGTTCAAACACCGAAAGCTTTCAGTTCTTAAAAAAAGATGGGCTTGGATATCATTATTTACAGTTTACCTTGAAGCTGCTCTGTACATTTTTTCATAATAAAACCTTGAAGCTTCTAAAATGTGTTTTCACCATTGCTACTATTCTCACATACTCTGTGCATTTATGTGCCATTACTGTTGCATTCCAAGCTGATTTTGAAATTAATGTTAATTTTATAGAAGACTGTTACTTCTGTTGTGATTTGGGACATTTGTGTATTGAATTAAAATGCTTAAACCACTTGATTAACAAAAAAAGACAAACATGTAGGCATATCCATAGTTATATGGGCCTTTCTCATTTACTGTGTTTGACACACACAGAACAGGTCCTCGGAACAATTTTTAAGTTGACAGTGTTTCTTCACGGTGCTTTATTTATGTGCGACAATGACGAAGGAAATATGGCGGCGGCCATAGTGCAAATGTCTTGTTTGTACCGTGGGATGCTAGCGGTCAGGGCAACTGGAATACGAGCGCTCATCCCAGGCCTGGTGACGTCGCAGTTTAGAGGATTTTCTGTGAAAAAAGAGAAAGAGCCGGAACTGGAAGACAATCCATATTATAATAAATATCAGGAAAAGATCAGGAAGCTAAGCAAGTAAGCGCAAAGTCAAACGCGAGCAAAGATTAGTTAGCTAGCACCAGGCTAGTTAGCTAGTTTGGTGTGCAACCCCCACTGATGTAGGTTGTCACTGGATAGTGAACAGGGAAATGAAATGCCCAGGTGTAACAACCATGGGAAATAACTGGTGACAGCTAACTAGCTAAGTATTGCCTACTGTGTTCGCTAACTATGTATGTACCATATCTAATAACTGGTCTCACGTTTTTATAATTTGGCTTGTGTTGTGACTTGGTTTTTTATTTATTTTTATTTCACCTTTATTTAACCAGGTAAGCCAGTTGAGAACAGGTTCTCATTTACAACTGCGACCTGGCCAAGATAAAGCAAAGTAGTGCAATAAAAACAACACAGAGTTACATATGGGGTAAAAAAACATAAAGTCAGAAATACAACAGAAAATATATATACAGTGTGTGCAAATGTAGCAAGTTATGGAGGTAAGGCAATAAATAGGCTATAGTGCAGAATAATTACATTAGTATTAACACTGGAATGCTAGATGTGCAAGAGATGATGTGCAAATAGAGATACTGGGGTGAAAAATAAATAACAATATAGGGATGAGGTAGTTGGGTGGGCTAATTTCAGATGGGCTGTGTACAGGTGCAGTGATCGGTAAGGTGCTCTGACAACTGATGCTTAAAGTTATTGAGGGAGATAAGAGTCTCCAGCTTCAGAGATTTTTGCAATTCGTTCCAGTCATTGGCAGCAGAGAACTGGAAGGAATGGCGGCCAAAGGAGGTGTTGGCTTTGGGAATGACCAGTGAGATATACCTGCTGGAGCGCAGACTACGGGTGGGTGCTGCTATGGTGACCAATGAGCTTAGATAAGGCGGGGATTTGCCTAGCAGTGATTTATAGATGGCCTGGAGCCAGTGGGTTTGACGACGAACATGTAGTGAGGACCAGCCAACAAGAGCGTACAGGTCACAGTGGTGGGTAGTGTATGGGGCTTTGGAGACAAAACGGATGGCACTGTGATAGACTACATCCAATTTGCTGAGTAGAGTGTTGGAGGCTATTTTGTAAATGACATCGCCGAAGTCAAGGATCGGTAGGATAGTCAGTTTTACGAGGGTATGTTTGGCAGCATGAGTGAAGGAGGCTTTGTTGCGAAATAGGAAGCCGATTCTAGATTTAACTTTGGATTGGAGATTCTTTATGTGAGTCTGGAAGTTGAGTTTACAGTCTAACCAGACACCTAGATATTTGTAGTTGTCCACATACTCTAGGTCAGACCCGTCGAGAGTGGTGATTCTAGTCGGGTGGGCGGGTGCTAGCAGCGTTCGATTGAAAAGCATGCATTTAGTTTTACTAGTGTTTAAGAGCAGTTGAAGGCTACTGAAGGATTGTTGTATGGCATTGAAGCTCGTTTGGAGGTTTGTTAACACAGTGTCCAATGAAGGGCCAGATGTATACAAAATGGTGTCGTCTGCGTAGAGGTGGATCTGAGAGTCACCAGCAGCAAGAGCGACATCATTGATATACACGGAGAAAAGTGTCGGCCCAAGAATTGAACCCTGTGGCACCCCCATAGAGACTGCCATAGGTCCAGACAACAGGCCCTCCGATTTGACACACTGAACTCTATCTGAGAAGTAGTTGGTGAACCAGGCGAGGCAGTCATTTGAGAAACCAAGGCTATTTAGTCTGCCAATAAGAATGCGGTGGTTGACAGAGTCGAAAGCCTTGGCCAGGTCGATGAAGACGGCTGCACAGTACTGTCTATTATCAATCGTGGTTATAATATCGTTTAGGACCTTGAGCGTGGCTGAAGTGCACCCGTGACCAGCTCGGAAACCGGATTGCATAGCGGAGAAGGTACGGTGGTATTCGAAATGGTCGATGATCTGTTTGTTAACTTGGCTTTCGAATACTTTCGAAAGGCAGGGCAGGATGGATATAGGTCTGTAGCAGTTTGGATCTAGAGTGTCACCCCCTTTGAAGAGGGGGATGACCGCGGCAGCTTTCCAATCTCTGGGGATCTCAGACGTTATGAAAGAGAGGTTGAACAGACTAGTAATAGGGGTTGCGACAATTTCGGCGGCTAGTTTTAGAAAGAAAGGGTCCAGATTGTCTAGCCCAGCTGATTTGTAGGGGCCAGATTTTGCAGCGCTTTCAAAACATCAGCTGTCTGAATTTGTGTGAAGGAGAAGCGGGGGGGGGCATGGGCAAGTTGCAGCAGAGGGTGCAGAGTTGGTGGCCGGGTTAGTGGTAGCCAGATGGAAAGCATGGCCAGCTGTAGCAAAATGCTTGTTGAAATTCTCGATTATTGTAGATTTATCGGTGGTTAACTGAGTGTGATGTATATTATATGCCTGTTTTATTCCAGTTCAGTATACTCAGCATTTAGGATTACAGTTTACCCTCCCTATACAACTTATTAATAGATTGATGTCTAATGTTAGTTGAATCAGTTGTGTTTTAGTTCTGGGCTGGAACAAAAGCCTGCACATTCCAGGACAGGGCTAGGATTGAATGACCCTGTACTAATAACTAGTAGCCAGAGCCAACGTTGATATTACATAGCTTTTTGTGGTTTCCTAAATCCTTCATGTTTAGGATAATTATTACTGAAGTGACAATGTTATCCGTCTTCTCTGAACTGTTGTGCATGAGTGAAAAGTTTCCTGCTTCGTTATGCTCTGTGTACATTATGCCGTTCATCTCTAGGCTGACCTTTAGCGCTCAAACTCTAGGTGGCATTTTGCCTTCTCCCTACAGTTTTCAACCATTAGCTTTGCCCACGGTTTTCAACCATTAGCTTTGCCCACGACTACCTTTAGAAACATCAATAATCATAGCTTGCAAACATATGGCCCTTATCTTTCATTAGTGAGAAAGAATCCTTCCAAAAAATAAAATACACTTGCTGTAACAGTTTTCCACATATCCATACAGCTATGGTTGCCTCCATCCGACCAAACTACACTTCCGCTACACTTTCTGAATTACACACAGGTGTTCGGAGCGTGCTAGATAGCTTCTTAGCACAGGTGGTCGCCTCTTGTCTTATGTAAACAAGCGTTGTAACATGAAGATATGGCCGTGTGGGAACACTAACCCTTACCCTATCAACGTGTGTATCAATTTAACCTTTTGTTTTTTGAAAATTATTATTAACTTTTATGAAAGATAAGGTCCTTATGCTTCCAAAACCATACCGTAACAACGCGTGTCAATGTTCAGATTGAGCGTCTGGGCTCTTAACAAAACTCACCCGTACAGAAGACTCCTTCGTCCAATGACTCTTATGTGTAATGTAATGGAACTGTGTCATGATCACAGGCTAGGCTGACCTGTACCTTAGTTTTGAATTTACGGATTTCCTAACCAGAAGTTATTTCATTTTTTTAAGTGCCAGACCTCAGGAGTTCAATGCTCGGCTCGAGAAGCAAATTGAAATCAAGAGGGAGCCTCTTGGACACTCTAAACAAGCGGAGTTTGTCAAGCTCATGGAGCAGGAAGTAAGTTAATACATAACATATTTTGTTGGGTGTAATCATAATGTTTAAACATTGTCTGTTAGGCTACCCACCATTGCTTTGGGGTGCGTGCATCCCCCCTTGTAGAAGTCTTTACGCTGAAAGACTGCTAGCCCCTAGATGTAGCTTTGACAGCCTTCGTGCCAATATGCCCTACACAAATGTAGGGAAACACTGTTTAATTGACTCCAATTTGATATGCAACAAATCTTATCTTATTTGCAGTTGGAGAAGCGTGACAAGCAGTCTGATGGTTCAGGCAGATTCACTAAAGACAAGGTGAAAAGTAAAAAATGCTGTCCTCGATAGCATTGTAAATTGCTGAAGAGAATGTGGAATGGCATTGATTGATACTATTGACATTATTGGATTGCATTTGTATACAATTTTTCACAAGGTTTTATAGCCCATTACTTGTTACCCATATATGAGGGTAACTCACCCCATACACCTGGGTGATCCCATTAACGTCTTTTTTGGTTTTGCACAGACCCTAGGATCTATCCTCAACTTGGACTTGATCCAGGATAATTCGGGAGAAGAAATTGCAGAGGTATGTGTATTTACATATTTAGAGATTAAATATCATATCTAGGTAAAGAATCATGTTATTTTTCATGTTGTGCTCATAAGAGGAATGAAATATATATTTTTGTGTAACTTTCATTCTCTGTTTTCAGCTGTGGAGGCAGTATTATGCCACAAAAGACACAATCAGTGCTGTCTTACCAGTAAGTTTGCTATTTTGTCAGAACACACGTTTTCCAGTAATTTAACTTGCATGGCTTAGCTATTTATTGTCCTAAACAAATGTTTTTTTATAATTGCATAATTATTCCTCATTTTAGGCTCACATTTTTGAAGTCATTATCAACCGAGCCAAGTCGAACCCCGCGGTAAGAATCTCAATGCTCAGTGTCTATTAAAACTGTGCTGTAATATGTACAAAATTGGATGATAAAGAAGTGTGTTTGCAATGACATTGCATACAAATTAACAAAAACAAATTATTTGCCAATTTGTCTGGCATAATGACAATAGTCAGAGCAGATGTGATTGTTTGAGAAGTAACATGCAGTAAAGACCACTTGGTGCCAGTATTGCTCCAATAAAGAACGCTACGCTGCAGCATTCCACTAGTTCAGTGCTGCCTGTTAACCACAACCTGAATGATGTATAACTATTAGAACAACAGTGAATTGAGATATGATTGAATACCTGCATTTTATTATTTTGAGATGTTATACTCTTGAGTTCACAATTGGAACCCTTGTTGGTTGATGGTCGCAAAGCAGAATGATGGTAATCTAATGTCAGATAGTTGAGTAAAGAAATTGTTGAAAATAGACAGTGGTGATGATTATAATCTATAACTCCCCTATCTCCAGTTCCTGTATGCTTTACCCCAAAAGGAGGGTTATGAGTTCTTCCTGGGCCAGTGGTCGGACCACGAGCTCCATTTCACCTCCCTCATCAATGTCCAGGTATTATTCCCATAAAAGTTATTTGATCACTCCAATCCATCATCACTTATCCAAACGAAACCATATATTTTTTATAATATGGTATGTATTTATCTATATAAAATATAGGGATGGGCACGGTTATTCGAAAATTCAAATTTCCGAATGGATGTTAATATTCAATTACTTGGTAGTGTTCATTTCTGATAAATAAATGGGCCTATTTTTTTGTGGGGGGGACGTGCTTTGTCTAAAATGAAATACAAGTATTTATGTGACATTGCTACATAGCCTACAAGGATAGACCATTTCATTAAAAATGTTTATAAAACAGTTTTTATGAGCGCCTCATACAAAAGACTAATTTGTATCCTACACACGTTTCACACATGTAGCTTGTTATTGTCAGTCATCAAAGCGGCGCTACAGAGACTTCTCATCAATGCAAAATCGAATTAAAATTACGAATTACGTTGGCTAAATGAGAAGGAGTAGGCTACAATGATCAACTAACAGGTAGGCTGTTGTTTCATATGAATGGAGTTGTTATAAACAAGGACGCCTCAATTAGCCTTGCTACTTTAAAGTCTTTAGCTAGCTAGCTGGCTAACTTAGCTGGCTACTGTAGCTAGCTAGCTTCTTTAGCTACAAACTTTTTCGCTCGGGGGTGCCCCCCTTACAGCATTGGGGAACATCCCGCGCCCGCGACACGTCTAATTCTATGGGCACAAGCACTGTTCATGACAAACTATCCACAACCCTCTTGTTGGTGGAGAGAGTTTTGCAGGTTTAAAGCGTATTTCCTGCAATTCTACAATTTTGTCATGGTGCAAAGAAAATGTAGCAGTTTTAAAGCTAATTTTCTTGCAATTCTATTCATTTTGCCATATCTAATGTGGATTCGTGATATGAGTGACAAAATTACAACTATCTATGGGCTAAAAAACCTAAATAAAAAAGGTTTGCTGACATGGGCTAGTTGATCTGGACATTTCTGTTATAAATAGCTCTCTAAGGTATGCAATGACTAACATGACAAGAGGAACTGATGATGCACTACCCAATTTCGAAATTGTCTCCATTGAAGTTTCCCCAAACACTTTTTTTTCTTTAAAACACGTATTTCGACAATCCGGATATCAGAAAAAAATGACATAATTTACATTTACATCATTTAGCAGATACATCATGATATTATTCAAATAGTGAGATGTTTAAAATTGTTGTTTGAACCCTAAACTGGCACACCTGATTCAATTAGTCAATTAATCATCAAGCCTTTGACTAATTGAATCAGGTGTGCCTGTTTTAGGGTTAAAACAAAAATGTGAAATGTCTGGGGGGGCCGAGGAGAGCGTTGGGTATACCCTATAGTATAGATCAGGGCTCTCAACCCTGTTCCTGGAGAGCTACTGTCCTGTAGGTTTTCACTCCAACCCTAATCTACCACACCTGATTATATTAATTAGCTGGTTGATAAGCTGAACCAGGTTAGTTACAACTGGGGTTGGAGTGAACCTACAGGATGGTAGCTCTCCAGGAACAGGGTTGGAGACCCCTGGAATAGATTATATTGTATAACACAGGGTGTTTTTCTGACCCTCTCCACAGACTATGGGAGAGCACGCCCCCAGTCAGTTGATCTTCTACCACTACTCAGACTTGCAGAAGGATAAGGGTGTAGTGCTCATGACTGCTGAGATGGACCCTAAGTTTATGGTAAGTTGTTTCTAATAAGCCATCGTACCTATACAATACAGTTCCAACAGCTGCGAGCTGCCCAGTGACACAAGCCTACCAGACGAGCTAAATCACTTCTATGCTCGCTTTGAGGCAAGCAACACTGAAGCATGCATGAGAGCATCAGCGGTTCCTGATGACTATGTGATCACGCTCTCCGTAGCCGATGTGAGTAAGACTTTTAAGCAGGTCAACATTCACAAGGCCGCAGGGCCAGACGGTTTACCAGGACGTGTACTCCGAGCATGCGCTGACCAACTGGCAAGTGGCTTCACTGACATTTTCAACATGTCCCTGACTGAGTCTGTAATACCAGCATGTTTCAAGCAGACCACCATAGTCCCTGTGCCCAAGAACACTAAGATAACCTGCCTAAATGACTTTGAAGTACTATGAAGTACTTTGAAAGGCTGGTCATGGCTCACATCAACACCATTATCCCAGAAACCCTAGACCCACTCCAATTTGCATACCGCCCCAACAGATCCACAGATGATGCAATCTCTATTGCACTCCACACTGCCCTTTCCCACCTGGACAAGAGGAACACCTACGTGAGAATGCTATTAATTGACTACAGCTCAGCGTTCAACACCATAGTGCCCTCAAAGCTCATCACTAAGCTAAGGACCCTGGGACTAAACCCGTCCCTCTGCAACTGGATCCTGGACTTCCTGACGGGCCGCCCCCAGGTGGTAAGGGTAGGTAACAACACATCTGCCACGCTGATCCTTAATACGGGGGCCCCTCATGGGTGCGTGCTCAGTCCCCTCCTGTACTCCCTGTTCACCCATGACTGCATGGCCAGGCATGACTCCAACACCATCATTAAGTTTGCCGACCACATAACAGTGAAAGGCCTATTCCCCCTCAGGAGACTGAAAAGATTTGGCATGGGTCCTCAGATCCTCAAACAGTTCTACAACTGCACCATCGAGAGCATCCTGACTGGTTGCATCACCGCCTGGTATGGCAACTGCTCGGCCTCCAACCGCAAGGCACTACAGAGGGTAGTGCGTACGGCCCAGTACATCACTGGGGCCAAGCTTCCTGCCATCCAGGACCTCTATACCAGGCGGTGTCAGATGAAGGCCCTAAAAATTGTCAAAGACTCCAGCCACCCTAGTCATAGGCTGTTCTCTCTGCTACCGCATGGCAAGCGGTACAGGAGCGCCAAGTGCCGGTCCAAAAGGCTTCTTAACAGCTTCTACACCCAAGCCATAAGACTCCTGAACAGCTAATCATGGCTACCCGGACTATTTGCATTGTCCCCCCCACCCCCTCTTTTACGCTGCTGCAACTCTGTTTATTATCTATGCATAGTCACTTTAACTCCACCCACATGTACATATTACCTCAATAACCTCGACTAACCGGTGCCCCCGCATATTGACTCTGTACCTGTACCCCCTGTATATAGCCTCCCTACTGTTATTTTATTTTACAGCTGCTCTTTAATAAATTTTTTACATAACACTTATTCTTAACTGCATTGTTGGTTAAGGGCTTGTAAGTAAGCATTTTACTGTAAGGTCTACACCTGTTGTATTCGGCGCATGTGGCAAATAAAATTTGATTTGATTTAATCATAAAGATGTTGAAGTCAATGTTAGAAATCAGCAGCAGAAGAATCCAATTATGCATATGCTCCACATGCAACATAACCTTTACCCATACAGGCTAATCAGACGTGTATACAAACAGCACATTAATAAATGATATCAACAACTTTGCTGTGTGAGATGGTAATTGGTCAAGTATTTGTACTGTAGATTACAATGTAATTTTACCTCTGGTATTTTGTTTGTTTATTACACAGTAGTTACCAGATTTCATCATATATAGCTTAGCTATTTGTTTTGGTCTAAGTAGAGGAAAGCTTATAACGAAACACTCCTCTTTTGCAGACCGTACATCTGGCTCAGTGCTTGGCCAATCAGGTGCAGCTATTCTACGGAACCCAGCGGCAGGAGACCTTCCGATTGGTGGAGACCTTTAACCACAAACCAGCCGACTTCAAACACATGGCAGTGATCGCTGAGTTGGAACAGAGCGGCATCAACCCTGCACTCACCTCTGGAAACTAGATCTAAGAGTTGTCGGAGTGTAAAATTGCTCCAATTCACCACAGGATTGGGATCGCCAGGGGACGTGGTAGTTCATTTGGAGCCTATTCTTGCATTTGCGGGGGATAAAGGATGAAGTCTGTTGCTTGGGACTTATGACCTGGTTGAGCAGATGCATCAGTCAAAATGTATGCTAAAATCCTGGCCGTAATGAATCAATGTTATTTAATCTTATCAAAGCCTTAAATGTTCTTCCTCACCACGCCCCTGTCAATCTTGCACTTGACAGTAGTCTCATATTCCTGTCAGAACCTAGGGGACGTCCCAAAAGGCACCCTATTCCCTAAAGAGTGCACTGCATTTGACCAGAGCCCTATGAGCCCAGGTCAAAGGTAGTGCACTATAAACGGATTAGGGTGCCATTTGGGACGTTATCCCAGTGTTTTGTGTTTACCCCTCCGAATATGCTTGTTGTTTTTGTATAGAATAACTGCCGGAATTTGGCTTTCAAAACATAAGGGAGTGTACAATGAGATTGTGTACATACCTATCTAGCTTTGTGGTTGACACATGGATGAACTGTGTAATACAGAAAAAAATTGTGGTCACGTTATTCACCTGTTGTGTCACTTTGAGTGTCCTGATACGTTGTTGTAATAAATTAGAGATATTGACAATGCCATACTATTCAAGTGGGATATTCATAACATGCTAAATTACAGCTGTAGTTGTACGGCTATGAAAATGCAGAGATTATTTTCTGATTGTGTGTACTTTGCACAATCAATGTAAACAACATTGTGAAGTGACTTACTGCATCACAGACTGAGACCAGTATAAATGTATAGCTATATTTTTTACTTGTAGCCTGCCTATCTCATGGATGAGTCATGTAGGCTAATATAATCAAAACGGTGCGAATTCCTGTAATGCCGTTCTGTGGTCTGATAGGCTTCTGTTCCTACAGAGGAGTGCCGGTGTACAAATTTGGTCCATTCCATTCACAGGAGTTTGTCTTTACGAGGGCTTTTTCTTTACATAAGGAGGTACCGACACTTTTGCAAATTGTCCTCCCACTGCAGAATGACTGCCGACAATGGTTATGGCTGTGTAGTGTAGAGCAGAGTTCTCCACTGGCGGTGGTTTTATTTGCCCCCCCCCCCCCCCCAATCTTCTGAGCAAAAATAAACATTTTTTTGAATTTTCATTGTTGGACATAAAATACTGTACAAACACCAGGAAATCAGCTCCAAGTGATTCGAACCCCATCACATGATTGGATAACCTGTCGCTACAGATCAAGACAGAAGCCGATTCAGATAGATAATCAAGAAGTATTTTGCAAACGACTTGACTTCGCCAGGTGCATACAGCTCAGTTCAGTCGCTGAGCCAACGAAAGGAGAACGGCGAGAAAACAACCACCCAGAGAAGATTTAGAGGTAAACATTGAATGTCTTGGTATTTTACCGGTTATCCGTATACTTGTAGAATTACAGCAATAACTGTATGGGTCCTAGTCTGACAGCAGTGCCATATGACCAAAGACAAATGTCAAATTAGCCTATATATTTGCATCGTAGCTACACCTGTGCCTTAATCATAACGATGGCATTTCGATGATGGTTTTCACAAGCCTACTGTATACATAAATTGATGTCTATGGTTTCTCTGAATGAAGATGCCATCTCCTAAATGTTGCACTTAGAGTTATAGCTTTAGTCTTACATTTTGAATAGCCTGTGTGTGTTTTGAATAACGGGCACACCTGCGGTTTAAACCAGTTTTCAGTGCCCAGCATTTGCACTGACCAACCATTTAGCCTACATACATAGTCGACTAACACATGAAAAATACACTAGAACATGTCTAGACATCACTGTCTAATAAATTCAACTAATATATCCAGTTAACACTGTTGCATATTAGCCCCATTTTATTAATTATATAATATATAGGTTATTATAATAAAGCTACCATACAACATCCCTTTTTCCCAGTGTCATGACATTTCTGAGAAATCTGTTCTAGAAGATGCCCCAACAGATAACTAAAATGGTAGAAATGTGGAGATAATGGATTAGACTCTTGCCAGACATTCCACAACACCATATTATACCCCTACTATAATAGTCCTGAAACCATGGTTTCCTCTGCAAAGGCATTCATTCTTGAGTAAACACTTCTCTCCAACCCCTTTTGACTAATCCACCTATCTGTCTACACACATGATCAATGCTCCAATGCTCCACAGATGGCGAAGGCAGACCAGCGCTTTGGGCAGAGAGATGGCTCCGACCAGAACTTTGACTACATGTTCAAGCTCCTCATCATTGGCAACAGCAGTGTGGGCAAGACCAGCTTTCTCTTCCGATATGCCGACGACTCGTTCAGCAACTCTTTCGTCAGCACGGTGGGCATTGACTTCAAAGTCAAGACCGTCTACAGGAATGAAAAGAGGGTCAAGCTCCAGATATGGGTGAGTAGTTGCAGTTGCTTCTATGCCATTCAACCCAATCTATTTCTAGCCTGGGTACCATTCTGTTTGTGCCATCATGCCTCTCCTTGTCATGCCAAACATAAAAATGTGTGACAAGGAGTTGACATGACAGCACAAACAGATCACGCTATATATTCACACCGTATGGAATTTGAAGATATTCCATTCTATTCTATTCTCTATCTATTCTCTATCTATACCACCATGAATGTGCCATGTGGTGACAGATGTTGTTCAAGCTGTCGTTTGTTTGTCACCTGTTTGCAGACAGTCAGTGGGCTTGATCAGACAGCACAGGAGATAATGATCAAATTCCATTCAACCAAGGCCTGCTGTATATTGTCAGTCTACAGATACTGTAGTTACATGCTAAAAGTCCACTGCTCAAGATACAGTGCTTGAGTGTACTGTGCATAAGGACTATATTCATTATGCGCAAATACATACAGGATACGTAATCATGTTATTATGTGCGTAATGATAACATTCAGTCCTTTCCGGGTATGCTTTGTTGATCCATTTAGCATATTTCTTTGGCTCGAGCTCCACATTCACAATCGCACCCAGTCCTTGTAACTGTCTATGACGATTTCATTACTGTACTATCAAACAAATATCGACATCCTCCTGTCTTTTGGATGTCTCAATAGTAATGCTTCAGACTGGGACAATCTTTCTCCTGCAGGCCTAGGGATAAAAAATAGGAAACAGAAGCGTCTGGTGAGCTTGCATCATCGGGCGATGATGGTTGTCATGGCAGCAGGTCTTCACACTACTCCCCAACAAAGAGATCCTGCAGGCAATTAAAGTGGCCCCTTAGGGTGAAGGGGTAGAACCTACGGAGGGTACACAGGGTCTGGGGGTACGGAAGTGGGGGTCTAGGCAGACTAAACTGCCAGAGTAAATTGCAATTTGTGATAAGCAGAGAGCGGTAATCAGCGCAGATTGATCCCATCTTAAATGCCTGGCTGGAGGTGTAAAAATAGAAGGCAGTGCACTCACACTCAAAACAGCTGCTGCGCTATTGATATTGGCAGCAGCAACAACAATCTAGCAAAAAGCTACAGTAATGCCACTGGCATTGTGATTGCAGATAGCGAGCTCCACTAAAGATGGTTTAATGAACCAATAGAATAGTCCAAAACTGCAAGCCCCACCCATCTGGCACTCCAGGCAGGCTAGAGCAAACGGTCAAAGTATTTGAAAGATTTCAAATAGTATTTGAAGCCAGGTCTGGTGGAAGGTGGCCAGACATCCACTTTGCAGTCACACATTTGTCTGGGATGCGGCCTGCTGCATGTTGTTTTACTTTCTCAGGAGTAAATGCATTGTTGTTAAACTTACCGTATGCCTGCTTTCCAGTCAGTTCACTCATATATTATGACAAAATGTTGTGACGTTTTTGTTTGTTTTGGTTCTCGGTAGGGGTTTTTTCAGCTGTTCGAGCGCACAATTTTTTTTCTTGAGGCTAATCGAAGTTCGGTAGCCCTTCATCGGTGATTGGTCAACAGTAGGGATTCTTCAGTTAAGTGTTAGATGTGATTCAACGTTTTTTCACTTAAGAAATACTGCACCAAGTATCTTAGTTCGATGTAAAATTTTACGACTAAGACCTGCTCGGCAAAAACGTCAACTTTTATTACAGATTTCTTGATTTATCTTAGATTCATTCAGACTATTTTGATGAAGTTGATATTGGCTATTTGTTGCTACGGTATCTCAAGAGGGACAAACTGTAATATTGCAGCTTTTTTCTCGTTTTTCAACCAAAGGTCTTTGAAGTAAGTATGCGAGGCACAGACGTTCGCTTCGCCTAGCCGAGTTCTGCTAGGAGCAAACCGAACCTAGTATGCAGACACCATTTAGTGTACAACCATTGTGATTGGTCAAAGGCGGCAGCGGAGCCTATGTCTATGTACTGTGCCTTCGGAAAGTATTCAGACCCCTTGACTTTTTCCACATTTTGTTAGGTCACAACCTGATGTGGAACATTATCACTATACTTATTAAAAATCAAAGTTCTTCCAGAGTTTTTGTAGAATCAAGACTTTATTACACAGAGTAACGGAAACCGAGCAGGTCTGCAGAGCACCTCCCCTCTACCTCTCAGCTCTCCGTTTATATAGTCATATTCACATACATCTTAGCTTAAAGCCCCTCCCTCTTGGGTTCCCCCACAACCCCCTTCAGTTTCCCCCTCTCGACCGCTCCACCCACTTCCTTAGTCTATGATAGCGGCTAAATTGGACTTTTATTCAGTTTAGAATCAATATTAGTATAATCAATCCAGCCCTTATTATGCAAAAACACTCATGTTCAGCTTAAACTCTGTTCAACCCCGCCTCTCCCTGGCTTGACCTGAAGATTGATTGTTGGACATGACAGGTCCACACTCAATCTTTCGAACGTACCCAAACCCACTCCTCTCTTCCCTCCCGTCATGCTGTAATTACTCATGATTAGTCTAACCTCTGTTCAACTCGGGCGCCGCTCTTTCCATTTTGTTTGATGAGAGAGGCAAAAGGCCACAGTCTGGTTTCAGTCCCTGATAAGGTAGGACAGCCATGGATTAGGTAAGAACGAGGAATTCGACCCTAGGTCAGATCCCCACTTAACACATACACCCAAACCCAGTGAAAGGAACCATTCAAGTTCTTGCCTAGCAACAGAGAATCCCGACTATATGTTCGTCATGTCTGTGATTTAACATTGTTTATCCAATAGTTTACTAACAAATCTTCATCCAGCCTTAATCTAAAATTGATTATATATATTTTTCTCATCAATCTACACACAATACCCCATAAAGACACTCCTGAGTTGTCTTGGCTGTGTGCTTTGAGTCGTTCTCCTGTTGGAAGGTGAACCTTCGCCCCAGTCAGAGGTTCTGAGCGCTCTGGAGCAGGTTTTTATCAAGGATCTCTCTGTACTTTGCTCCGTTCATCTTTGCCTCGATCCTGACTAGTCCCTGCCTCTGAAAAACATCCCCACAGCATGATGCTGCCACCACCATGCTTCACCGTAGGGATGGTGCCAGGTTTCCTCCAGACGTGACGCTTGGCATTCAGGCCAAAGAGTTGAGTCTTGGTTTCATCAGACCAGAGAATCTTGTTTCTCATGGTCTGAGAGTCTTTAGGTGCCTTTTGGCAAACTCCAAGCGGGCTGTCGTGTGCCTTTTACTAAGGAGTTGCTTCCTTCTGGCCACTCTACCATAAAGGCCTGATTGGTGGAGTGCTGCAGAGATGGTTGTCCTTCTGGAAGGTTCTCCCATCTCCACAGAGGAACTCTGGAGCTCTGTCAGAGTGACCATCGGGTTCTTGGTCACCTCCCTGACCAAGGCCCTTCTCCCCCGATTGCTCAGTTTGGCCAGCTCTAGGAAGAGTGTTGGTGATTACAAACTTCTTCCATTTAAGAATGATGGAGGCCACTGTGTTCTTGGGGACCTTCAATGCTGCAGAAATGTTTTGGTACCCTTCCCCAGATCTGAGCCTCGACAAAATCCTGTCTCGGAGCTCTACGGACAATTCCTTCGAGCTCATGGCTTGGTTTTTGCTCTGACATGCACTGTCAACTGTGGCACCTTATATAGACAGGTGTGTGCCTTTCCAAATCATGTCCAATCAATTGAATTTACCACAGGTGGACTCCAATCAAGTTGTAGAAACATCTCAAGGATGATCAATGGGAACAGGATGCACCTGAGCTCAATTTCGAGTCTCATAGCAAATGGTCTGAACACTTATGGAAATACGTTTTTTGTACAACCTGTTTTTGCTTTGTCATTATGGGTGTATTGTGTGTACAGTGGGGAAAAAAAGTATTTAGTCAGCCACCAATTGTGCAAGTTCTCCCACTTAAAAAGATGAGAGAGGCCTGTAATTTTCATCATAGGTACACGTCAACTATGACAGACAAATTGAGAGAAAAAAAATCCAGAAAATCACATTGTAGGATTTTTTATGAATTTATTTGCAAATTATGGTGGAAAATAAGTATTTGGTCACCTACAAACAAGCAAGATTTCTGGCTCTCACAGACCTGTAACTTCTTCTTTAAGAGGCTCCTCTGTCCTCCACTCGTTACCTGTATTAATGGCACCTGTTTGAACTTGTTATCAGTATAAAAGACACCTGTCCACAACTTCAAACAGTCACACTCCAAACTCCACTATGGCCAAGACCAAAGAGCTGTCAAAAGACACCAGAAACAAAATTGTAGACCTGCACCAGGCTGGGAAGACTGAATCTGCAATAGGTAAGCAGCTTGGTTTGAAGAAATCAACTGTGGGAGCAATTATTAGGAAATGGAAGACATACAAGACCACTGATAATCTCCCTCGATCTGGGGCTCCACGCAAGATCTCACCCCGTGGGGTCAAAATGATCACAAGAACAGTGAGCAACAATCCCAGAACCACACGGGGGGACCTAGTGAATGACCTGCAGAGAGCTGGGACCAAAGTAACAAAGCCTACCATCAGTAACACACTACGCCGCCAGGGACTCAAATCCTGCAGTGACAGACGTGTCCCCCTGCTTAAGCCAGTACATGTCCAGGCCCGTCTGAAGTTTGCTAGAGTGCATTTGGATGATCCAGAAGAGGATTGGGAGAATGTCATATGGTCAGATGAAACCAAAATAGAACTTTTTGGTAAAAACTCAACTCGTCGTGTTTGGAGGACAAAGAATGCTGAGTTGCATCCAAAGAACACCATACCTACTGTGAAGCATGGGGGTGGAAACATCATGCTTTGGGGCTGTTTTTCTGCAAAGGGACCAGGACGACTGATCCGTGTAAAGGAAAGAATGAATGGGGCCATGTATCGTGAGATTTTGAGTGAAAACCTCCTTCCATCAGCAAGGGCATTGAAGATGAAACGTGGCTGGGTCTTTCAGCATGACAATGATCCCAAACACACAGCCCGGGCAACGAAGGAGTGGCTTCGTAAGAAGCATTTCAAGGTCCTGGAGTGGCCTAGCCAGTCTCCAGATCTCAACCCAACAGAAAATCTTTGGAGGGAGTTGAAAGTCCGTATTGCCCAGCGACAGCCCCAATACATCACTGCTCTAGAGGAGATCTGCATGGAGGAATGGGCCAAAATACCAGCAACAGTGTGTGAAAACCTTGTGAAGACTTACAGAAAACGTTTGACCTGTGTCATTGCCAACAAAGGGTATATAACAAAGTATTGAGAAACTTTTGTTATTGAACAAATACTTATTTTCCACCATAATTTGCAAATAAATTCATTAAAAATCCTACAATGTGATTTTCTGGATTGTTTTTTCTCATTTTGTCTGTCATAGTTGACGTGTACCTATGGTGAAAATTACAGGCCTCTCTCATCTTTTTAAGTGGGAGAACTTGCACAATTGGTGGCTGACTAAATACTTTTTTTCCCCACTGTAGGTAGCTAAGGATTTTTTTTATTTTAATCAATTTTAGAATGAGGCTGTAACGTAGCAAAATGTGGATCTGAATACTTTCCGAAGGCGCTGTATGTGAAATCCCCATTAATTAGATGACGACAAAGTGCAGGGCTGTTTCCTACATGTTTCTGCTTATGCGCATTTGCCACATGAATGAACACAGAGGCTGTGAAATGGCAACAAATCAGCATTAGTGTCACGGTTCAGACAGACGACCAGAGGACCACAATTGCGTCACACCAGAAAGTTTATTAAACTTAAGGGAAAAGGGAAGTAGGGAGTGAATGAAGGCTCCAGGGGTAACAGGGATCCCGTCCAATGTGCTGGGTCTGTGCCCCCCCCAGTGGCAGCGATGCGTCCTATGAAGCCGGTGGTGGGTGGTCCAGAAGTCCTGGGGGGGGGAGACACAGACACAACAGGGCGGAATGAAACAAGGCAGCAGTACAGTTCAAGGGAAATCCAAAATACGTAGTAGCAAGGCAGAAGGCTGGTCAGAGTTACCGGGATTGAAGAGTAGTCAGGAGTCGTAATGGCAGAAGCAGGTCTGGATCTCCTGAGGCAGAAGAGTATCCAAAAAACAGGCAGGTCCGGGGTCACAAAACCAGGGTGAGCCAGAAGCGCGAGCAAACAGGTTCCGGGTGTGAGCTTTGCAGACGATCTGACACCGGAGAGCTGAAAGACAGGGCCTTAAATACTGGGAGAGGTAGTGGGTAATGCAGCGCAGCTGGCAGAGTAATTAGAGCAGAGCAGAGCAGGGACAGGTGGAGCTAGTTAGGCTGAGTAGAGAGAGTGGTGAGCAGAGTGGAAGAAAATTAAGGTGGTAACCCGGTGGAGTGAGAGGCCCATGACAGAACCCCCCCCCCAAGGGACGGCCCCAGAAGTCCCAAGAGCAACACCACGCCGGGCGGGAGGAGGGGAGCCGGAGGAGGGCTAGAACTCCTCCGAACGGTCCGAGTGAACGTCCTCATCCTCGGAGGAAGCCGGAGGGCCGTGGTCGGGAGATGGGACAGGTCCCGAGACAGGATCAGGCACAGGACAGGAAGCCGAGCGGGCAGGACGGTTAGGGACCCCTCTGGGGCGGCCCCTACGGATTGCAGGTTGATCAGGATGCCGTTGGTGGAAAGCGGTGATGAGAGTCCTATCCACAATCCGACTAGCTGGCACCCAGGTCCTTTCCTCAGGTCCATAGCCCTCCCAGTCAATGAGGTACTGGAGACCCCTACCCCTCCGTCTGGACCGAAGCAGGCGGCGGACGGTGTAAACCAGACCACCATCGACGAGCCGTGGAGGAGGAGGACCAGGCGCAGCAGGGACCAGCGGACTCTCATGGATGGGCTTAATCTTAGACACATGGAAAGTGGGGTGCACCCTCAGGGAATTAGGCAGTTGGAGCCGGACAGCAGTTGGGCTAATCACTCTTATGATAGGGAATGGGCCAATGAACCGAGGTGCCAGCTTCTGCGACTCCACCCTGAGTGGCAGGTTCTTCGATGACAACCACACCCTTTGACCAACATGGTAGGTGGGAGCAGGAATTCTCCGACGGTTGGCCCCGGTAGTGTAGCTGGCAACGGATCTGAGGAGTGTGGCTCGGGCTTGTGACCAGGTGCGGCGACATCGACGGGCAAAAGCAAGTGCAGATGGGCAAGTAACCTCCTCTTCCTGGCTGGCAAATAGAGGAGGCTGGTATCCATAAACACATTGGAAAGGGGACATACCGATGGCAGAGCAGGTCAGAGAATTGTGTGCGTACTCCACCCATGTCAATTGCTGCGACCAGGAGTGGGGGTTGCGTGAAGTCATGCATCGCAGTGCCTTCTCGAGCTCCTGATTAGCCCGCTCTGACTGCCCATTGGATTGGGGATGGAATCCGGAAGTCAGACTGACTGTGGCTCCCAGCAGGTGACAGAACTCCTTCCAAAAAGCGGAGGAGAATTGTGGACCACGGTCAGAAACTACATCCTTTGGCAGTCCGTGGATCCGGAAGACGTGTTCCAGGACCACCTGGGCGGTCTCCTTGGCGGTTGGGAGCTTGGGGAGGGGAATGAAGTGTGCCATCTTGCTGAAACGGTCAACGATGGTGAGAATGACGGTCATGCCACTTGAAGGGGGCAGCCCCGTGACAAAGTCAAGGGCGATGTGAGACCAGGGACGTCTGGGCACAGGCAGGGGCTGCAGCAATCCGGCTGGGGGCTGGCAGGACGACTTATGTTGGTTGCAGATGGGGCAGGCTTGGACGAATTCCCGTACATCCTTCCTCAGAGAGGGCCACCAGAACCTCTGGGCGAGCAGGTTGTAAGTGCGGGTGGAGCCAGGGTGACAAGCTAGGCGGGAGTCATGTCCCCACTGAACGACCTGGGACCTCAGGTCTTCGGGGACAAAAAGGCGGTCAGCTGGGCAAGTGCTGGGACCTGGCTGGTTACGGAGAGCCTCCAGCACCTGTTCCTCAACAGCCCAGGTCAGAGCTGCAACGATGCAGGGACTTGGCAGAATCGACACAGGGTCCTTGGAGGGGGTGTCATCCTTCTGGAATTGACGGGAGAGGGCGTCTGGCTTGGTGTTGCGTGATCCAGGCCGGTATGACAGAGTGAAATTAAACCTGGTGAAGAACAGGGCCCAGCGGGACTGCCTGGAGTTCAACCGTTTGGCCGTGCGGATGTACTCCAAGTTCTTATGATCGGTCCAAACGAGAAATGGAATGGTGGACCCCTCCAGCCAGTGACGCCACTCCTCCAAGGCAAGCTTCACAGCCAGCAGCTCACGGTTCCCTATGTCGTAATTGCACTCAGAGGGGGACAACCGACGTGAGAAAAAGGCACAGGGATGGAGCTTCCTATCCTCCGCAGCCCACTGAGAAATCACAGCACCAACTCCCACATCCGAGGCGTCCACCTCCACAATGAATTGCCGGTCCACATCAGGCATCTGGAGGATGGGAGCGGAGGTGAACCTCACCTTGAGGGTACTGAAGGCTTTGTCGGCTGCTGGGGTCCAGGTGAAGGGTTGCTTGGTGCTGGTTAGAGCAGTGAGAGGGGCAGCAACGGTACTGTAGTTCCGGATAAACTTCCTATAGAAGTTAGCAAACCCCAGAAACTGTTGCAGCTTCTTTCTGTTCTCCGGAACTGGCCATGAAGTGACTGCTGATACTTTGGCAGGATCCATTTGGATACTTCCCTCTGCCACTATGTACCCCAGGAAGGCCACTGTCTTGACGTGAAACTCACATTTCTCTGCCTTGGCGTAGAGGGAATTCTCCAGAAGACGATGAAGGACTTGCTGGACATGGCGGGTGTGTTCAGACAGGTTTCTGGAGTAGATTAAGATGTCATCCAGGTAAACGAAGACAAACTTGTTTAACATGTCCCGCAGTACATCATTCACTAGAGCCTGGAACACAGCAAGGAGCATTGGTGAGGCCAAAAGGCATAACCAGATACTCGTAGTGGCCTGTTGGTGTATTGAATGCGGTTTTCCATTCATCTCCCTCCCGGATCCGCACTAGGTGGTAAGCGTTTCTGAGATCCAACTTGGTAAAAACAGTGGCTCCCTGGAGCAACTCAAAAGCAGAGGTGAGCAGAGGCAGAGGGTAACGGTTTTTCACTGTGATGTCGTTGAGTCCCCTGTAGTCGATGCAGGGGCGAAGAGATCCGTCCTTCTTCCCCACAAAGAAGAAGCCAGCACCAGCAGGAGATGAAGATGAACGGATTAATCCTGCGGACAGAGAGCCATTGATGTAGTCCTCCATGGACTTTCTTTCAGGAGCAGACAACGAATAAAGACGACCCTTTGGAGGAGCTGTTCCAGGGAGGAGGTCGATGGCACAGTCGTACGGTCGGTGAGGGGGCAGAGATGTGGCTCTTGCTTTGTTAAACACCTCTCTGAGACCATGGTAGCATTCTGGGACATTGGAGAGGTCAGGAGCGGAGTTAGTAGGTACTGGCCGAGGGGGTAGTGCGGCAGCAAGCAGGCAGGTTCGGTGGCAGTCCTCTCCCCACTCCCTGATCACCCCGGTCACCCAGTCGAGCTGAGGGTTGTGCCGGCGGAGCCATGGGTAACCCAGGATGAGGGGTTGGCCTGGAGAGGGGAGCAGGTGAAACTGGATAGTTTCTTGATGGTTTCCGGACAGACCCATCGAGACCGGGGCCGTGACATGAGTGACCGATCCGAGTAAGTGTCCGTCCAGTGCCCGGGCAGGAATAGGAGGTGTCAAACGGAGGTTCTCCAGTCCCAGTTGGCGTGCCAGCTTGATGTCCATTATGTTGGCTTCGGCGCCAGAATCCACCAGAGCAGCCAGGGTGTGAGTTGAGTCAGAGAGGCGGAGGTGAACTTGCAGCAGGGGTTTGCGGTCGGAGGACTGGATGGTCATTGAACTCAACCGGACTCCCCCTATGCCCGGTGAGCTTCGGCCCTTTAAAGGGCAGGTTACCACACGATGTCCATCACCTCCACAATAGAGGCAGAGGTTTGAGGTGAAGCGGCGCTGGCGCTCTGCAGGAGTGAGAGAGGCTCGCCCAATCTCCATAGGCTCAGACTGATCAAGCTGACCTGGGTGAGTGGCCGTAGATGACAGGAGCCCAGTCGGATCTCTCCGAATGCCGGTAGTAGGTGGACCTTGGCGCCCCCTCTCACGACGACGGGTCTGTATCCTTCTGTCGATCCTGACAGTCAGTGCGATGGCTTCATCAAGAGTGGAAGGCAGTTCATGGGAGACCAACTCGTCCTTGATATAGTCAGCCAAACTATGGAAGAACGCGTCCACCAACGATGGTGTGTTCCAAGAACTTCGTCTAGCCAGGGTTCGGAAGTCGATGGAATGGTCTGCGACTGTACGTCTGCCTTGTCGAATACTGAACAGTTCACGAGACGCCTCTGCGGTGGGTGAATCCAGGTCAAACACCTTCAGCATCTCCTCAGCAAACAGGTCGAAGGTTGCACATGCGGGGGTTTGACGTTCGAACTCTGCTGTTCCCCAGAGTCGAGCTCGGCCCGTCAGGTGAGTGATGGCATACCCAACTTTAGCCCCCTCCGTGGCGAAGGTCCTTGGCTGCAAGGAGAACTGAAGTCGGCAGCTAGTCAGGAATGGCCGGACCTGGGTTGAATCGCCGTTGAACCGCTCGGGGTTTCCAATCTTGGGTTCCGGAGCAGCGGCTGCAATGACCGGGGCAGGTAACTCGGAGGCAGGGCTGGTGGGCAGACTGGCTGGGGTAAGGTTGGTGAGGAGTTGAATGATCATGGCGAGTTGTTGTTGCTGCTGCTGGAACTGCTGCTCATGCTCATCGGTTTCCATGTCGGGGAAAGTGTGCGCTGAGTCCATAATGGTCAGATCGTACTGTCACGGTTCAGACAGACGACCAGAGGACCACAATTGCGTCACACCAGAAAGTTTATTAAACTTAAGGGAAAAGGGAAGTAGGGAGTGAATGAAGGCTCCAGGGGTAACAGGGATCCCGTCCAATGTGCTGGGTCTGTGCCCCCCCCAGTGGCAGCGATGCGTCCTATGAAGCCGGTGGTGGGTGGTCCAGAAGTCCTGGGGGGGGGAGACACAGACACAACAGGGCGGAATGAAACAAGGCAGCAGTACAGTTCAAGGGAAATCCAAAATACGTAGTAGCAAGGCAGAAGGCTGGTCAGAGTTACCGGGATTGAAGAGTAGTCAGGAGTCGTAATGGCAGAAGCAGGTCTGGATCTCCTGAGGCAGAAGAGTATCCAAAAAACAGGCAGGTCCGGGGTCACAAAACCAGGGTGAGCCAGAAGCGCGAGCAAACAGGTTCCGGGTGTGAGCTTTGCAGACGATCTGACACCGGAGAGCTGAAAGACAGGGCCTTAAATACTGGGAGAGGTAGTGGGTAATGCAGCGCAGCTGGCAGAGTAATTAGAGCAGAGCAGAGCAGGGACAGGTGGAGCTAGTTAGGCTGAGTAGAGAGAGTGGTGAGCAGAGTGGAAGAAAATTAAGGTGGTAACCCGGTGGAGTGAGAGGCCCATGACAATTAGTGCAAAACAAGCTTTCTATATTTAGATGGGAAGAAAACCCACAGCCAATTACATTCTGTAGTCAAGATGAAATAGTTACATTAGGAAAAATGGAAGCTCCCATAGGGACTAACAGATAAGATATTGACGCCTCTGAAAGTCACATTAAGATTTAGATGGCGATCATGGTGTGCATAGATGGGGTGAGATCAGTGGACATGTTTTTGGTATCAATAGATAGGTTAGATTTAGTCTTTGAGTGGCTTATTATGATTAGGGAGATGTTTGTGTGGTAACCTGGTCCCAGGTCTGTGTTTTGTTGTATTATCATAGGAGTTGGCTACATAGCGCAAACAGATCTGGAACCAGCCTATTGGTAAATATCACCCACTTACACATTCAAACCTCTCCTTCCCTTACAGTTAAATAGCCAGGACACAGATGATGTCAATTGATCAGAAGCATCAGAGGCGTATGTGGGTCTTTCTATAAACTAGGGTACCAGTGAGGATTTCCTACTCTGGACAACTTGTTACAGCTTTTGATAAGTCTTTGATAATATTCTACTGATTTTTAATTGAAAACCTATGTTTAACCCTTTATCATGGTTGGTGTCATGACGGAGTTGGCCGAAATCGTGTGACATAATACATTACTTTTCTCTCCTTGCATTTATGGCAGTGTAAGTTGTCGTTACAGTGAGGGAAAAAAGTATTTGATCCCCTGCTGATTTTGTACGTTTGCCCACTGACAAAGAAATGATCAGTGTATAATGTTAATGGTAGGTTTATTTGAACAGTGAGAGACAGAATAACAACAAAAAAATCCAGAAAAACCCATGTCAAAAATGTTATAAATTGATTTGCATTTTAATGAGGGAAATAAGTATTTGACCCCCTCTCAATCAGAAAGATTTCTGGCTCCCAGGTGTCTTTTATACGGGTAACGAGATGAGATTAGGAGCACACTCTTAAAGGTAGTGCTCCTAATCTCAGCTTGTTACCTGTATAAAAGACACCTGTCCACAGAAGCAATCAATCAATCAGATTCCAAACTCTCCACCATGGCCAAGACCAAAGAGCTCTCCAAGGATGTCAGGGACAAGATTGTAGACCTACACAAGGCTGGAATGGGCTACAAGACCATCGCCAAGCAGCTTGGTGAGAAGGTGACAACAGTTGGTGCGATTATTCGCAAATGGAAGAAACACAAAATAACTGTCAATCTCCCTCGGCCTGGGGCTCCATGCAAGATCTCACCTCGTGGAGTTGCAATGATCATGAGAACGGTGAGGAATCAGCCCAGAACTACACGGGAGGATCTTGTCAATGATCTCAAGGCAGCTGGGACCATAGTCACCAAGAAAACAATTGGTAACACACTACGCCGTGAAGGACTGAAATCCTGCAGCGCCCGCAAGGTCCCCCTGCTCAAGAAAGCACATATACAGGCCCGTCTGAAGTTTGCCAATGAACATCTGAATGATTCAGAGGAGAACTGGGTGAAAGTGTTGTGGTCAGATGAGACCAAAATGGAGCTCTTTGGCATCAACTCAACTCGCCGTGTTTGGAGGAGGAGGAATGCTGCCTATGACCCCAAGAACACCATCCCCACCGTCAAACATGGAGGTGGAAACATTATGCTTAGGGGGTGTTTTTCTGCTAATGGGACAGGACAACTTCACTGCATCAAAGGGACGATGGACGGGGCCATGTACCGTCAAATCTTGGGTGAGAACCTCCTTCCCTCAGCCAGGGCATTGAAAATGTGTCGTGGATGGGTATTCCAGCATGACAATGACCCAAAACACACGGCCAAGGCAACAAAGGAGTGGCTCAAGAGGAAGCACATTAAGGTCCTGGAGTGGCCTAGCCAGTCTCCAGACCTTAATCCCATAGAAAATCTGTGGAGGGAGCTGAAGTTTCGAGTTGCCAAACGTCAGCCTCGAAACCTTAATGACTTGGAGAAGATCTGCAAAGATGAGTGGGACAAAATCCCTCCTGAGATGTGTGCAAACCTGGTGGCCAACTACAAGAAATGTCTGACCTCTGTGATTGCCAACAAGGGTTTTGCCACCAAGTACTAAGTCATGTTTTGCAGAGGGGTCAAATACTTATTTCCCTCATTAAAATGCAAATCAATTTATAACATTTTTGACATGCGTTTTTCAGGACTTTTTTGTTGTTATTCTGTCTCTCACTGTTCAAATAAACCCACCATTAAAATTATACACTGATCATGTCTTTGTCATTTACACACATCATCATCTGATCCAGGAAGGAATTTTCCGAATGACAGTCAAGTGACGACCAGCTGTTGTGATAGCGCAGCCCAAGTGCTGGAAAAAAAGGTGTTCATGAGGAATGTCCAGAATATTTTGGTGTCTCATTCGTTATGCCGGTGAAGACAGTTGTGTCTGGATCCATGTTGGATATAATATCTCTAGCGAATTGATGTTGATCATCTGTTGTTGTCTGCTTGATTTACAGCAGGGTCTCGTTAGATTTTACAGAGAAAGCATCAAGGTAATGTGTTTTTGTGCGTCGGTTTGGACACTGAGTCAACTGTGCACAGTTGTGTAGGATAGACTATTGCGCAACACCCAACGCTATTCCTATGAATTATTCTGGATATAATGACAAACACTTACATAACCTAGTTATCTTATTCTCAATGTGATCTGGTAATGAAATAAAATGGCTAATACATTTTGTTTTCCATGTTACACCTGCATTTTTAAACAATACAAGGGGCTTGAAGTAGCCTACTTGAATTTGGAGCTCAGAAATTCATGTACTGGAATAGGCCTACCAGAAAATCAGACATTTCCTCAATTTGGTACTTGAAAAAGTATTTATAATTATTGTAGCCAATTTATAAGTTCTCCTGCTCCCTTATAATTATCAGTGATTTCATTTTTGATCCGTTTTTGTGAGAGATGTGGCCACATTCGTTTGTTTCCTGCCGCTTCAATTGAAGGGTGTTGCGCTACTCTGTTGCGGTAAAACCACGTGTGGTTATTATGAGGACGACAACATCTAATGTTGGTTTAAATTTGGCTTTCCATTTAAATCCTTCCATTAAAAAATGAACTTTTTTTTTGTTGTCACTTTCTCATTATGAAAACAGCGATGGTGTGATTCAAATGGTAAGATGAATGCGACCGCTATTCATGGATTTATTATGTGTGCATGTGTCGGCCACATAGGCTACAGAACAATCGGCATGCATACAATCTATTTAGTCAGGCAATGTCCACGTTATTCTCACATATTTTAGAATGTAATAATAATTTGAATATCTGTAGCTCAGTTGGTAGAGCATGGCGCTTGCAACGCCAGGGTTGTGGGTTCGTTTCCCACCGGGGGCCAGTATGAAAATGTATGCACTCACTAACTGTAAGTCGCTCTGGATAAGAGCGTCTGCTAAATGACTAAAATGTAAATGTAAAATGCATTGGCAAGGCCTAAAAAAGTAATTATTCTTAGTGGCCTACTTTTTTGACACTTTTTGCATGATTTTGGGGGGAGGGAGTTCTATATTAGGCCCTATATGTACAGTTATATAAATTATACAATTGTATAACACATGAGGTCCTTGAAAATTACAATTACGTGCTTGAAAAAGTCCCTGAAAGTCCTTGAATTTGACTTGCCAACGTCTGTATGAACCCTGCTTAAAGGATGTATAGTGCTTGGCCTATGTTGTTGTATAGGTGGAGTTATGGGTGAATTTGCATATATTCACTTTTATTCCTCTAAGTACACATGGAACTGCATGAAAATCATTTTTATTTTTGTTTCAAACCATTTTGAAATGTTCATCCCAATGTCACACATTGGCCCCATTATTTATAGATTACATGGACAAGAGGATGGCTGATCCAAGAACAGCACTCCTACTCTGAGATGCTTGATACATACAGTGCCTTGCAAAAGTATTCATCCCCCTTGGTGTTTTTCCTATTTTGTTGCATTACAACCTGTAATTTAAATGGATTTTTATTTGGATTTCATGTAATGGACATACACAAAATAGTCCAAATTGGTGAAGTGAAAAAAAAAATTCTGGAGCGGCACCTGAGAAAGCGTTTTCCACCACCACCAACAAAACACCAAATTATGGAATTTCTTGTGGAAGAATGGTGTCGCATTACTCCAATAGAGTTCCTGACACTTGTAGATTCTATGCCAAGGTGTATTGAAGCTGCTCTGGTTCGTGATGGCCCAACACCCTATTAAGACACTTTATGTCTGTTTCTTTATTTTGGCAGTTACCTGTAGATGGCCATAATATGGTATGGAACTGGGCATTTGTGATAGCAAATGGCTTATTTCTAACATGCAATTTCCTCTGGGAGACAGTGGTTCTTTAACATAGCACAGGGTCCTATTAATTAATGCACACCCTGTTTCAACCTGTTTGCTTCCGTTTGGTTCCTAGAGAATACGACCCAGGTCAAACTTTCTTCTATCACATGATGATATATGAACGATACTAATAATACATACATATGACTCTCCCCTAGGACACAGCAGGACAGGAGAGGTACAGGACTATCACCACCGCCTACTACCGTGGCGCCATGGGCTTCATCCTCATGTACGACATCTGCAACGAAGAGTCCTTCAACGCTGTACAGGACTGGTGAGTGGTCTGACACACCAGGGCTGCATCTCAATACTTTAAAATAGCGTTCTTTGCTGATCGTCTCCTTTCATTACTCACCACTAGTGAAAAGACACTGATTGGAGAAACCTGGTGTGTGTGTGTGTGTGTGTGTGTGTGTGTGTGTGTGTGCGTGTGTGTGTGTGTGTGAGCCTGTGTGTGAGCCTCTGTGTGTGTGTGTGTGTGTGTGTGTGTGTGTGTGTGTGTGTGTGTGTGTTGGTGTGAGCCTGTGTGTGGGTGTGTGGGTGTGAGCCTGTGTGTGACTGTGTGTGTGTTTCAGGGCTACCCAGATAAAAACCTACTCGTGGGATAATGCTCAGGTCATCATGGTGGGTAACAAGTGTGACATGGACGAGGAGAGGGTAGTGCCCCCAGAGAAGGGCAAGCACTTGGCTGACCAATTAGGTGAGTTAATTAGTGGTATTAATTGGTTAATTGCCTTAAATTGTACTCTGAATTACTGTACTGTCATTCAGCTTCTGTAATTTCTGGCATGCCTATGGTTGCTTTAGCCAAGTTTTCCTGTTTCGCATGAGATTTGAATTAAAACCACACTGACGCATTGAGGTGGTGAACAAATGGCATCTACTCTAGTCAAGTTGGTAAAACCCTGTAAAGACTTAATCCCCAGGGCGTTAGTGCTCTTTCCTCTATTAACTTGGTAGAGGAACGAGCACTAACGCCCTGGACCAGAGCTATGTACTCACCATGCTGTATGTACTCCTCCTGTCTGTCTGCAGGGTTCGAGTACTTCGAGGCCAGCGCCAAGGAGAACATTAATGTCCGCCAGGTGTTTGAGCGGCTGGTCGACATCATCTGCGTCAAGATGTCCGAACGAGTGGACGTGGAGCCACCTATGGCCCCCAGCATCAAGACCACAAGGCTCACCGACAAGCCCCCCCAGCTACCTCAGAAGTGCACCTGTGCCTGACTCACACTTACAGGGCTGAGTCAAGCCATGCCGAGCCATACTGGGCTGACCTGGATACGCATCCACCGTAGTTGCTGGAACCGTGCTGCAAAGGACAATGTGAAAAGAAAATGTCCAGACCAGCAGAGTGCGGTTCGAGCTGGCCCTATAGTGTGAATCAGGAAATACTGATTTAGTCGCCCAGTTCTCCCCTACTAAACTTGTCATTCCACTACTGTTATTTTCCTATTCTTTGTTAAGCTATTACAAGTTCCACAAACCTCTTTCCAAAGGTAGCTCTCTATACAATATAATTCATGACTGCAAGCTCCCAATAACTACTACTACTACTACTATTACTATTACTATTATTTAGCAATACATATCTGTTTCACCCCTATATCTTTGACCTCCAGCTGGTTCAGAAGTCAGAGAACTTTAAGTAGGGTATACAGGTAAGCACAGCACTGCCTCTCTCCTCTTCCAAAAAAGTGGCCTCACCACCACACAAAGAAACACCACAGCTGTTCACGTTACGAGTTTACATGGGTGAGGAGATAAGCCTTGATAGCTGCAAAAGTTCCGAATAATTTTGTCTAGTGCTCTTGACCGTCCTTCTAACGTTTCACAAGCACGAAAGCTAAGACAAACGAAAGTAATCTGCCCCGTTGATTTTTCATTCTCAACGATATGAAGGGGGTAATAATATCGATAAAACGACAAGATGGCCAATACATCTTGCACCACCAATACTAAGCCAATGCAATTTTCAGGGTGTTCTGACATTCTGAGGGACTATAACATTATAGAATATAGATGTTCATTGAAGAGCACACCCTTTTCCCTCCTTAGCCCTCAGCTAATATAATATTGTAGTTGTCATGTAAGCCATGTTTACAATGTTTATTTCATGAACGTGTGTGTTTTAGAAAGCAAAGCATATACTGTATAATTGAGTGTTCAGTTGTAACAGTGTATCATGTTTCATGTATCTTGGGCAGATGTGAAATCTTTAAATCATGTTATGTCAACTGAGACACATCAAAATACTTTGTGAAATGGGAAGAAACAGAAAATATGTTAAAATGTTGTTTAAAAAATGATAGATTATAACCTAAACATATTTTGCCAAATCTTTATGTATCGCATAGTAGCAAATTTTTTAGTGTAACTTCCCATCATGTGTATTTTCTGTTTTTTGTTAAATTGTTAGATTTGCAATAATGCTGACAATGTCTTAATATAATTATTTTATAAGCAAATATGTAAATTATAGAGTTAGAATCTATAATGCTGTTGCTGAATTTATTTTTATGCTGTATCATGGGAATAGACCATTTATGTAAACGTGTTGTTACAGTAAACTCCTTGAACAAATGGGAGAAAAGCACAAAGTGATTGTACAAAATATTGTGAATGTTTGTATATTATAGGTAGATGCAATTTAGTATATTAAAGCACAAATCTTTACTTGAATTCATTAATTTTATTTATGGCCTATTGAAGTCTGTAATATTGGTTAAAAAAGCTACAACTCTGATTTAACTATTTATACAATGACAGAACCATCGAATTAGAATGAACCATTCTAATCATATGGACAGAATCATCACAATAGAATTCTTATTCTAAGGACAGAATCATCACTGCTGTTTCAGATTTTGTTCTGATTATCAGACAGACAAAGATCAATGTCAAGCGGGTGATTCAGTGAAGTCTGTTTAAATTTCACCGCTCATATCACACCTGATAAATAATCATGAATTTGTGGTGTTGTGGAAAGTTGTGGTGAGTACATAGACTTTCAGGGTATATCGCTGATCAATAATGCATGTGGATGAAATCCGTTCATGCAATGGCTGGGATAATCCCATCCAGATTATGTGAAGGTTTGTGAAAACGCGCACGCACATCCTTTCCCTGCACATACTCGTGCTTAACCGTGTGCGGCTTTTCTTCGCCGAAATGTTTTGCACCGGTCTAACAAGCGTTCCTGTATGTCGTCAAATATATTTTCTGCTTGAAGCAATCAGAATTTCCGTTGTTGCGCCGTGCATTGCTCCCAGCGAATCATAACGCGTCATGCACACAATTGTGTAGTGGGTTAGGGTGTCGAGACTAGTGCTAGATAACTTTCATTATTTACAAAAAAAAAGGGTAAGTACATTTACAAATGCTAGCCAATATTTGATGTTTATTAGCTAGTGATATTGTGTTATACACGTTCATACAGAGCACTTTTTGTATTCAAAATCCGACATTTCAATGGCGGTTTCGCTGCTATCGCTAGCGAGATGGGATTACTGAAAGTCGTCATGCTAGCGAACTCTTAGCTAGCTAGCTAGCTAGCGCCCGCTGCCTGCAATTTTGTGTTTTGACTGATGACCTGAATTGACAGTGATGGAGCTAGCTAGAAAGTAACAGACCCTGGCTGTTGATACCCCTTTTTTGTGCATACGTGACACTGGACTAATGTGTTTTATCCGTTTCATCATGTCAGCGTATGGGACTAACGTTTTACATTAGCTAGCTAGCTGCAGAATCTTGCAATGCTTTTTGACGTTGCAAATAGTTAGCTAAGGTAGCTAGCTAGTCAGCCAGGGCATGATGTAGCCACAAACACTAGCCAGCGTAAGAACATAATTGCTGATCTTGTTTAGCTACAGAGCGATTAGTCTAGCCACAACGATTCAGCATCAGACCTGCTAACTAACTACTGTCACAGTTCCCTCCTGATTCCCACCTGCCCCTATCTATTAGATTTGAAAGGATTATCAGAAGGCAAGGTGATGCAATTACAGTATCCCTTAAACCTATATGATCCTCTCAGATCTATAGGAATGAGTGGGTGGGGGGCTAAGGGTTGATTTGGGATGCTTGCTCAATTTCACACATTCTTGACTCTTTATGCTCAAATGCTGCACTCTCTGAGGGTTTTCATGTTGTGCAATTGCAGTGCGAAACCTGCAGCCCCTGAGAGAATGCCTTTGACGAATAAAGTGAATAGTTCTGCAGCAGGCGGTCCTGGGCAGGTGTCTGCACCAGACCATGGTGAGCCGCCGCCACCCCAAGCCGAGCCCAGGGACCTGGCTGCGGGGGATGGAGGGGTAGGAGGTGACGAAGACCAGGGAGACCTTCAGATCAAGAAGTCACCCAGCGATCCCAAGAAGTACAGGTAAGATCAAATAACATTTCTAAATTCAAATATAGCCACATAAGTTCTCTTGGATAGGTCTACGTAAACATACTGGTATGGACCCAGAACTTAATTGAGCAGCTGACCAATTACACAATACTTTAGTTCTTGGTTAACTGAGATTAATAGCTGCATAACTACGTAAACAAGTCACTCATGGCATCATCAGAGTGCTTGCGAATTGCTCTACCCGTCCCAGGTTGTGATGTTTTCAGTTTCACTGAAGTAGAACTGGCTTATCATATGCAATTATTTTGCTCGCTCTGAAGGTATATCGAGCTGACCAATGGCCTGAGAGTTCTCCTCATCTCAGACTTTAGCGGGGCAGACGGCAAGGACGCCAGCAGAGAGGAGGAAGAGGAGGGAGCATCAGGAGGTGGAGAGGAAGAGGAAGAAGAGGGGGATTCAGGGGAGGGCACAGAAGAGGAGGACGAGGATGCGGAAGAAGAGCATGACAGTGACTTTGAGGAGCTGGATGAGGAGCAAGAAGGGAAACCGAAGAAGGGGAGTTCAGAGAAACAGGTTGGTTTCACTGTAGGTCAATACTAGGCTAATGCTTTCAGATGGATGATCCAACAGCTCACAGAGGGAGCATAGCCACAAGGGTGCTATGCAAACAGGAAGTTTACTCTAGGGATAGTGTGATAAAGTGTGGAATTTATCAAATGAAAAGGTGTGTGTGTGTACTTGCATGCTCGTGCATGATGTGTGTGTTTTTTAATGTGTGTACTAATCTCTCCTGTGTCTCCCAGTCTGCAGCTGCTCTCTGTGTCAGTGTGGGGAGCTTCAGTGACCCGGAGGACCTTCCAGGCCTAGCCCATTTCCTTGAGCACAGTGAGTGCTTTTAGCAGGGGACCTTATGTACTGTAGCGCTACAGAAGATTATCCACATTCTCAATCTAACACTGCATTGGAACACTACCTCTAAACAACACGTCTGTGTGCCTGTCTTTCTCTCTATTTCTTTACCTGGTCTTCCCTCCAATCTCTTGACTCTCTCTCTCTCTCTCTTTTTGCACTCTCCCTCCCTCCCTCTCTCTCTCTTTCTCTCTCTATCTCTCTCTCTTTCTCTCTCTATCTCGCTCCCTCGCTCTTTTCCACTCTTTCTCTCCTCTCTCAGTGGTTTTCATGGGCAGTGAGAAGTACCCTGCTGAGAACGGCTTCGATGCCTTCCTGAAGAAGCACGGTGGTAGCGACAATGCCTCCACCGACTGTGAGCGGACCATCTTCCAGTTTGACGTCCAGAGGAAGTACTTCCGTGAGGCTCTCGACAGGTGAGCCAAGCAGCCTTAAAGTAACAGTTCATCCCCAAACCAACATTTTGTTAGACGTTTTCATGCCTCAAAAGTGGTCCTAAATCTAACTTGTCCAGGGTCGTTTACAATAGTGCACACTGTTGCAATTAAAACATGTATTTCTTATTGGACAAGTTTACTCCCTGTTTCAAAACGTTTCCTTCCGTTTGGTGGCTAATAAATACGACCCAGGTGTGCAGTTTGTCATTGGATGATCTCTCCCATTCCCCAGATGGGCCCAGTTCTTCATCTGCCCCCTGATGATCGAGGACGCCATCGACAGAGAGGTGGAAGCAGTGGACAGTGGTGAGTCAGGGAGTAGTACTAGTAGTAGGAAACCAGTAGTAGTAGGAGGAAACCACGGCCGCGTCTCAATAGTCTAAAGAAGCCTCCTCCCCCCTTTCTCCTTCATCTGCTCAGATTGGTTTCACACAGCTGGTCAGCATGAATAAAGGACACAAGACGAAGAGAGACCACTGTAGACAACTGAGACCCTCCCCATTTTGAATACCACAGCCTTTTTCCATGCTCCAGTCACAGTTCCCGCTCTCTCACTCCTCTAATGTGTTGTCCATGCCTCTCCCTTTGATGTGCAGAGTACCAACTGGCTCGTCCGTCAGACTCCCACCGCAAGGAGATGCTGTTCGGAAGCCTGGCCAGGCCCAAACACCCCATGGGCAAGTTCTGCTGGGGTAAGGAAACACATTGGCTGTCATTTCCCAATTATCTCTCCTCCATCGCAAATGCTACCCTGGTACCATAGGCTTCCATTGTTCGACAAACATTCCAATCCTACTTATCCTGCTTGTAAAACAATTAGTTGTATGTATTTTCATGTGAAACACGTTGAATGTGCTCTTTTTCATTTGCACTTTCCTGCTTGTAAATGTCTCTGTGATCGTCAAGTGATGTCTGCCTTTAAATATGTAGCTTTTATTACATGGATATGGATGGTAATGTCTATCTGCGTGGTTAATAATGCTGAATAACGGTGTAATAACTTTAATAACTGAAATAACGGTGTTCAAACGTTCATTAAAGGTGTAATAACGGATATGTCCTCGTCCTGTCCTTGGTCTCCCCCAGGAAATGCTCAGACCCTGAAGCATGAGCCCAGAGAGAAGCAGATCAACACCTACCAGCGTCTCCAAGACTTCTGGAAGAGATACTACTCTGCTCACTACATGACCCTCACAGTGCAGTCCAAAGGTAGCTAGCCAACCGGCCAGACACAAAGGATCCCTTCTCCGCTGAAATGAATGAGGATTGTAGTCGGTCTACAGCAATGAATGAGGATTGTAGTCAGTCTACTGAAATGAATGAGGATTGTAGTTGGTCTGTTGAAATAAACTTGACTCAACTGTCCTTGTCTGTCCATCAGAGACATTGAACACACTGGAGGAATGGGTTAGAGAGATCTTCAGCAAGGTGCCCAACAAGTAAGTGCATACGACCACGTGCATGCTATCAAACATACATGCCCTCTCTCACTCACCTACTCTCACTCACTCACTTTTTTGCAGCGCTCAACCGAGACCTGACTTCTCTGACCTTCAGGACCCGTTTGACACACCAACCTTCAACAAGCTCTACAGAAGTACACAGGCTTTAAACTAACATTTATACATGTCATTTTATCAACCTGTGCTTACTTACTGACTGTACCAATTCCTCAATTTCAATCGTGTGTGTGACAGTTGTTCCTGTGAGGAAGGTGCATGCTCTCACCATCACCTGGGCATTGCCGCCTCAGGGCAAGCAGTACAGGTAAGCCCCCTTAACAATAGCACCCATACCTGTTGTACCTTTTCAAAGACCAATTTAGCAAATATTTCCCCTCACTATTATCCTGCACTCCATACAAACTGATTGGTTTGTCTTGGTGTCTCCATGTAGGGTGAAGCCCTTGCACTACATCTCCTGGTTGATTGGGCACGAAGGCACCGGCAGCATCCTATCCTTGCTCCGGAAGAAGTGCTGGGCCCTGGCTCTGTTTGGAGGGAACAGTGAGACAGGCTTTGACCAGAACACCACCTACTCCATCTTCTCCATATCCATCACGCTGACTGACGAAGGATTCCAGAACTTTCATCAGGTCAACTGGCGCCCACAGACACACACACACGCCCATGTGTGATGACACACACACACACACACACACACACACACACACACACAATCTGGATGTAACACTGCAGCCGTTTTCCCTGTACAGGTGGTTCATCTAGTGTTCCAGTATATGAAGATGCTGCAGACTCTGGGTCCTCAGCAGAGGATCTATGAAGAAATCCAGAAGATCGAAGCCAATGAGTTCCACTATCAGGAGCAGGTACAGTCACACTTCCCGGTCTTCCCTCCGTCACGAAGCTGACTTTAGGCTGTCATTACCATGACATAACACACATCATAAGCATGTCATAAGTGAGTGAGGGCTTTGTACGAACCTCTGTCCCTCCGTCCCACCACAGACAGACCCCATAGAGTATGTGGAGAACATCTGTGAGAACATGCAGCTCTTCCCCAAAGAGGACTTCCTGACTGGAGACCAGCTCATGTTTGAGTACAACCCAGAGGTACTGTCTGTCTGTCTCATCAAGTAGACAATAGATCATTCCTAATTAATCTGTAATGGCTAATTACTGCAACTGTAATGCACGCAAGTGTATACTTCATTGAAGTGTGTGTGCATGTGTGTCTGTCCTCTACAGGTGATCTCCTCGGCCCTGACCCTGCTCATCCCAGAGAGGGCCAACCTGCTGCTGCTGTCCCCGGAGCACGAGGGCCACTGCTCCCTCAAGGAGAAGTGGTTCGGCACCAACTACAGCATGGAGGGTAAGAGCAAGTGTCTGATTAGGAGTGCTGATCTAGGATCAGGTCCTGCTTTCCATTCATTATGATCTAAAAAGGCTAAACTGATCCTAGATCTGCACTGCTCTGAGACACTTTGTGAATACCGGCCCAAGATTTGCCAAAAGTGAGATTGGCTGAATTGGACCTACAATCGCTGTTATTGTCGTCATAACAGATATTAACTTATATGATTCTTCTTACAGTGCTGTAGGGGTGTGCCGAGTACTCTGACAAAACGAGTATCGTAACGGATTACAATTATGACAAGTCTTTTTTGTAGTGATCCGTGATCAGAAAAAAATAATTTTCAACTGCCAGCACGCATCTTTCTTTCACTCAAACAGTGTGAAGCGCTGTGTGCTCAAATAACTATTGTGTAGTGCTTCTGTCTGTAAAGACTCGGGCGGGGTATCGGGTTGAGCCTGCTACAACGATTGGATTAGAACAAGCCACTCTCCCTTGGCTTTCATTTCTCCAGATAGACACTCACACAGTCACTCGTCTTACGGCACAAATCTCCCCTTCTCCAAACATTGTGGATGAATCAGAATACGTAGCTAGTCATTGTTGTTCAATCTAGTGATTTTCTGTAGACTTTGCTGAGGCTACATGGTTGTTTTTCTGTCTACTTGGCATTGTTTAGTAGGCCTACTTTGTCTGTACGTATAGTTATTCCATTTCTGACGACGTCTGCCGTTATGACGTGATCCATGCTTGCCATTATTATTTATTTTCACCCAGGCGTGTTTACCTACAGGGGTCCTACAATTCAAAATCAAATAGCTAAATGGTCCATTGTATGAACATCTTAAAACAATGTCATATGTTAGCTTGGTATATAACACCATCTTAGGGCAGGGGTCTCCAACAGGTCAATCGCGAGCTACCAGTACCACCTATGAGAAAGCTTGCCAAACAATTCTGAAAGTGCATGTCTTTTTCACGTGTTCCACCACAAACTGTCATAAACAAATCTCACAAGTAACAGACACCTCAAGATCCAATTAAATTCACATTGACATTATCCCACACCTGGTTAGACATAATTGCCTTAAAAAGCCAAATGTTACACTATCTGCCAATTAAATTTCCAGCAATATTGCCCCTGTCTGTCTGTGTGGTGCGCGCGTTTGTCTATCATTCACTTCGTGTAGCCAGTTAGCGTTAAAGATAACCGCCTTCTGGGTAGACAGACAAAGACTTTCCCCAAAACCTTCTAAATGAAATGTTAATTGCAAAGTAGGCTTACAGTGCATTTGGAAAGTATTCAGACCCCTTGACTCTTTCCACATTTTGTTACGTTACAGCCTTATTCTAAAATTGATTAAATTGTTTTTTCCCTCATCAATCTACACACAATACCCCATAATGACAAAGCAAAAACAGGTTTTTGGAGCAGGTTTTCATCAAGGATCTCTCTGTACTTTGCTCCGTTCATTCTTTCCCTCGATCCTGACTAGTCTCCCAGTCCCTGCCGCTGAAAAACATCCCCATAGCGTGATGCTGCCACCACCATGCTTCACCGTAGGGATGGTACCAGGTTTCCTTCAGACGTGACGCTTGGTATTCAGGCCAAAGAGTTCAATGTTGGTTTCATCAGACCAGATAATCTTGTTTCTCATGGTCTGAGTCCTTTAGGTGCCTTTTGGCAAACTCCAAGCGGGCTGTCATGCGCCTTTTACTGAGGAGTGGCTTCCATCAGGCCACTCTACCATAAAGGCCTGATTGGTGGATGCTGCTGAGATGGTTGTTCTTCTAGAAGGTTCTCCGATCTCCACAGAGGAACACTGGAGCTCTGTCAGAGTGACCATCGGGTTCTTGGTCACCTCTCTGACCAAGGCCCTTCTCCCCCGATTGCTCAGTTTAGCCGGGCGGCCAGCTCTAGGAAGAGTGTTGATGGTTCCAAACTTCTTCCATTTAAGAATGATGGAGGCCATTGTGTTCTTGGGGACCTTCAATGCTGCAGAAATGTTTTGGTACACTTCCCCAGATCTATGCCTCAACACACAATCCTGTCTCTGAGCTCCATGGACAATTCCTTCGACCTAATGGCTTGGTTTCTGACATGCACTGTCAACTGTGGGACCTTATAAAGACAGGTGTGTGCCTTTCCAAATCATGTCCAATCAATTGAATTTACCACAGGTGGACTCCAATCAAGTTGTAGAAACATCTCAAGGATGAACAATGGAAACAGGATGCACCTGAGCTCAATTTCGAGTCTCATAGCAAAGGGTCTGAATACTTATGTAAATAAGATATTCATGTTTTCTTATATACATTTGCCAACATTTCTAAAAACCTGTTTTTGCTTTGTCATTATGGGGTATTGTGTGTAGATTGATGAGGATTTGTATTTATTTTTATTTTAGAATAAGGCTGTAACGTAACAAAATGTGGAAAAAGTGAAGGGATCTGAATACTTTACGAATGCACTGTACGTGGCAGAATTCTATCATGATTATTTGTATCAATCGGGTGGGCTTTTGTTTTGCAAACTGTGTCATGACATATGCAGCAGCAAAAATATTGCTAGACAGCACATTCCTCTCTTGCAAAAATGCACAATTAAAGGGGTATTGAAATCAACAACAACAAAACATTTCAGCTCTCAATTATTTTGTGTGAAATCCCAAACCAGGAAAAAATAAAACCAACAAAACGGAATTAGGTAAAATACAAAGAGTGCCTATTTGAAAGCAAGGGAAAAAATGATCAGTAGCTCGTGACATGTTTCATGAATTAAAAGTAGCTCTCATGCTATAAAAGGTTGGAGACCCCTGATCTACAGGCTTGGACTCTAGGGGTTAAACCAGATTAAACGCTGCACTCACTATTGTTTGAAAGGGTTCAATCTGGTTAAACCAGGCTACTGCACATATATTCAACGGCTCATTTCGTGATATGATATGATAGGGTGTGATGTTAATGGCCTGTCTGTGACTGAGTGTCCTGTTCTGTCCTGGCAGACCTCCCTGAGGAGTGGGCACAGCGCTGGGCCGGAGACTTTGACCTCAACCCCGACCTCCACCTGCCCGCTGAGAACAAGTTCATTGGTCAGTACAGATGATGGACATTGTTGTGCGCCAATCACATCAACTCTACAATATTCAGTTTTTGGTCTATTGATGTGTATAATTTTTGTTCGTATCTCCTTTTTTGTCTTAAAAATAAATAAAACGAAATAATCAAACATAAATAAATACTGGGATTGACACAGACAAAAGGCTTTACCCTTTTCCTTTGTTATTTCCATAGCAACGGATTTCTCCCTGAAACCATCGGACTGTCCAGACACAGAAGTCCCGGTGCGGATAATGAACAATGAGAGAGGCTGTCTCTGGTTCAAAAAGGACAATAAGTTCAAGATACCTAAAGGTGTGTGTGTGTGTGCGCGCGTGTATTTTATATTGCTGTGTGTTCTTTTGTTAGCTTACTTTGGTAATTTATAACCCAAGGGAATTGTAATGACGTGATTGACTATTTTTCAGTATGTTTAAGACAGAAATGTTAGTAGCTACTAGGCTATTTCAAGGCTATTTTCAACACATTTCAAATGATATAATGTTCTAATGATTTAATACACTCCCTATTTTTTCTCCTGTTAGCTTATGTCCGTTTCAACCTCCTCTCCCCAATGATTCAGAAATCTCCAGAGAAGTTAGTATTTTATATGAATCCATTTCTTACAAAATCTTTGTTTTTGAGTGTGGATGTCAACGTTTTGCTTTTCACAATCGCTCCTAGCTGCAAAAGTTCTAGAGGTAATTTCTAAATGTGTATGTCTTGTGGCCCTGTAGCCTGGTGCTGTTTGACATCTTTGTGAACATCCTGGCCCATAACCTGGCAGAGCCGGCCTACGAGGCTGATGTGGCCCAACTGGAGTACAAACTGATCGCCGGGGAGCACGGCCTCGTCATCAGGGTCAAGGGCTTCAACCACAAGCTGCCTGTGAGTCACATACATACATGCATGCATACATACATACATACATACATACATACAGTGGGGAAAAAAAGTATTTAGTCAGCCACCAATTGTGCAAGTTCTCCCACTTAAAAAGATGAGAGAGGCCTGTAATTTTCATCATAGGTACACGTCAACTATTACAGACAAAATGAGAAAAAAAAATCCAGAAAATCACATTGTAGGATTTTTAATGAATTTATTTGCAAATTATGGTGGAAAATAAGTATTTGGTCAATAACAAAAGTTTCTCAATACATTGTTATATACCCTTTGTTGGCAATGACACAGGTCAAACGTTTTCTGTAAGTCTTCACAAGGTTTTCACACACTGTTGCTGGTATTTTGGCCCATTCCTCCATGCAGATCTCCTCTAGAGCAGTGATGTTTTGGGGCTGTCGCTGGGCAACACGGACTTTCAACTCCCGCCAAAGATTTTCTATGGGGTTGAGATCTGGAGACTGGCTAGGCCACTCCAGGACCTTGAAATGCTTCTTACGAAGCCACTCCTTCGTTGTCCGGGCGGTGTGTTTGGGATCATTGTCATGCTGAAAGACCCAGCCACGTTTCATCTTCAATGCCCTTGCTGATGGAAGGAGGTTTTCACTCAAAATCTCACGATACATGGCCCCATTCATTCTTTCCTTTACACGGATCAGTCGTCCTGGTCCCTTTGCAGAAAAACAGCCCCAAAGCATGATGTTTCCACCCCCATGCTTCACAGTAGGTATGGTGTTCTTTGGATGCAACTCAGCATTCTTTGTCCTCCAAACACGACGAGTTGAGTTTTTACCAAAAAGTTCTATTTTAGTTTCATCTGACCATATGACATTCTCCCAATCCTCTTCTGGATCATCCAAATGCACTCTAGCAAACTTCAGACGGGCCTGGACATGTACTGGCTTAAGCAAGGGGACACGTCTGGCACTGCAGGATTTGAGTCCCTGGCGGCGTAGTGTGTTACTGATGGTAGGCTTTGTTACTTTGGTCCCAGCTCTCTGCAGGTCATTCACTAGGTCCCCCCGTGTGGTTCTGGGATTTTTGCTCACCGTTCTTGTGATCATTTTGACCCCACGGGGTGAAATCTTGCGTGGAGCCCCAGATCGAGGGAGATTATCAGTGGTCTTGTATGTCTTCCATTTCCTAATAATTGCTCCCACAGTTGATTTCTTCAAACCAAGCTGCTTACCTATTGCAGATTCAGTCTTCCCAGCCTGGTGCAGGTCTACAATTTTGTTTCTGGTGTCCTTTGACAGCTCTTTGGTCTTGGCCATAGTGGAGTTTGGAGTGTGACTGTTTGAGGTTGTGGACAGGTGTCTTTTATACTGATAACAAGTTCAAACAGGTGCCATTAATACAGGTAACGAGTGGAGGACAGAGGAGCCTCTTAAAGAAGTAGTTACAGGTCTGTGAGAGCCAGAAATCTTGCTTGTTTGTAGGTGACCAAATACTTATTTTCCACCATAATTTGCAAATAAATTCATAAAATCCTACAATGTGATTTTCTGGATATTTTTTCTCATTTTGTCTGTCATAGTTGACGTGTACCTATGATGCAAATTACAGGCCTCTCTCATCTTTTTAAGTGGGAGAACTTGCACAATTGGTGGCTGACTAAATACTTTTTTTCCCCACTGTACATACATACACATTATGTACGCACACACACACACACACACTGTGCACACTTACATACAGCTCTTCTGCACTCATTCTGCCTATTCATACAACCCTGGTCTACACTGAGTGTACAATACATTAGGAACACCGGCTCTTTCCATGACGTAGATGACCAGGTGAATCGAGGTGAAAGCTATGATCCCTTATTGATGTCACTTGTTAAATCCACTTCAATCAGTGTAGATGAAGGGGAGGAGACAGGTTAAAGAAGGATTTGTAAGTCTTCAGACATGAATTGTGTATGTGTGCCATTCAGCAGGTGAATGGGCAAGACAAAAGATTTTAGTGCCTTTGAACAGGGTATGGTAACAGGTGCCAGGCGCACCGGTTTGAGTGTGTCAAGAACTGCAACGCTGCTGGGTTTTTCACGCTCAACAGTTTCCCATGTGTATCAAGAAGGTCCACCACCCAAAGGACTTCCAGCCAACTTGACACAACTGTGGGACGCATTGGAGTCAACATGGGCCAGCAACCCTGTGGAATGTTTTCCACACCTTGTAGAGTCCATGCCTCGACGACTTGAGGCTGTTCTGAGGGCAAAAAGGGAGGGGGTGCAACTCAATAGTAGGAAGTTGTTCCTAATGTTTTGTACACCATGGATAAACCCATTCTGCACTTCAGCAAATGTGCCTTAGCTTCAGACAACCCTAAAGCTGACCTCCTGCCAACTCATCCTCCCTGCCTCTGTCCCTGTGTTAGTTGCTGTTGAACTTGATAGTGGACCACCTGGCAGACTTCACTGCTGAGCCCGGTGTGTTCACCATGTTCGCAGAGCAGCTGAAGAAGACCTACTTCAACATCCTCATCAAGCCAGAGAGGCTGGGGAAGTGAGTTGGATTTCTGACACTGACTGTTCAACCCTTTATAGGATACAGTATCTGGCTGCTCATTCTTTGCAACTCCACCCACCCATTTTCTTATGTGTGTGTGTCTCTCTCTGGCTGTCTCTTTCTCTCTCTCTGTCTCTCTCTCTGTCTCTCTGTCTCTCTCTCTCTCTCTCTCTCTCGCTGTCTCTCTCTCTCTCTCGCTGTCTCTCTCTCTCTCGCTGTCTCTCTGTCTCTCTCTCTCTCTCGCTCTCTCTCTCTCGCTCTCTCTCTCTCTCGCTGTCTCTCTCTCTCTCTCTCTCTCTCTCTCTCTCTCTCTCTCTCTCTCTCTCTCGCTGTCTCTCGCTCTCTCTCTCTCGCTCTCTCTCTCTCTCTCTCTCGCTGTCCTCTCTCTCTCTCTCTCTCTCTCTCTCTCTCTCTCTCTCTCTCTCTCTCTCTCTCTCTCTCTCTCTCTCTCTCTCTCTCTCTCAGAACACGAGTCAGAGTTGTAAAGTGATAAACTAGCTTCAAAAGAGTAACAATGATAAATTGGTATGATAATGATTCCCCCCCCCCCCCCCCCCCCCCCTCTCTCTCTCAGGGACGTGCGTCTGTTGATCCTGGAACACTGTCGCTGGTCGGTCATCCAGAAGTACCAGGCCATCATGAAGGGCCTCACCGTGGATGACCTCATGACCTTTGTCAGTGGCCTCAAAGCCCAGCTCTACACCGAGGGGCTGGTGCAGGGCAACTTCACTAGCACTGTGAGCACACACTGACACATTCAGACGCAGACACACACACACACTTCACTAGCACTGTAAGCCTCTTTATAAACACACACGAACACCGTCTAATGTGCACACACACACACTGTTTTTAGCTAAAATAGTTGTTTAGCGCTAACCACGGCACTTGTGTCCCAGATCTTTCTTGGATGCTGATTATTGTCCTAATCAAGTAGGTGATGTGAAGTAATACATGTAACTATTCTGCTGCTGTCCCTATGCTATATTAATCATGCTAATAGGCATTATGTAACTGTTCTTTGCCCACAGGAGTCAATGGAGTTTCTGCAGTATTTTATTGGGTAAGTATCCTCCTCGCTGTCTTTCTTAACTCTGAAAAGCAGGTCTGTAGCCTAGAGGTTAACACGTTGGGCCAATAACCGAAAGGTTGCTGGTTCAAATACCAGAGCCGACAAAGTGAAGAGAAAAAATCTGTCGCTGTGCCCTTGAGCAAGGCACTTAACCCTAATTGCTCCAGGGGCCCTGTGCATTTTTTTTTTTTATACAAACATTTCCATTAGACACTTCTACACTTGGACAAATATAAGCCCCCCCTATTATTATTATTATTATTATTATTATTATTATTATTATTATCATCAACAAACACAGTACTTACTTACTATTGTTATTACTTGCAATGATTGAGGTTTGTGGTTGGTATGACCTCCTTTAGTTGAATGAACTGATTGTAAGTCACTCTGTACAAGACCGTCAGCTAAATAAATAACATGTAAATGCAATAATCTTCTGCACTCTACAGCAAACTGCAGTTCAAGCGTCTGTCTGTGGAGGTCCCTGTGCTCTTCAGAGTGGTGGAGCTTCCTCAGAAGCCTCACCTGTGCAAAGTCAAGTCCCTCAACAAAGGAGATGCCAACTCTGAAGTCACTGTCTACTACCAGGTACCTAACGTTCATCCAAAATTCACCCAACAGTCAGCCAATCTTCACACAACATTCCCCCAACCTTCAACCAACATTCGCTCAACATTACAGTTATATTATGGTTATGTCTGTGTATGGAGTCTTTTGGTGTCGATAAATAACTTGTCTTTTTCTGTCCTTCTCCAGTCAGGCCTGAAGAACCTGAGAGAACACACACTGATGGAGTTACTGGTGGTAAGTGTTGTAGCTAACAAGGCTTGACTGGAATACTGAGGGCTCTATTTCTGGCTGGCGCTAAGGAGGCGCAAGTGTGAAACGCGTGTTAGTTTGCAATTTCGTCATGTAAAAACTGTCGCATTGGCATTTCCCAGCCCTAACGCCAGGTTCGGCAATTTACCTGTCTAACAGCTCGCTTGCGCTGAGGTAGGAGGGGTGGCAATATTTGCGGTGTGTCCTTAAAAATGAGCAAAAGTGACAATTTCCTGAAGGCCATCCTCTTTAGAATTTTTTTTTTTTTTTTTTAAACAGATGCTTGTTTTCCATTTTATTTCAAGCCCTCCATAGTTTCCTCTTACCCTAGGCCTAGGCTACTAAGGCTGGTTCAACCGCAATGTGTTGTCTTTTTTATCCTGGACTTGCAAAGTAGCCTATCCATAAAAGGTGTTTAAATGGTCTAGTCGTCAGAGTGCCTTGAATTGAAAATATACTGCACATCCTGAAACATACACACACATGCCTACCTGCATACTTCATTTCGCTTGTTCAAGTATCTTACCCCATCTCCAGAGAGCGCCTCCGGTTACCAAAGATGCAGTCCTCCTAACTTATTTAAATGATTCAGTCCTGTGTTTCACACATACAATACAATTTACGAGAGCCTAGTATTTTTTTTATTTTGGGAGAAGTGCGATGTGTAAAGACATGTAGGCTAGGCTATACTCGTTGAAGCCAATTACAACAACGTTGGCCTGACTGCCAACAATCCAAACATAGGCTATTGAGCAAACACTGTTTTGTTTTTACTGTTGCTATTACACTACTCGTTACTGTAGCCTATGAAGTTTAATAAACTGAAGTATCAATCCACAATGGACCAGGACGAAAATAGTCCGTGCCCCCAGCCGAATTGGAGTTGATGACAATGCAAAGACCGTTAATAACATACAGAACTTGAGACAAACGCATGCAGTGCAGTATTAAGCCGTGGAACGCTTTGATTGGCCAGTGAGTGGCCAAGCCCTTGTCACACCTACAATTTGTTTATTAATCAAAACCCAGCCCTTTTGCACCGCTGCCAGCTATTGCGCTCATAAATCCAGCTGTGAAAATAAATACAAATATTTCAGACACACATCCTGACCTATAGCGCTACTGCCAGCGCTTAGATTTACCATTGCGTTAGGTTTTTTATCAAATAGAGCCCTGAGTCAGTGAGTGGTGTTATGGGTTAAAGGGATTCTTCAGTATTTTGTGAAGCCCTTTATCTACTTCCCCAGAGTCAGATGAACTCATGGATACCATTGTTATGTCTCTGCATCCAGTATGAAGGAAGTAAGAGGTAGTTTCGCAAGCCAATGCTAACTTGTGTTAGCACAATGACTGGAAGTCTGTCATTGCGCTAACGCTAGTTAATAACTCCCTTCAAACTGCATGCAGATACATGAAAAGGGTATCTGACTTGCCAAAATCCCAAAGTATCCCTTTAATGAAGTACTATCTTTGCTGCTCTGTTCCCAGATGCACATGGAGGAACCTTGCTTTGATTTCCTCAGGACAAAGGAGACTCTTGGGTTAGTTTTTTTCCCTCTTCATAACTATGAAAATAAAAAAATTAAGAACTAATATCTAATAACCACATATAACTAACTACTACTTAATAACCACTACTTACAGAGCAGTGTTGACTGATTTGAACTCTGACCTTGTATCCATCAGCTATCAGGTGTACCCCACATGCAGAAACACTTCAGGAGTCCTGGGCTTCTCCATCACCGTGGAAACGCAGGCCACCAAGTTCAAGTGAGTCACCAGCACTGTATATCTCTTACGGTACACTTGATTAAATTCCTCCAATGTTGTTGCAATACGGTATTCAATTTCATGTATGACGTATTGGAATATTCAACATGCGTAAGGTAACCCCAACTGGTAGTCGTGTGTCAGGGTTAGTGACAGATGCTGATGTTTTGTCAGGGGCAGTTCAGAGGAGAAGGATGGTAGCGTCGTATTCAGGTCAGATGGTAGCATAGTTGATAGTAGAAGTGTATTACACAGTAGCAGCACAATATGCTTCTTAATAAGCCTGAGAATGTTATCAAAAGATTACAAGGGCAAGAGTTGTATAAATAAGAGCGCATATGCATTGAAAATAACTCGTTATCTTTTTGGGAGATGCCAACCCCTTTTCTTTTTGAATAGAAATGAGAGGTAGTCTGACGCTCCCCGTGTCCTTTAAATTTTTTACTCAGCACGGACTTCGTGGAGACGAAGATCGAGGAGTTCCTGGTGAGCTTCGGGGAGAAGATGACCAACCTCACGGACGAGGCCTTCAAGACCCAGGTGACCGCTCTCATCAAGCTCAAAGAGTGTGAGGACACGCACCTGGGGGAGGAGGTGGACCGCAACTGGTTCGAGGTGGTCACCCAGCAGTACGTCTTCGACCGCCTCAACAGAGAGGTAAGACTGTACACGGTCACAGCCGCATGGTTTACTCGAACCCGCTGTCATAATGTCGACTTCAGGGGTGGCTCTCCTCCAGAAAGTGTACTACTGTGTGTGTGTGTGGGGGGGGGATGAGGGACACTGGGGGCACTACCCCTCCGTCATATACACTACATTACCAAAAGTATGTGGACACCTGCTCATCGAACATCTCATTCCAAAATCATTGGCATTAATATGGAGTTGGTCCCCCTTTTGCTGCTATAACAGCCTCCACTCTTCTGGGAAGGCTTTCCACTAGATGTTGGAACATTGCTGCGGGGACTTCAGCCACAAGCATTAGCGAGTGGGCACTGATGTTGGCGATTAGGCCTGGCTCGCAGACGGCGTTCCAATTCATCCCAAAGGTGTTCGATGGGGTGGACAAATTTCCACTGGTCTAATGTCCATTGCTCGTGTTTCTTGGCCTAAGCAAGTCTCTTCTTCTTATTGGTGTCCTTTAGTAGTGGTTTCTTTGCAGCAGTTTGACCATGAAGGCCTGATTCACACAGTTCCCTCTGAACAGTTGATGTTGAGATGTCTGTTACTTGAACTCTGTGAAGCATTTATTTGGGCTGCAATTTCTGAGGCTGGTAATGCTAATGAACTTATCCTCTGCAGCAGAGGTAACTCTGGGTCTTCCATTCCTGTGGCGGTCCTCATGAGAGCCGGTTTCATCATAGCGCCTGATGGTTTTTGTGACTGCACTTGAAGAAACGTTCAAAGTTCTAGAAATGTTCCTTGTTGACTGAACTTCATGTCTTGAAGTAATGATGGACTGTTGTTTCTCTTTGCTTATTTGAGGTGTTCTTGCCATAATATGGACTTGGTCTTTTACCAAATAGGGCTATATTCTGTATACCCCCCTACCTTGTCACAACACAACTGATTGGCTCAAACACATTAAGATTGAAAGAAATTCCACAAATTAACTTTTAACAAGGCACACCTGTTTATTGAAATGCATTCCAGGTGACTACCTCATGAAGCTGGTTGAGAGAATGCCAAGAGTGTGCAAAGCTGTCATCAAGGCAAAGGGTGGCTATTTGAAGAATCTCAAATATATTTTGATTTGTTTAACACTTTTTTGGTTACTACATGATTCCATATGTGTTATTTCATAGTTTTGATGTCTTCACTATTATTCTACAATGTAAAAATAGTACAAATGAAGTAGGTGTGTCCAAACCTTTGACTGGTAGTGTATATAGTGTACATGCCAGGGCTTCTTCAGCTCACTGGTGGAGGAGTGGGCGGCTGAAACGTCTGGGGGAGAGAAAGGATCGGAATGTTTATTCATGCATCGACTCATCCTGTCCCTCTGTGCTGCAGATTGAGGCTCTAAAGCTCATCACCAAAGCAGAGCTGGTGTCCTGGTTCATGGAGCACAGGGACGCCACCAGCAAGAAACTCAGCGTGCACGTAAGTCTGCCAGCTCTGACGTCGTGTGTGTGTGTGTGTGCATGCAAGGGAGAGGGAGTGCGTTGACCATTCCCCATGGAATGACAGGAGAGGGATCACATTCGCTTTGTCCATTAATTTATACAGTCATTGGCATTATCCTACTCTCAGTTATTCCAGAGCATACTGTAATCTCTCTCTCTCACTCTCACTCTGTCTCTGTCAGGTGGTAGGCTTCGGAGAGGAGGAGAACGACCAGGCAGGCCAGAGCAGCTGCGGCCTCGCAGGGGGGGAAGAGGACCAAGGCCAGGCCCTTAAAACCTCCTCTTACGGAGAAGTGTCCAAGCTGACCTTCCTGCCCGCCTCGCCCATGCTGGCCGACGCCACGCTCATCAACGACATCCGCGCATTCACCTCCTCCCTCACCCTCTACCCTTACCACAAAATCCTGAAGTAAATCGGTTCCGCACATTGGTTCCGCAAAGCGGGAGGCGAATGAAGGAGCAGGGGGAGCCATATTAGCTCAGGACTACTATCCAGGCCAGGCCACAACGCAGTGCAGTGGCGTCTTCAGAAGGGAAACTCTCCTTTCTCCCTCTTCGTTCCCCACCTCTCACTTTCTCTTTTCATTCAAGATAATAAAATATCAATGGCAGCAGGCACTAGTATTAATAATTGCAATCACCATTAGCCCGCTAGGCACAAAAGCAGACAGTGTTAAAACAAACAAAATTGGTCAAGAGCTCATCAGTTTGTCCTTTTGTTCTCACCAGTCCCTGATGGATTAAATAGGAGGAATCATCTTTGCTGTGAATGGTAGTAGTAGTGACTCATGGTTTGGCTGGCAGGAGGGCAGACAGATGGAGGGTGGAATAGAGGTAGAGGGGGTTCTATCATGTATCTGTCATATCTTCATTGTTGTTATTTGAACTTTACACATATCATATGAAACATCACCTCTAACATTGAAGAAGGATTGTGTGTATTTTAACAATGGACATCAGGGTTAACATTTACATGATCATGCTGTAAGATTTTGCCCATAGAAAAGGGAAGTATGTTTGTCATAACAGTAAGCCTGATTTATGTTCAGTATGTGACAGTTTCTGATTTGTTTTCAAGGTATTGTTTTAACTGTGATTCTGTTTGTAGAGAGGCTAAAGGGAATACCTCACTGTTACTGTATACTGTAGGTTTAACATTTCAGCCCTACCTGCCTTTAAAACCACTGGATGACTGGCATGTTTTAATCTATAGCGTGTTATCATCTTTACATGTAAATATTTATTAAACCTGAATGTAGGATATTTCAGGTGTTTTTGGTCTTTTCTTCCATATGATATCATGCAGTGTTGATGACCAATTCTGTTAAATACCCATTTACAGGTACAGTTGAAGTCGGAAGTTTACATACACTTAGGTTGGAGTCATTAAAACTTGTTTTTCAACCACTATAGTTTTGGCAAGTCGGTTAGGGCATCTACTTTGTGCATGACACAAGTAATTTTTCCTACAATTGTTTACAGACAGATTATTTCACTTATAATTCAATGTATCACAAATCACAATAAACAGGTACCACGTTCATCTGTACAAACAATAGTACGCAAGTATAAACATCATGGGACCACGCAGCCGTCATACTGCTCAGGAAGGAGACGCGTTCTGTCTCCTAGAGTTGAACGTACTTTGGTGCGAAAAGTGCAAATCAATCCCAGAACAACAGCAAAGGACCTTGTGAAGATGCTGGAGGAAACCGGTACAAAAGTATCTATATCCACAGTAAAACGAGTCCTATATCGACATAACCTGAAAGGCAGCTCAGCAAGGAAGAAGCCGCTGCTCCAAAACCGTCATAAAAAAGACAGACTACGGTTTGCATCTGCACATGGGGACAAAGATCGTACTTTTTGGAGAAATGTCCTCTGGTCTGATGAAACAAAAATATAACTGTTTGGCCATAATGACCATTGTTATGTTTGGAGGAAAAAGGGGGTTGCTTGCAATCCGAAGAACACCATCCCAACCGTGAAGCACGGGGGTGGCAGCATCATGCTGTGGGGGTGCTTTGCTGCAGGAGGGACTGATGCACTTCACAAAATAGATGGCATCATGAGGAAGGAAATGTATGTGGATATATTGAAGCATCATCTCAAGACATCAGTCAGGAAGTTAAAGCTTGGTCACAAATGGGTCTTCCAAATGGACGATGACCCCAAGCATACTTCCAAAATTGTTGCAAAATGGCTTAAGGACAACAAAGTCAAGGATTTGGAGTGGCCATCACAAAGCCCTGACCTCAATCCTATAGGAGATGTGTGGGCGGGCAGAACTGAAAAGGCGTGTGCGAGCAAGGAGGCCTACAAACCTGACTCAGTTACACCATCTCTGTCAGGAGGAATAGGCCAGAATTCACCCAACGTATTGTGGGAAGCTTGTGGAAGGCTACCCGAAACATTTGACCCAAGTTAAACAATTTAAAGGCAATGCTACCAAATACTAATTGAGTGTATGTAAACTTCTGACCCACTGGGACTGTGATGAAAGAAATAAAAGCTGAAATAAATAATTCTGTCTACAATTATTCTGACATTTCACATTCTTAAAATAAAGTGGTGATCCTAACTGACCGAAGACAGGGAATCTTAACTAAGATTAAATGTCAGGAATTGTGAAAAACTGAGTTTAAATGTATTTGGCTAAGGTGTATGTAAACTTCCGACTTAAACTGTAGGTGCTAAAACATTGTTGATGGATGGGGTAAGTTATCCATGTCAAGAGCTTTGAGATCTTTTGAAAAGCACTCTAATTGTAATGCATAATTATAATCAGTATATTATGACTGTTGTAGCTTAAGTAATCACAACTATTGCAAATATTGCTGAAGACATAACGACAGAATGTATGCTAAAGCCTACTTGCCTTGTACTGTCCCTGAAATACCTGTAAAGCACTGGGATTAATGCCAACTTTCAAAGCTGGATCCTTCAATCACCAGTTGATCAGGTGGGTATGGAACGCTGCACGGCATACTGTTATGAGAAACCCTGTAGGTCGATTGCGGATTGTCTTCTAGTGGATAGGACCTTTTAGGTTTGGTGGGCGTGTAAATCAATCAATATCTGCCCACCAAAGAAAATTGGTTCTGTGAACGTTCTCAGAGTTGTCTGGGATGTTGCAAGAATGTTCTTGTGATATTCACGAAGGTTGCACCGAACGTTCCCACAAATGTTGCACAATGTTCCGCAATTTCCAAACAAGTTAGTTTTTATGAAGTTCATAGCGTTTTTCTTTTAGGTTTCCATTGATGTTCACACAATAAACATTTTTACCTTGTGTTGGAGGTCCTCAGAACATTTCAAGGACATTTAGAAAATGTTATATTTAAGTTTTACCTGAAATATTTTAAAGCATAAGAAAGCAGATTGGAATACATCTCCATTATGTTTCGCTGGAGATGTTATGGTAATTTGCATTTAAGGACTGTATTGTAGGCCCACTACAAGGTGGTATAGACACACAAGGCATTTTAATTTAATTCATAGGACATTTGCGCAGCATTTAATCATACAAACGCAACCATATTTTTGTACACATATTTTGACAATCTGCACATGTGGGGTTTGAACCTGCAATGTTTGGTACCCAAGCCAGGTCTTTTATCCTCTGTGCCACCAGGGAACATCTCTTACATCTTCTTTTTCCAGTATATACAGTAGCCGTTGGCATTATGGTCAATCAGGAATTCCATGCTTCCTTTTTAGCCTTCTTAGACATACAGTAACTAACCCAGTGAAAACTGGTAACTGGGTTATTCACTATCAATTCACCCATCCTCTTTATATGCTGTGTACTTCTGGGCCCAAATGTACAAGGTATCCAAGACTATGACTGCTTGTCTAGTCACTTTTGCTTTTCAAATCATGAAAAATAAGAAGGGGACCATACCAAGCATCTCAAAGTAGGAATTACAGTGCTTTCAGAAAGTATTCACACCCCTTGAATCGTTCCACGTTTTGTTGTGTTACAGCCTGAATCTAAAATTTATTAAATTATTATTTTGTGTCACTGGCCTGCAACACACAATACCCCATAATGTCAAAGTGGAATTATATTTTTAGAAATCTTTACAAATTAATATAAAATGAAAAGCTGAAATGTCTTGAGTCAATAAGTATTCAACCCGTTTGTTAAGGCAAGCCTAAATAAGTTCAGGAGTAAAAATGTGCTTAACAATTCACATAAGTTGCATGGACTCACTTTGTGTGCAATAATAGTGTTTAACATGATTTTTGAATCATCACCTCATCTCTGTACCCCAGACATAAAATGATCTGTAAAGTCCCTCAGTCAAGCAGTGAATTTCAAACACAGATTCACCCACAAAGACCAGGGATGTGTTCCAATGCCTCGCAAAGAAGGGCACTTATTGGTAGATGGGTCAAAACAAAATTGCAGACATTGATTATCCCATTGAGCATGGTGAGGTTATTATTTACACTTTGGATGGTGTATCAATACACCCAGTCACTACAAAGATACAGGCGTCCTTCCTCAGTTGCCGGAGAGGAAGGAAACCACTCAGGGATTTCACCATGAAGCCAATGGTGACTTTAAAACAGTTACAGAGTTTTGGCTGTGATAGGAGAAAAATGAGGATGGATCAACAACGTTGTAGTTACTCCACAATACTATATTCCAAACCATGTATCCTGTTTGCAATAAGGCACTAAAGTAAAACTGCAAAAAATGTGGCAAAGAAATGAACTTTATATCCTGAATACAAAGCATTATGTTTGGGGCAAATCCAACACAACACATCACTGAGTACCACTCTTCATATTTTCAACAATGGTGGTGGCTGCATCATGTTATATGGGTATGCTTGTCATCGGCAAGGACTAGGGAGTTTTTTTTAGGATGAAGAGAAATGGAATAGAGCTAAGCACAGGCAGAATCCTAGAGGAAAACCTGGTTCAGTCTGCTTTCCAACAGACATTGGGAGACAAATTCACCTTTCAGCAGGACAATAACCTAAAACACAAGGCCAAATAGACACTGGAGTTGCTTACCAAGACGACATTGAATGTTCATGAGTGGCCTAGTTACAGTTTTGACTTAAATCGGCTTGAAAATCTATGGCATGACTTGAAAATGGCTGTCTAGCAATGATCAACAACCAAATTAGAGATTTACCCAGAAAGACTCAGCTGTAATCGCTGCCAAAGGTGATTCTAACATGTATTGACTCAGGGGGTTGAATACTTGTCTAATCAAGATATACCTATTAGTGTTTTATTAGTATATATTTTTGTATATATGTTTTTACAAATGTTAGAATTTTTCTTCCACTTTGACATTACACCGTATTTTGTGTAGATCATTGACAAAGAAATGACAAATCCATTTGAATCCCACTTTGTAACACAACAAAATGTGGAAAAAGTAAAGGGGTGTGAATACTTTTTGAAGTCACTGTATATTACTTTTTTAATGTGTTATTTTGTGTGTGTAGCCTTCAGAGAGCTGTGTAAGATGAGGGAGCATGACGTGTATGTTTCCAAGCAGGCACAGAGAGCCCAGGAAGAGCTGGCCAAGGCTCTGGAACAATCACAGAAGAACTCTGAGTAAGTGACTGACAGGCCATCGTCATACCTGCTGCTGACACATATATAGTACACATGCCTTGATAACTTCCATGTTCCATGTTTTTAACTTTGCTTTTTGTCTTCTATCTCCATTTCTGTCAAATCAAATCAAATCAAAATGTATTTGTCATATACACGTGTTTAGCAGATGTTATTGCGGGTGTAGCGAAATGCTTGGGCTTCTAGCTCTGACAGTGCAGCAATATCTAACAAGTAATATCTAACAATTTCACAACATATACCCAATGTACACAAATCTAGTAAGGAATGGAATTTAAGAATATATACATATATGGACAAGCAATGACAGAGCGGCATGGACTAAGATACAGTAGAATATTATAGAATAGAATACAGTATATACATATGAGATGAGTAGTGCAAGATATGTAAACATTATTAAAGTGGCCAGTGATTTCAATAGGCAACAGCAGCAGCCTCTAATGTGCTAGTGATGGCCATTTAACAGTCTGATGGCCTTGAGATAGAAGCTGTTTTTCATTCTCTCTGTCCCAGCTTTGATGCACCTGTACTGACCTCGCCTTCTGGATGATAGCGGGGTGAACAGGCAGTGGCTCGAGTGGTTGATGTCCTTGATGATCTTTTTGGCCTTCCTGTGACATCGGGTGCTGTAGGTGTCTTGTAGGGTGGGTAGTTTGCCCCCGGTAATGCGTTCGGCAGACCGCACCACCCTCTGGAGAGCCCTGCGGTTGCAGGCAGTGCAGTTGCCGTACCAGGCGGTGATACAGCCCGACAGGATGCTCTCAATTGTGCATCTGTAAAGGTTTGTGAGGGTTTTAGGTGCCAAGCCAAATTTCTTCAGCCTCCTGAGATTGAAGAGGCTCTGTTGTGCCTTCTTCACCACACTGTCTGCGTGGGTGGACCATTTCAGTTTGTCAGTGATGTGTACGCCAAGGAACTTGATGCTTTCCACCTTCTCCACTGCGGTCCCGTCGATGTGGATAGGGGGGTGCACCCTCTGCTGTTTCCTGAAGTCCACAATCATCTCCTTTGATTTGTTGACGTTGGGTGAGAGGTTATTTTCCTGGCACTACACTCACAGAGCCCTCACCTCCTCCCTGTAGGCGGTCTCGTCATTGTTGGTAATCAAGCCTACTACTGTTGTGTCATCTGCAAACTTGATGATTGAGTTGGAGGCGTGCTTGGCCAGGCAGTCATGGGTGAACAGGGAGTACAGGAGGGGGCTGAGCACGCACCCTTGTGGGACCCCAGTGTTGAGGATCAGCGAAGTGGAGATGTTGTTTCCTACCTTCACCAACTGGTGGCGGCCCGTCAGGAAGTCCAGGATCCAGTTGCACAGGGCGGGGTTCGAGCTTAATGATGAGCTTGGAGGGTACTATGGTGTTGAATGCTAAGCTATAGTCAATTAACAGCATTCTTACATAGGTATTCCTCTTGTCCAGATGGGATAGGGCAGTGTGCAGTGTGATGGAGATTGCATCGTCTGTGGACCTATTGGGGAGGTAAGCAAATTGAAGCGGGTCTAGGGTGACAGGTAAGGTAGAGGTGATATGATCCTTGACTAGTCTCTCAAAGCACTTCATGATGACAGAGGTGAGTGCTACGGGGCGATAGTTATTTAGTTCAGTTACCTTTGCTTTCTTGGGTACAGGAACAATGGTGGCCATCTTGAAGCATGTAGGAACAGCAGACTGGGAAAGGGAGAGATTGAATATGTCCGTAAACACACCAGCCAGCTGGTCTGCGCATGCTCTGAGGACGCAGCTAGGGATGCCGTCTGGGCTGGCAGCCTTGCGGGGGTTAACATGCTAAATGTCTTAATCACGTCGGCCATGGAGAAGGAGAGGCCACAGTCCTTGGTAGTGGGCCTCGTCGGTGGCACTGTGTTATCCTTCCATCTAAATTGTGCAAACTTTGCACAGACAAAATCTCTAATATGATCTGGCTTAATATGTACACAAATGACTGAATATGAAAAAGTAGCTGTTATCGACTGTACTGTACCATACAACTGTACTTGGATGTATGACCTCCACTTCTCTGTTTCCTCAGTATGACCTGTACAAGATGCAGAGGAGGAGGCTGGAGGTTTCGGTGGCCAGGCTGACGGACGAGAGGGACCTGTGGAGCAATGTCACCTACAACCTGGCCCTCAAGGTCTGTCTGTCTGTCCGTCCATCTATCTTGTCTTTTGTCTGTCTGTCCGTCTTTCCGTACGTCAGTCCGTCCCTGTCAGACATCCTGTTGTAGCGTTAGCTATATTACATTAGGACATGTTGAAATACAATGGAATGCATAGCTACATGGGAGGAGATAAGGAGCAGTAGAGGAATGGGAAGTGCTAACTGGGGTCTATTAATGTGGCGCCAAATGGAAGAAAACAGACTGAAACAGGGAGGGGCTACCTAAACTTGTCCTATTAGAAATGGCAATTCTGAAAAACATTTTGCTGCCAAGTACCCTAATGAATACAACCATGTTAACGTATGTACATCAGAGTTGTTGATGTTGATCCGTTCCCTCCCAGATGATCAAGTTGAACAACCTCCAGCTGGCCAGCAGGCTTCACATTAGTGAGCAGACCTGGACCAAGACTGCCAAGCACTTTACATTCTTCCTGATGTCCAAGTTAAACTCCACACTGTCAGGTAAATTTTTTCCTGATTTGAGATATTGTACTCTCGAATTTACTTAATTTAAATGGAATTTACTCCAACCAATTCTGATTATAATTTCATACTATGCTAAAAATAATAAAAACCTTGTTTCCCGTAGGACGCAGAGGACTTGAATTAAATCATGCAGCTGACAGAGCAATGGAAGGAGCGGCTCACATCGTTCATGAAGAATCTAAGAGAGGCACAGCCAGTGTGAGAGGATATGGGGCATACAGGCTGGCATCGTCAAGTGGCGCCAACATCAGGTACGCGGCGTAGAAATGGCCATTGGTGCAATCTACTCATAGAACTGACTGTAAATCTGTCATGACAGAGCTGTTGTCATTGCTTTGACTTCATATAACTACACTGGGGGAAAAAAGTATTTAGTCAGCCACCAATTGTGCAAGTTCTCCCACTTAAAAAGATGAGAGAGGCCTGTAATTTTCATCATAGGTACACATCAACTATGACAGACAAAATGAGAAAAAAAATCACATTGTAGGATTTTTTATGAATTTATTTGCAAATTATGGTGGAAAAAAAGTATTTGGTCAATAACAAAAGTTTCTCAATACTTTGTTATATACCCTTTGTTGGCAATGACACAGGTCAAACGTTTTCTGTAAGTCTTCACAAGTTTTTTTTTTTTTTTTTTTTTTTTTGGCCCATTCCTCCATGCAGATCTCCTCTAGAGCAGTGATGTTTTGGGGCTGTCGCTGGGCAACACGGACTTTCAACTCCCTCCAAAGATTTTCTATGGGGTTGAGATCTGGAGACTGGCTAGGCCACTCCAGGACCTTGAAATGCTTCTTACGAAGCCACTCCTTCGTTGCCCGGGCGGTGTGTTTGCGATCATTGTCATGCTGAAAGACCCAGCCACATTTAATCTTCAATGCCCTTGCTGATGGAAGGAGGTTTTCACTCAAAATCTCACGATACATGGCCGCATTCATTCTTTCCTTTACACAGATCAGTCGTCCTGGTCCCTTTGCAGAAAAACAGCCCCAAAGCATGATGTTTCCACCCCCATGCTTCACAGTAGGTATGGTGTTCTTTGGATGCAACTCAGCATTCTTTGTCCTCCAAACACGATGAGTTGAGTTTTTTACCAAAAAGTTATATTTTGGTTTCATCTGACCATATGACATTCTCCCAATCCTCTTCTGGATCATCCAAATGCACTCTAGCAAACTTCAGACGGGCCTGGACATGTACTGGCTTAAGCAGGGGGACACGTCTGGCACTGCAGGATTTGAGTCCCTGGCGGCGTAGTGTGTTACTGATGGTAGGCTTTGTTACTTTGGTCCCAGCTCTCTGCAGGTCATTCACTAGGTCCCCCCGTGTGGTTCTGGGATTTTTGCTCACCGTTCTTGTGATCATTTTGACCCCACGGGGTGAGATCTTGCGTGGAGCCCCAGATCGAGGGAGATTATCAGTGGTCTTGTATGTCTTCCATTTCCTAATAATTGCTCCCACAGTTGATTTCTTCAAACCAAGCTGCTTACCTATTGCAGATTCAGTCTTCCCAGCCTGGTGCAGGTCTACAATTTTGTTTCTGGTGTCCTTTGACAGCTCTTTGGTCTTGGCCATAGTGGAGTTTGGAGTGTGACTGTTTGAGGTTGTGGACAGGTGTCTTTTATACTGATAACAAGTTCAAACAGGTGCCATTAATACAGGTAACGAGTGGAGGACAGAGGAGCCTTTTAAAGAAGAAGTTACAGGTCTGTGAGAGCCAGAAATCTTGCTTGTTTTTAGGTGAGCAAATACTTATTTTCCACCATAATTTGCAAATAAATTCGTTAAAAATCCTACAATGGGATTTTCTGGAATTTCTTTCTCTCAATTTGTCTGTCATAGCTGACGTGTACCTATGATGAAAATTACAGGCCTCTCTCATCTTTTTAAGTGGGAGAACTTGCACAATTGGTGGCTGACTAAATACTTTTTTTCCCCACTGTATGTTGTTTTTTGTTGTAGGAGCCCGGATCCAAAATTTGAGAAAGTTTCAGAAGAACAGCTTTACACAAGCTTTGAAACAGTGGTCAAATGTAAGAACGTTTTCTTTTGTTCCTGTTAGGGACATTTCCTTTTAGGGACATGTTTGATGTTTTTGTATGTGGATCACTTACACAACCATTAAGCACTAGTCAGGCATTTTAGCACTGGGCTGGAACAAAATCCTGCACACCCTGTACTCCCCAGGACCAGGATTGAAGAACTCACTACCGAAACACCACATACCACTGTAAGTGGCCAACTAACATGCCCCCTCCCATCCTCCAGGCATTGACCATTCAGTGTGAGCGCTATGGAGGCGAGGACCTTCTCTCCTGCCAGGAGACCCTCAACAAGCTAGGCCAGTTGCAGGATGCCTGGGTGGAGGTTGGCCTTTAGCTCTTCAGGAAACACCCAGGGGGCCAGGAGGCGATGAGGGGACCTGGGCTGGACCGTGTCGGAGCTCCACAAGCAGCTGGGCAGGTGCATTAATGGCGAGAGCGGTGAGCATTTGAACGGAATGGCCCATCGCCACAGAAAAGTTGACTTGAATGGGGATGCCTGTTCTATAGATTCTATTTCTATGGCGGTGAGAGAGACAGACATAGTTTGGAGGGAATATACAGTGGAACTATATACAGGAAACTGTAGCACTAAGGTAGGATTCTGGAGTGCTACATACTGGGCTTGCAGGGTTTTGTTTCATCCCAGCACGAACACCCCTGCTTCAACTAATCTGAAGAACCCTGATAAGCACTCCTGCCTGTCTCATACCTCATACCTGCATTTATCCCTTGCCAACGGTTCTCTGTCGCCCTTTCAGGAATCCACAAGCAACTGATGTGCCTGGTCGGGGTCATGGAATTCTGGGCCACCCGACTGAAGGCCCTGGTTGGCCACACCGAGGGGCTGCCCCACTGTGATTGCCTGAAGCTGGAGAAGGCCCTGGGTAGCTGGATAATGCTGGCGATGGAGAGCCTGCTGTACGTCCACAGCACCCAGCCTGAGAACGAGAGGGTCAAGCACAAACCGCACGTCCAGTGAATTCTCTTGGCCCGCCTTTGTAGGCTTTTGACCAGGGCCTTGGTCAAATGATCTGTTGTGACAAAAAATTTGACATCATAATTACACTGTTGTTCGATTTGGTGCCAGTCATTTTTTTAATTAAAAGAGAAGACGAGCGCTTGTGCCAGTGCAAATTCCCAAAAAGTTTTGGCCCAAATCTGAGTTTATTGTGGCTAAGCTTTTTTTGTAAAAAATGTGTGTCCATTCCAGGATCGAGATTCTAGGATGATGTCTTCAACACTCTCCGGGAGTTCATCTTGACCCAAGCCAACTTCTTTGACTGTGAGAACCGCAGGCTATGTGAGGAGATACTAGAGACTTACAGAGCTGTCCCTGGATAGCACTTTCTTTACCTATGCTATTCTTTATCTATGCTATTGGGATGAGGGTACGTTTGATTCTATAGATGTGTAGAAGAATGGTGTAATATGCTATGATGATGTCTAGTTAAATTAAAAGGGGCACCACTTGTTTGTTTTTAGTCAACAAGGAGCTATAATTTAGCAACAAGGGATAAATACAATTTATCGTATAATTCTATCTGAAGGCAATTCAGTTCTTGAACGACAAGACAAATTCATATCTCCGAGGAAGCTAATACTTTATAAACACACAAAGGATTTATTAGAAGGTCATCAAGATAAAGCAATGAATTCTACAGGAGGGATGAATCAACGAAAGATTGGGCCCTGGTCAAAAGTAGTGCACTATAAAGGGAATAGAGTACCATTTGGGACACATCCTATCTCCCTTACATAATGTCTATGCCCTGTGTTTCTAGGTGAACTCCATCCAAACGGCTCTGACTCGCTGGATGGTGGACCTGCTCCTCCAGATGGTCCCGGACCACTGTGACGACCAGGAGCAAGCCCTCCTACCGGGACCCAACACCACCGTCATCATGGAGGTTTCCCTGGAGCAACTAGAGAAGGACGCCAAGAACCTCTCCCAGAAACTGAACAACTTCTCCAAATATATCACCATGTAAAGCTACTGAACCAGTTCCTGGAGTTGGTCTATAAGGTCTCCGCCTCCAGCACATATGCCCCGCCCCCCCCGCCTGCGTGGGATCGAACCCCATCACTCAACTGTGTTGCTACATGTACATTTTGGTGGTAGATGGGGGATGAAGTGGTGAGTTACACCACAGGCAACATAGAGCCTTTCTGCTTTAAAATGTCTACTTGGGCTGCTGTCATTGGGACGAATCTGTCCCACTTTTCATATTTAGTACTATATCGTCCAAGCTGAATGTGTTTTCCCCCTCTGTGCAGCTTTGACAGGCCATTGTGGAGGAGGAGATTCAGAGGACCATGGCTCAGGATGACACAGAGAATCAGTTCTTTGATCTCAACAAGCCGCAGGTACTGACTTAGCATTAGCAACCCTCATCCAGACTTTCTATGTAGAGCATGCTAACAGGGGTCCTACCATTATAAGTGTTTTGCACTCAAGGATGTGAATGCTAAGCTGTGTGTGTGTGTGTGTGTGTGTGTGTGTGTGTGTGTGTGTGTGTTTATGCTACACAGAGGGAGTGTGGCGATTGGATGGAGTCCTGTCAGATCCTGCTGTCTGACGTGAAGGGCAGTCCCGTGGAGCTGCGCATCACACTGAACTGCATCCCCCATTGCCCAGCATATAATCTCTAGTGAGCCTCTGATAATCATTTTACTGTGGTCCCTCTCTACCTTGCAGTTAGCCACCCAAAATGGAAATACCATCCCACTGGGCACTGATGTATATTCTAAAGTAAAATCAATTTTTTTTAACCATGACATTGGAATTATGTTCAAATGTTCAAATCCAAACAGTTTTCCAAGTTCATTCAACATGATCAGGAGGAAAAAATATATACTATAATTATTTTGTTGAAATGACGTGGATTCAACCAGCTTGCGCCCAGTGGGGTGTCATTTTAACATTTTAAGCATCACAGGTTTTTGGTTGATGTGATATAAAGTATAATGATGTCATTAGATGAACCTACCTGCAGTGTATCCACTGGAGGCTTTTGATGAAGAGGAGGAGGAGGAGGAGGAGTAGGAGGAGGAGGAGGAGCAAAATGATCAATTAACAGAGGTCACATGGTGACCAATCTACATGAAAAAAGACTACTAAAAAAGACTTTAATTTATGGAACAAAACTGGCCATATTCTATTCCAGTATCTGAGAGTTGCTCAACAAATAATGATAATAATAATGATTATTAATATTAATGATGATGATGATGATGATGATGATTATAGTAATTATTATTATTATTATTCATGCTAGGCACTTGTATCTTCCAGCTCTGTGATGAGATTTCCCCTAGATGCAGATCTAGGATCAGCTTCTCCTCCTCTAATCCTAACCTTAACCATTCATTGGGAAATGCTAAACTGAGTCAAATTCTAGGGGTAACCTCACCCTTCACTAATGTCCAGAGCCGGAAGTACACTATATATACAAAAGTATGTGGACACCCCTTCAAATGAGTGGATTCGTCTATTTCAGCCACACCCGTTGCTGACAGGTGTATAGAATCGAGCACACAGCCATGCAATATCCATAGACATACATTGGCAGTAGAATGGCCTTACTGAAGAGCTCAGTGACTTTCAAGGTGGCACCGTCATAGGATGCCACCTTTCCAACAAGTCAGTTTGTCAAATTTCTGCTAGAGCTGCCCCAGTCAACTGTAAGTGCAGTTATTGTGAAGTGGAAACGTCAGGGAGCAACAATGGCTCAGCCGCAAAGTGGTAGGCCACACAAGCTCACAGAACGGGACTGCGAGTGCTGAAGCGTGTAGCGTGTAAAAATCATCTGTCCTCGGTTGCAACACTCAATACTGAGTTCCAAACTGCCTTTGGAAGCAATGTCAGCACAATAACTGTTTGTCGGGAGCTTGATGAAATGGGTTTACATGGCCGAGCAGCCGCAAACAAGCCTAAGATCACCATGTGCAATGCCAAGCGTCGGCTGGAGTGGTGTAAAGCTCGCCGCCATTGGACTCTGGAGCAGTGGAAATGCGTGATGAATCACGCTTCACCATCTGGCAGTCTGAGTTTGGCAGATGCCAGTAGAACGCTATCTGCCCCAATGCATAGTGCCAACTGTAAAGTTTGGTGGAGGAGGAATAATGGTCTGGGGCTGTTTTTCATGGTTCGGGCTAGGCCCCTTAGTTCCAGTGAAGGGAAATCTTAACGTTACAGCCTACAATGACATTCTAGACAATTCTGTGCTTCCAACTTTGTGGCAACAGTTTGGGGAAGGCCTTTTCCTGTTTCAGCATGACAATACCCCCGTGCACAAAGCGAGGTCCATACAGAAATGGTTTGTCGAGATTGATGTGGAAGAACTTGACTGGCCTGCACAGAGCCCTGACCTCAACCCCATCGAACACCTTTGGGATGAATTGGAACGCCGACTGCGAGCCAGGCCTAATCGCCCAACATCAGTGCCCGAACTCACTAATGCTCTTGTGGCTGAATGGAAGCAAGTCCCCGCAGCAGTGTTCCAACATCTAGTGGAAAGCCTTTCCTGAAGAGTGGAGGCTGTTATAGCAGCAAAGGGGGAACTAACTCCATATTAATGCCCATGATTTTGGAATGAGATGTTCAACGAGCAGGTGTCCACATACTTTTGGTCATGTAGTGTAAGTTGTGCCTCATCGACTGCAGTTTTGGAATTATTCTGCAATACCTGTTTTTAACCAGCAGGTGGAGGCAGAGGACCCAGAAGAGGCCATGGAGTGCTCACTAGCCGGCTCTATTATGAAGCTGATAGGCCATGATGGTAACATCATTGAGAAACCCTGGGGGAGGATACTATTCAGCTGGATGGGGTCCTGTGTTCCTTGTTTCATTGTGAAAACATTGAGCCTTTGATGCCCTGGCTACAGTGGAGATTCTGCAGCACTAGTTACTGTAAGTTATTGGTCTTTAATGAGGGGTCACACTCTCTCAGCACTGTGTATCTCCCATCTAAGGATTATTACTGGAGTATTACATTGAAAACACAAACACATTTGGTTGTCTCTTGTAAAGTGCTTCACTTAGTAAAGTGCTTCACTTAGCAACTGTAATGTACACAACTGTATACTTCATTGAAGTGTGTGTGTGTCAGTAGGGTTGAGGCCCGGGCCCAGAATGTAGAGGAGTGGGACCTAAAGGCAGAGGAGGCCCTCCAGGCAGCGCTGGAGAAGATCCCGGATCTGGAGAGACAGGGCAGGCCCAGCCTGGAGGCCAAAGGTAGGTCAATACCGAGACACCTCTGTGATACATATGTAGGATCTTAATTTGAGCCAGTTCGCTACAGCAGGCAAATAATCCTGCAGCAACAGGAAATGTGAATTATTATGTGGATTATAATTACTTTAGTTTGTAGGGGTTGATACATTTGACACATGGGAAATGTCTTGAATTTCAAAGTGGAAATTACAAACTTCAGAAGCCTTTTTAAGCCTCAAATCCTACATCTGTAGGTCAACACTGTTGGATATGGGATTTGGACACTCATCTATACAATTTGCATTGCAGTGAGCAAGAGGTCTGTGGCATCGGCTCTCAAGTCAAAGGTGTCCACCCATGAAACCAAAACAGTGAGTCAGAAGCCTGAGCCTAGCCCCAAACACCACAAGCCCAAGAAACGCTGAAGATTGAAAACAGTACAGTGGTTTTAGAGGTAATTGGAACTCGGCTCCCCTGAGGATCCCGACCACTTTGTATTTGACAAATGAATGAAAGCAGAGTCTAAGTATGGTATGTCTGGGCATTCAACAGTATTTAATCATTTGTCTTTTTGTTGTTGTTCTGGAATGCATGCTATTTGTTAAGCAGTCATGTCCTACAAGGTTACTGTATGGTGTGAAATATGCTTCCCTCCAATCATGTTGATGCTGTATGGTTCCTTTTCAAAAATAATATTATTATCCTATTATTTATTTATTATGGACCGTATTTACCCTCATATTACACTGTCTGATTTAGGTGGAGTGTGTCATCAGCATATTGTATAAATCATACAATAAAAACACAAATCTCTATACTGATTTATATTTCTTTACAGAGGAGGAAAAAACAAAACAATCATAGAACAAGATTTTCACACTTCTTCAATCTGATATGAGGGGTGCATATCAATAATCTTAAGTGGCGTCCTCTCTTTGCTTCCTTCACTTCATCAGCACTGATATGAAAGAACTGGAGTGGCAAAACCAGTGCAGCCACTTTAGACTATTGAGATGCACCCACATTTATATGCTTCCCTTTGTTTCCTACATCATCGGCGAGTCTGTCTTCCGCTCCTCTTTGGTTTCTCCTCCTTTTGGGATGGGATTGGCTGGAGCCAGGTTTGGAGCTGGGGTGGGTAAGGTTAAGGGTGAGGGGTCACGGGGCAAGGTGAGGAGGTCAGAGGGGAGGGTGAGGACCAGTGCTGGGCGTTCGGTGCGGAGGGTGTGTAGCAGCTGGAGGAGACGGAGGTGGATGGCGGCAGGGGAACCAGAGAGGGAGTCCAGAGATGCCTTCAGAGCCTCACAGGCTGCTCTCTCTCCCTCTGCTGCAATCACCTACAGGACAGGGAGGAGGGGAACATAGGGTTAGAGGTCAAGGGCTGCAAGTTGGCAATGCTTGTTGTTTCGCTTTTGCTGTTTATCCTACCTCCCTTCTGACATGCGTTCATGCCAACGCATGTGCACACACATACGTGTGTGTGTAGGCTGGAATGGGTTAAATGCGGAAGACACATTTCAGTTGAATTCATTCAGTTGTACAACTGACTAGGTATCCCCCTTTCCCATTGTACACATACACACAAAAAAGACGGATTACATACTTTGATTTGGGCTTGTCTCTTTGCCTCAGCCTCTGCCGCTAGGCTATGCTGCAGCTCGATGGGGAGAGAAAGATCCTCTCTGAAATGAACATGGTGAAAAGAGCACAACCAAGTCATTAGTGAAGACACAAGTTGACAATTCCAACATGTACCGTGTTCTATTAACATTTGTTTACGACACCACCAGCCAAAATGGGAACTCGCTTCGTCGTCTTGTTTTGAAAATGGTACAAATGCCTGTAGGTAATCAGTCATCGATGATAGTCTTACATTTCTGCTCTCTCCACCTTGATCCCCCACTGGCAAGCTACAGAATCGATAGCCACCTGGAGATAGTGTTGAGAAAGCACACCACGTCACCACCCATTCACTCACTAAAATTCCTGGACAATCCGTGTGATTTTACACTGCTCAATACCAAATTCCACGAATAACCATTGTCAATATCGAATGTCAATATCACACCTGGGTTCAAATACTATTGGAAATCATTTCAAATAGTTCATCTGTGCTTGATTGAGCTTGCCTGACTTAATTTACCAATTGGATAGTCCAGAAACTGTAAACCCTACCCATCTGACACTCTAGCAATTTCAAATAGTATTTGAACCCAGGTCTGGTCAATATACAGACCCATACAAAGAGTGTACAGTAGGTTAGGTACCTGGATCTCCTGGGCGATCCTCTTCCTGTCCAGCAGGATGTGGGTGAAGTTGTGGTGGGCAAGAACGTCTCTGTCTGCCACCTGTACCAAGGCCTGCAGCACGGCACTCACACCCGACAGGGCCGTGCTGCACAGAGCCACATTCTCTATACGGTAGTAACACACCGCGCTCAGCTCCGTGCTCACCAGATCCTTGGTCACCACCTGGACACACAGAGGAAGAAACACACACACAGGAAGAAACACACACATCACAGCAGTTAAAGAGTCATGCTCAGAGGAAATATTTTTGAATATTTGATGTAGATTTAGTTTCTCTGTATGCTGTCAGAGGAGTTACCGTACTGTGTGAGGTGGGACCTTGAGCATTTTTAGACGGATGTCCACTTTCTGGCAAACATCGAGTAGTGGGAGGTAGAAAAGTAGGCCTTGGTCCCGAAAGGACATGCAGTAGAGAGAGATTGGAGGATATTTTTACATACTGTGTAATGTACATGCACAGTTTGATAAGTATATGGACTATAGGGGTGGTTCACAAGACTTGTGCTGTGTAAAATGTTACCAATAGCCTTTTCAAAGCCATTTGAGAAATTCACCGAGATTGGTTTGATGCATGTCTCATACCTAGCCTAAGACAATTATTTCATGTTTGAAGAAAACGTATCAGACGTTACATTTTCCTATGTCATACCATTTTATGAGTAGCCCCCTATGTGTATCCCTAAGGAAATCCAATTATTCTTAGAAAGCTATGAATGACTCATTGAATGAGTCATCAGATAATATAATAACAAGCACAAACCTGGTCCCCTGGGTCTCCCTCGCAGTAGGTGACCCAATCTGAAAATCACAGCTCTCTCATGCTCCCTCACAACCTGTCAATCAACACAGTGGCTTTCTGTCAATCAAGACTTTGCCATAATTGAATGACACAGAGAAAGACAGCCAACTGTGTCAGTCAATGAAATCACAGAAGGTTGGTGGCACCTTAATTGGGGAGGATGGGCTTGGAGCGGAATCAGTGGAATGGTATCAAATACATCAAACACATGGTTTCCATGTGTTTGATGCCATTCCATTAGCTCCGTTCCAGTCATTATTATTCCAGACACTCCAAAGTTGATATTTTTCTTCCAAAAAGTGGGGTGCTGAATCCTTGTAGTCATTCACCAAATACTACATTTCAATGATGTGCCTTTATTGTACATTATAGAAATCTACCATGTGGTGAGTGCTGTCCAACTCTGGAATATTGCCTGAAACATTTTGACACAGTCATCATCAAGTTGTTATACTATGTCACACATGGGCAGCAGGTAGCCTAGCAGTCAAGAGAGTTTGTCCTGTAAACGAAATGTCACTGGATCGAATCCCCAAGCCGTTCTGCCCTTGAGCAAGGTAGTTAACCCCCAACAACAACTGCTCCCCGGGCGCTGATGACGTGGACGTAGATTAAGGCAGCCCCCTTCACCTCTCTGATTCAGAGGGGTTGGGTTAAATGCTGAAGACACATTCAGTTGTGCAACTGACTAGGTATCCCCTTTCGTTTTGTGTTATACTGTTTATTGTGTTGTCTATGTAAGGGAGGTGGAAAATCCTTACCTTCACACAGAACCAGATGGAAACGGGAAAGAAGAGGATGACCAGGGTTAGAGCCAACACCATGAGTAGCCACTCACACACTCCAAGACTCCTCGGCTTCACGCCTGGTGATGACAAATACCACGGTTCACACTCACAGTAAGCTAATGTCCTTTTCAAAGATATCATCATTTATAATCAAAGACCAGGGCCCATATTCAAAAGTGTCTCAGAGTAGGAGACCCCCCCCCCCCCCTTATTCATTATGACTGCAAAGGTCAAACTGATCCTAGACCCGTATTCCTACTCTACAATGCTTTGTGAATAGGGGTCCAAATATTGTCTTACCTTCCTCCTGCCACTCACTCTCTAGTAGCGCAATGAACTCCTCTCCCCTCTCTTCCTCTCTCACATTATCCACGTCCACAACAGTGGAAGTGGACTTGACTGGCCTGTCTACCTCTTTATCTGTCTCTCCCTTGGTCTCCTTTTTTGGTCCCTCTTTCTTCTCATGTTCTTCGGGGAGCCTCACTGTCTTGGTGCCCTTGTGACGGCGGCCCCTGGAAGTAGGGGAACCAGAATGTTCTCTCTTGGCCATCCTCCCTGCTCGCGGAGCGCGACGAGGGGAAGCTGACTCCGGACGTTTCTCCATCCCTCTTGGAATGTCTGTGATGAGAAGAAGCATCCAATCCAAAGCTAGGGCTGGTTGGTTTGCTGTTTGGGAGGCTGTCTTGGTTTCAACTGCCGTCTCTTCCTCAGCCGCAATCACCTATGACAAGCCTATGACCAGGGCTGCTAGTTGGCAATACTTGTTGTCTTTTGCTGTTTATCCTTCCTCCCTACCTCCTGGCACACGCACACACGCACAAACACACACACGCACACGCACACACACACACACACACACACCACACACACACACACACAGGGTAGGCTTATAACTTGCAACCCTATTAACATGACATAGATTGAAAAATTGACAAACTTTTGGAAAGGCGTTTGGAATATAAGTTGTCGTTTCCGTCCTGTTGACATCATAGCCAGTAATGTGAGATTAATATGTGAGGATTGTCATTGGAAATAGGGCAACCTTGTAGATCTGTGTGCTTGGGGAGTCACTGTTGGGAATGTGCAGACTCAGATGTTTGTCTCTTTTCCAAAAAGCTGATGTCAGTTTCCCCATATTTTTTTGGTACAGGAAAGAAACACATCCTCCCAGACACAATTTAATTAGACTGTAAATTAAGCATTTGACCTACATTTTCCTTGCTGTAGTTATTCTCATAAGGCCTGGCTAGGCCTGCTAGAAACAAAGTATTTCAGTTGATTAGACATTATTAGATTTAATTATAAAAATGACTGTATAGTCTGCATTTCAGATGTTTTATTAATTATTAAACAGGCCTACTATTTATTATTATTGCTAAAGAATTTAAGGAATCTCACACCATTTTATGGGTTTGTATTAATTATTGCATTAAAATAATTGAATACATTTTCGTATCAATTGTTCTAATTGTGTGTAATAACGTTTGACCACTTCCAGTAACTTCACTGGATCACTGCCCTGGCCAGAAGAAGGTCCATTAAGCAATAAGGCACGAGGGGGTGTGGTATAATTAGAACAGTAAAAATCTATGTTTTGTCATACCCGTGGTATATGATCTGATATACCACGGCTTTCAGCTAATCAGCATTCAGGGCTCGAACCACCTAGTTTATAATCAATTCACTGAGAAAGATACAGTACCAGTCAAGGGTTTTTCTTTATTTTAACTATTTTTTACATTGTAGAATAATAGTGAAGACATCAAAACTATGATATAACACATATGGAATCATGTAGTAACCAAAAAAGTGTTAAACAAATCAAAATATATTTTATATTTCAGATTCTTCAAATAGCCACCCTTTGCCTTGATGTCAGCTTTGCACACTCTTGGCATTCTCTCAACCAGCTTCACCTGGAATGCTTTTCCAACAGTCTTGAAGGAGTTCCCACATATGCTGAGCACTTGTTGGCTGCTTTTCCTTCACTCTGCCGTCCGACTCATCCCAAACCATAATGTAGAAAATAGTACAAATAAATAAAATCCCTTGAATGAGTAGGTGTGTCCAAACTTTTGACTGGTACTGTACGTATTCTGTCTGTATTTGGTATACATACTTGCACGTGCATGTGGCTGATTCCAGAAAATGTGTCTGACTGAAGTGTGTAAAAGCCATTACATTTTTCTTTATATTGCATAGTTTTGGAACAAAACATGTTTTAAGACTAGTAACTGGATGTGAACAAGCCAAATGGATGTTGGAGACTAAATAAATAGGTAGCTAAGTAGCTAGCTATCTTTACAGCTGTATGGCTTGTGCAATGATTTTGTCTGACTAGCTTAGCCTCAGACGAATGTAGCTAGCTCCTGTCAGAGATTTGGATATAATGATGAGATACCACCCTAACAATGGGATTTGTTGTCTACAGAGCGGAACGGCGGGCTATTAAGCTCTCACCTATTACTCTTTTTGAATTGGTGGATACATCTCGTTATTTTAATACTGTTTTGAATATGCTGCGACTAGCCACATGTCATGAATATGCATAGCCATCTTGAGACAACTCCGATATAAAGTGTTTTTTTGTCAAAGTTGCCGGGTGTCAATTGCCCTACTTATATCAGTGCACTCATAACAACCTAAGCATTTTGAAACTTATATTCGATCAAATAAACCTCAAATAGCAAATTCGACACTCTCATTGACCTCCATACAAAAACACCTTGCTTGGTGGGCGAAAGAAACGAAACACTGCCACCTGCTGGTGGCCCAGTTGTCTCTCTCGCTTCGCCACTTCCTCTCTGCTCTGGTCCAGCGCATTCGATTGCGTTCCTCTACTAACCGCAGTAGCGGAGGAACATGCACTAACACCCTGGATCAGATCTAAGTGGAATGGAATGCTAACAACCATAGCCTTGGGAAGTAGGGCTGCTGAGGCTGCTGCAGCACCCCCTGTTTAAATCGAAATGAAACAAATTATAATATATATTTTTTTCAATAAAAAATGTCCACAATATTTGTGAACTAGGCCTTTATTACTCCTGTATGAGCGGAGAAAAATACTTCTCCTGTAGTGTTGTTTAGATGCATTATCAAACTCAAAGTCAAATTGCACCTGTTGTAGGCCTAATTAGGTACAATTCAAGCAATATATTTAGATGGCTCTGGGTCCAATGACGGACAATGGGGGAGGATTCTTTGCACATTTCAAAGTGTCATTATTGAGAAAATGCATTGGCTTGTTTTATATGTGATAGACATTTACTTAAATATTCAAACATTCAAGCAACATTCACAGTATTGTATTCCAACACCCAACACCCCCCTCCCCACTTATATACTCTCATACCCTCACCTCTCTCTCTCTCCCTCCCCCTCTCGCTGTCTGACAGTTGACAGAATGACCCAGGAGCAGCTGCTCTCAGGCCTAAATAATTATGTGCGCTCCCTGCTCATCTCAGCCAAGCAGGGCCTGACCCCCAGATCAGCTGAGGCGGGACTACGTCAACATGCTGGGCCACCCCATGCTCCTGAGGACCCTCGGCTTCCGCAACATGCTGGACATGATCCGGGAGATGCCTGACGTGGTGTACATTGACTACCTGGAAGATGGCAGCTTGGTGTTGAAAAGTAAGTAATACTGAGCACTAGTCCCACCTTTGGCTTATGAAGTTATAGTGTTTTGGCACATATCATGCTTTTGTTTTCATGTTTATGGAGTTAACATTTTTGGTTCTTCTTTGAGTATAGTATGCACTATGAGGAGTCCGAGAAGCTGAGCACAGATATCGTTGTACAACACAGATGTCAATTCCACTCCTTTCCATTCCAAACTCAGCACACAAACCTATCTCTCTTTACCCATTCTGCAGCAGTGGCGGACGACACCACCAGAGGCATCGTGGAGTTGGTTGCCAGACAGCGCAGCGCCAACAAGGCCCCAGCTTGGCGTGGTGGCGTGGGCTTCTTCTCCCAATGCTACCAGGAACACAACCCCATGGTCCTGCCCCAGCACGGCCACGCTCCCCCGGCACTGCCGGCCCAACTCCGCGCCCAGCTCCGCCAGCTGCTCTCCCAGGGGGCCGTGGGCCTGTCGGAGCTGGAGACTGCCTTCGCCCGCCACTATGGCTTCCCTTTACGTGTCACTAACTATGGCTTCTACTCCATCGCCGGGATGCTGCTGGCGGACGCCGACCTGGTGGCGGTCACACAGAGCCGGACGGGCTCCCTGCTGCCCCTCAGGGGGGGGGGAGGTGGCGCCACTGATGAGGACCAGACCAAAAAAGCAACTCTTCTCACCGAAGCAGACATTCCAAACGGTTCCAGGAGTAAGGCAGATGACAGACAAACAGAAAAACAGACAGACAAACTCTCAGGTTGGTTGGTTGGTTGGTTGGCAGATTGTAGAATTGAATTGATTGAATTTCTACTCAGGCACACTGCGCATTGCATATATCCATTCAATGCATCCTGCAAAGCACATACCCGTCAAACACACCTGCGGCGAACACTTTGCGGCTACTTCTGAAGTGTTTTTGTTTACGATTTCTTCACGCTATTTTCAGTAAAATGACGAGTGTAGTATTGAATGGTAGAGTTGGAGTAGTCCCTTCATCATAGATGCATTATAATCAAACTAGTTATCTCTCCCTTGTCGTGACAGAAATTATTTTCTGTATTGCTCTGTCTGTTTAATCCCGGTAAAAAAAAACACCACAGTGTACAGTACTCAGAATGATGTGGCATCACTCCCTGAGGCTGCAGGCCCTTACGGCCCAGAGAGGGACCAGGGCTCACAGCCAATGGAATACACAAACCAGTCTGAGCCTGAGCCCACCCAGAACAGACAACTGTTTCAGAAGTGTGTCACCAAGGTGTGTGTGATGCTGCCTTTACCCCTGTGATGTGTGTTCAGCCACATATAAATAGTTTCCCCCTTGATCTTGTTTTTGATTGGGTGCAAAGCCCTCCAATGACATTTACGACGCGGGGCGGTGGTGCCCCCGGACGCCAGGCGAGGCAAGAGACTGAGGGCCCCCACGCCCAGGGGCCCCCAAGAGCCAGGAGCCCCACGCCCTGTAGAACATGATGATCAAGATGAGGTGAACAGCAACAACAATAACAACTACAACAGCCCTCTGCTAGACTGGAGGGTTAGGGAGAGGAACATGAGGCTTCCCTGCCTCAGTGGGTCAGATTTGTAGTCATAGACATGTAGTCCAATTGCCTTATTCTGTATGAATGTGCCATAACTGGTCATATGTATTTGGCGTCCACCATATTGCTCTCAACTAAGTGTTTTCAGATCAGTGCAGATGAAGGACAGGAGACAAGGGGAGGAAGCTACTGAATGCTATTGAGATCCTATGTTTCCTATCCTACCCTCCCTCCCTCCCTTCCATTTTCTCCCTTCCTCTCTAACCCTCCTTCCCTCACTTTCTTTATCTTTTCCCTCCCTCCCTCCCATTTTCTCCCTTCCTCTCTAACCCTCCTTCCCTCACTTTCTTTATCTTTTCCCTCCCTCCCTCCCTCTCTATCCATCCTTCCTTCCTTCCAGGAGCTGCTACACCTGTCCGGAGGTGATGGAGCGCTACCGTCTGCCCGAGCGCTACGTGCGACCCTGCCAGGTTTGCCGCGTGGTGTCCCAGGGCATCTGGTTCTACCACGTTGTCGTCCATTGGGTCCTCAGCGACACCCTGGCTGAGGTCTACTATGTGGACATTGGATACCTCACCACTGTCCAGAGGAACAGCCTCAAGTTCCTCAAGTAGGGCCCTGACTGTGACCAAATGGCACCCTATTCCCTATATAGTCCACTACTTTTGAGCAGGGCTCTGCTCAAAAGAAGTGCACTATATAAGGAATAAGAAGTGCACTATATAGGGAATAAAAAAACACTTGTTTTGATCTGAGAAGACCGGACATCCAGTGCACTTAAAAGTGAATAGGGTGTCACTTGGGATGTTGCCAATCTCTTCCTTACTCTTGCCCAGACTAATCAACAGCCGTAAAATGTAGTCCTTTTATTGGAAGTGAATGTTTGTATCCCTGGTCTCACCATGTGTTGATGTGTTGCTCTATGCAAGGTGGTAACAGAAGGAGTTTAGTCTCTCCCTCTCAGGTCGTGTTACTCAGAGCTCCCGGCACAAGCAGTTGCCTCATCGCTGTATGGAATCAAGCCTTTCGGTGTAAAACCTAATATGATACCGTTTACACAATCTTCCATGACTGATATTCCCATCCCTGGGCCCGTATTCATTCATTCATTCATTCATTCATTCATTCATTCATTCATTCATTCATTCATTCATATAGAGTAGTGTATTAGTACTGATCTAGGATCAGATCACAACCCATCCCTTTGCCATCCATATAATCTAAAACTAATCCTATATCAGCACTCCTCCTGTGACTTTGAAACATACAGACTGGTCTAAGAACAGCTTTAACCCACCCCCTTTGTGTTCTCTCCCTCCTCCCAGGGCAGCTGGAGTGCCAATGCCAAGACCTCCTTCCAGAAGCTGTGCTGTGAGCGCACCCTGGTGGTGGACCTGCACAGCTACCACGCCAGCTTCCTGCAGCTCTTCCTGTGCGACAGGCACACCCAGGAGGACGTGTACATCCACAGCACCCTGCAGGCCCAGGGCCACGGACTCAGCTGCGCCCCCGCCGTCAGCGCAGCAGTCGGTCACACACACACTACACACACACACTACATTCACAGATTACACATGTTAGCGCACACACATGCTAGCACACACACACTATAGTCATACAGATACACACACTATAGTCATACAGACACAAACGTTTCCCATTCAATGATCCAATGCAATCTCTCATAACCTTCTCTTCATCCTACCCCTCCTCTCAGTTGTGTGGCCAGTTCAACCTCGTGAGCTTCTGTCTGGGCGAAGGCGTGTTCGACGAGGGGATGGAAATAGAGGACGAAGAGCCCACCCTGGAGCCTTGCCCCGAAGCCACCACCAGCACCACTCCCCAGCACACCACCATCCACCCCCAGCCTAAGAGCTCCCCTTCCCACATACACGCGGTACAGAACAACTCGTCTCTCTCTCAAGCACATACGAATACATATGGACGCACACACACTGACACACTGACACACACACACACACACAGACAACTCTGTCTGTCTGTCTGTCTGTCTGTCTGTCTGTCTGTCTGTCTGTCTGTCTGTCTGTCTCTCTTTCTCTCTCTCTCTCTCTATCTCTCTCTCTCTCTCTCTCTCTCTCTCTCTCTCTCTCACTAACTATAGCATTCTCTCCTCCTCCGCCACACAACAGCCCTTATCAGAGTAGAGGAGGCTCAGGCAGAGCAGCCCCAGCGTTAGTAGCAGCGGGCCCCGCTCCAGCTTTAGCTCTCGAGCTCCTCCCTAAGTGAATTACTGCCACACTCCCTCCCCACCCACAGGGAGGGAGGGGGAGAGAGAGAGGGAGGGGGAGAGAGAGAGGGGGAGAGAGAAAGACAGCAAGGGGGGGGGGGGGGGAGGCAGTTAAAGTCGTTCTGCTGAAACGGGAAAGAGATTAATTCCAGTGGTCCGTCAGGTCTGTGTTATGTGGGGATGGAAGAGGGAGAGAGAGCATCATCCACCCCTTATGGACACTGTACTGTGTTTCGCTATGTGACGGACCCCAGTAAGACTAGCTGTTGCCATTGGCATAAAATAAAACATTTGGAGGCGTTTTCAGCTTTAGACCTGTTTGATTTTCGCATTGATCGAGATCGTCTTGTCCTGATGCATTTTGGAGAGTTGATAGTGGTAGCCCTCTCCTGCAGTCAAATGACTGAATTGCCCTCTAGTGTCCTCATTGGTGGGATGTTATTTATATTTTTCATCATTTCATAATTAATAACCTTTTTTTGTTTTTTAAAGCCGAAATTACGGTGTTTCTTTGTCGAAACGGTTTTGCTATATTTTAGTCTTCTGTGATGTATATAAAGTGTAATGCTGGGATGTAAACTCAACATTTAAAATATTGCAACTCTTATCTGACCTGGTACAGGTGTCTTATTTTTTTTAAGCCCATAATCATGTGTGTTAGCTGTATACTTTTGACTTTTAAGACTACCAAGAATTTGTTTAAGACTACCAAGAAACACTCTGTGTGACCCTGATTTAGCCCACTGCAGTAAAAGGACATTAAGAGTCCACAGTCTCATGATGTGCAGGGAGAGAATGATCATATTTGCCAAAAATTATGTGGCATAAGTTAGCAGCCCTGTTGGAATACTTTTAAAATATGTCCTTCCTTCCTCCTTTACCTGAAGTGATCACCTTCTTACACCGCGGGGTTCGGGAAAGCCATATAATGGAATTGTTGCTTATACCTAGCCCATTGGGTTATATCAGTCACTTTGTCAAGGATAGGAGGGAAGAAGGATGCGTATAAAGTGCAGTAGTTGAATAATCCATATGTTTTAGACCCCTAACCTTGTGGGCGGGAACAAAGCCAAACAATTGGAGGAGCTGCCTGACCTCCCGGCACTGGAGTTCATCGAGGTCCAGGTATGACCTTTGACCCCCCCGTTACACACTCCTATCAGAACATAGTTCTAGAACAGGGTGACATTAAAATATATTGTTATCATGTGTGTAATTAGCTTGGTCCCATATCCGTTTGTGCCAACTACTTTGGTCAATCGTGATGAGACCGCACAAACAGACCTGGAACCAGGCTAATGTATAATGCAACTGGGTTTAAAAAAGGAATGATCTAATGTTGTGTGGTTATATTTCTCCAGGGGGGCCAGAAGGCAATCCCGTTTGCAGCTCTGCAGAGTAAGAACCTACTGCTGTGCTGTAGTGACTGGAACCAGGGCTGGACACCCAACCCCACCACTACCCAACTCAAACCTGGGTAAGGCAAGGACACAGGCCAGACCTTTTGGTTGCCAGATTGAAAAATATTTTTTGAAATAAAATGTTTAACATAACTAAATAACCAAAGTCCCAACTAGACTGTCCTATATTCTACCTGAGGTCCAGTTGTTTGAGTCGTTATCTGGCAACGTGCCTTATGCTCACATGACTAAGCAGCTGGTTAGAACTAATTTCATTGGAAAGCAATTGCAGTCTGCAGTCTCACCTCCTATTGTCATGTTGTTTGTCACGCATTAGACCTCTGCCCCTGCACATCCTCCCGGGACGGCCCGAGGCAACGCACACATAATTGTTTGTTAATTGGAAGAACAATTCCTCTCTCACCTATGTTCTCATTTGTGAACTCATTAACCAAAAGACTGGAATGAAAAATGCCTGTTTGTGCCATATCCCTGCGAGAGGAACAAAACAAAACATAAATAGGCATTGAGATTAGCTTTTTATTTCCATTGATTGGTTTTAGTTTTGTTTTCACATTCTTCTAAAGGTAGTCTCAATTCTGTATGTTGTGTAATTGCATTGTTTGTACCTGAGATATGGATTCGATTTAGCCAGTTAATGCACAAATAAACATTCCTACCCTTTCTCTCCCCCGGACGTTTCAGCCGCCCCCTCCTCCACCTAGTGCGGGTGTACCAGTGAGCTGAAGCAGCCCTGGCATGTATATGGTGGAGGTAAAGTGACCCCTGTGTCCCTCATGCCCCCCCCTACCACCCACACTGAAAACCCTGAGCCTCCAAACCCCCGGACTGATGCAGACCCAGAGTGACTCATACGGTACGGTTAACATATCACACACACGCAGTAAACTAACCATTACTTACATACATACACACACACACACACACACACACGATGCAGTAACCATTTTACATGCTCCCCCCCCCACACACACACAGGGGTTAGCCGGAGCACTAATGATACTAGAGAAATGCAATGAAATTAGCCTGTGCCATCGACGCAAGCAGAGCATATTGATTTCAAACCTGCATCTAGTGGATGGCCCTGCACTGAGAAACTGACACAGATTCAATTAGACCTGTTACCATAGCTATTTGCCCCAATTGTGTTACCTTATTGCATTAGGCTCGATATTGATACACTGTTACAGTGCAGTGCTTTCGGTTAAGCTGTGAACAAAAGACCTGAACATTCCATGAAGTACAACAAGCATGCTGAGCTTTACACAGAATGTGCCATGTTCAGCAGCAGTATTACGTCTATGTCTAGCTGTTATGTGAATTTTGGGACAGATCCTAACTTGAGATGCTTAAGCATAGCACACATACCTCTGACTTTCACAGAAATCGTGTATTGAAATCTAATTAATTTAATAATAAAAAATCCCCATCAAAATCCATCTGTTTTTTTGCATGTTTGTCAGACCATGAGACATCCCAAAAACGTCTGTAGCGTCCGAACAGTTTTTGACGATATGTTTTTCCATGTATGAAACTGTTATTCAGTGCGTTTCTATGGGCTAATAGCAGTAAGGCCAAATTCATCAAATATTTTTTTAAATATATTGTTTTATACCTAAAGGGGTCCTAAAATTCCAAATCAAATAGCTAAATGATCCTTGGTATGACAATCTTAAAACAATTCCATATGTTTGCTTAGTAGATCAACGGTGACAACCATCCTTAGTAGATCCGATTTGGTCCCTTGTAACTTGCTGTTTGAACAGTCAGTATTCCAAAACGGATTTGAAAAAAAAAACTGTTTTGAGCATTAAGGCCTGCAGTTTGAACAAGGCTTTAGTTTCTTGGTTTGATATTGATGTCATGTAGCCCTCTCCCATGTTTTTGCTAACACAATGAGGAATGTGTGCTGAGTTGATCGCTCCTTCCTCGAAATCTAAAATAATCAGAAAGGTTGTTTTGTAGAATTTTGTTTTGTAGAATCTTTATTTTACCTTTTGGTCTACTGTGTTCCCTCTTTCCATTGTCAGGTGCAAACTTCAAACTGGTTGCAAAATGCTTAGTAAATGTGGCCCAGGTGCTGTCCAACCAAATATGGCCACACATGTCGGTAAAATGACACACAAATGACGGAAAACCTTTTGAAATAGAGGAAGTACTGTGGACAGCAATGCCCATACCTGTCGCAAAAGACCATTCGTTGTTGTTTACAATTTCAAAACCTTTTCTCCTGTTTGTGCCAAATGATGCTGACCCAAAGTAGTCATCATGAGTGGGAAGAGGTGGTCAGGAGGTAAAAAGGGAGGTTAAAGAACAGAAGAAAGCTACCTCTCGCCCTCCATCGCCCCCCACTGTGCTCTCACTGGCTCCCCTGCCCTCGGGCCAAGGCTGCCTCCACCCTTCGCCTCCCTGTGCTCCATCACGTCTGACGGAACTACTAAACCCCCCAACCATGACCCACTGATTCATCCCTTTACTCACTCGCTCCCCTCTTTTATTCATGCTCTCTCCGGTCTTCCTGCACTCTGAGGCGCATCACTTCCAATAATACGTTACACCGTGTCGCAGTGTACTCAGCGAGAGGGCGAATCATCCTGGAATAATTACGGGAAAAACAATAAATAAAACAACTTGCAGTGGAGCGCCAAACTCTCGTCCGCATCAAGCTGTGAGTGAGCCGAGTTGACGACTTGTTTCCATATGACTAAACTACTCTCTGCTTCATCAGTAACCACCACCCACTCACTCTGCACCGCTGCATCTAAAAATGTTCCCCCTGTCAAAACGATCACTGTCAGAGGACACGGGGGAAATGATAAAAACAGGAAATTATCCAAACAGCATGTCTTCTTCTACCGAGGTGCTGCCCCTGCCACGACTAGACCTCTTCCGTCCTCCATTTTGGAGTCAATGGCGAAGCAGGGGTCCGGATGCACTCGGATGTGCAGGTGTTGTGTCCTTGGATCCTCACTGGCCGCTGTGCACTGAACTCTGCGTCAACTACCTTCTTAAAGGGTTCCTTCATTTACATTTGTAATTTTTTTTGTCATTTAGCAGATGCTCTTATCCAGAGCGACTTACAGTAGTGAGGGCATGCATTTTTTTTTACTTTTTCTTACTGCTCCCCTGTGGGAATCGAACCTACAACCATGGCATTGCAAGCGCCATCCTCTACCAACTAAGCGTTAATGAGCCCTGCTCCAGCAGTCCCGGAGGAGGCCTGGTCATTTAGAAGGCCTTAGCAGGGAGAACATACGCTGCCTTCAGGGTTATGCCTCATTGCAGTTCAAAGGGGGGCGGAATAAACAGAAACAAGATTAGCCTTTGAAACGTGCAGCAATACTCTCAGACTAGCATATGTTATAATGCTGTTTAGCCAGTGCTTGACAAGTCGGTCCATTGGACTAGTTCACCGAAATTCACAAATGACATTATGCTATAGAGAACTCTGTTAAGGGTTTATACACATTTTCCATGACTTCTTCATGACTTTTAACCAAATTTCCATGACTATTATTATAGCCTACATGAATAAGTAAGCATTATTGACACTGGAAGGCTGCTGTATCTGATCCCATGTAGGCCTACCATCCCCTGCTGTTGTGCCTTTGATCAAGGCACTTAACCCCCCACAAAGTAGAACTGCACTGTTAGTCACATGTTGTCAATCTGGAGAGATCCTGGGTGTGAAGGCTTTTGATCCAGCCCTGAAACAGCCAAGTCTGCTAATCAAGGTCCTGTTGAGCAGCTGATGTTTAGCCTACAATGTGGTTAGACCAGGGCTTGAACAAAAGCCTGCACACCCAGTAGCTATCCTGGAGGATGGTTGCCACCCTTGATATAAAATATTGTAACATTACAACCAAATACTTTTGTTTTTATACAATTATTTCCTCAATCAATGAATTAGGGATCAAATTGATAAGGTAGGCTACTTCAAAGCAAGGTATCTAACTAGAAATGTTTATATAAGGCTAAAATATTCATGTTTCAGAGGAGATCTATGCACAGCAAGTTATTTGTCAATCAGGCTATTCTTAGAATATTTTTAACATTGTTGCAATTACATGGCTACTGTTTAGTAGAGGGGGATCTCAGTTTTCCAACGGTGCAGATTTATTTAGGCTATCTACAGTACCGGTGGAAGGGCGACAACGACATTAATGCTTAGTTAGCTATAGTCAACTAGCGAGATAACTGCTACAAGTTATGTTTTGAATTGGCTATATAGTTAGTCTGTTGTCTGTCATTAGTTTATACCTGCAGCTGAAATGTCGCACTCTCCCTACGCCGGCAATGGCCAGGGGTGGAAAAAGTACCCAACTGTCATACTTGAGTAAAAGTATAGATACCTTAATAAAAAGTTACTCAAGTAAAAGTGAAAGTCACCCAGTAAAAGTCTAAAAGTATTTGGTTCTAAATATAAAATACACTTAAGTATCAAAAGTAAAAGTATAAATCATTTAAAATTCCTTATATTAAGCAAAGCAGACGGCACCATTTTCTTGTTTTGAAAATTTACAGATAACCAGGGGTACACTCCAACACTCAGACATAATTTACAAGCGATGCATTTGTGTTTAGTGAGTCTGCCAGATCAGAGGCAGGGATGACCACGTGTTCTCTTGATAAGTGCGTGAATTGGACCATTTTCCTGTCCATTCAACATGTAATGAGTACTTTTGGGTGTCAGGGAAAATGTATGGAGTAAAAAGTACATTATTTTCTTTAGGAATGTAGTGAAGTAAAAGTAAAAGATGTCAAAAATATAAATAGTAAAGTAAAGAACAGACACCAAAAAAAACTACTAAGTAGTACTTTAAAGTATTTTCACTTAAGTACTTTACACCACTGGCAACGGCACACTCGTACTGGCACACACGCAGCACACACAGACATTCACTGAAGGGTCATTACGATAATAGCTGTAATTTAGATTTTTAAGTGATTGATGATATTTTAAAGTGAGCCTTCATGAATTATATTAACAATGACCTTTACATGACCTTACAAACCCTAATTTGACAACTTGGAACAGCGCATCATGCACATTCAGGCTGGTGCATTTTCAATCTGCGCAATCTCGAACAGCCAGCCTACTGTCACACACAGATTCACAGACTTGCGGCAAATAAACTTGAACAAAGCGTAATCAGGAAATGAATGCCCACTCTCAATTGCTATTCAATGCAGATCCCACCTTCATTCTGCTTTGATCAACCTTTTTTGCCTTGGTGTGTGAATCTGGGCTAGGCTACTTTGTTTTATAGAGGAGCAAAATATAGAAGTGCCTGTAAGGCGCTCCTGACAGCTCCAGCCCAAGTCCAGCACTGTGTAGCAGTGGTCTTAAACCTCTGGTCCATGGACCAACACCGGCCAGAGATGTTGCTAACTGGTCCCTGGCCATAGATGGTGAGCTGACACCAATTTTATTCAGTTCTTAAGTGTTAACTTTAATGGAAGTGGTCCTCAAGGACAAATATTTGAGTATTCAAACTGACATTAGTATTCGATTATCTATGTCACATTGCTACATAGCCAACAAGGATAGACCATTACTTTCCAAATGTTAATAAAACAACAGTTATGACAGTTTGTATGAGTGCGCACCATACAAAAGACACACCGGTAGCCTACATTCCTGTTTCGTAAGTGTAGCTTGTTGTTATTGTCGGTCAATCACAGCGGCGCTAAAGTCAGAGGCACAATGTGTACATTTCTAATTAATGCAAAATTGACTTAAAATTACAGAATTAAGTTGGCTAAATGAGAAGGAGTAGGCTGCAATGATCAACCAACATGTAGGCAGTTGTTTAATATGAATGGAGTTGTTGTAGACAAGGACGGGGAGCGCAGCAAAATAGCGTAAATTAGCGGACTATGTTAGCTAGCTAGCTGGCTACTGTAGCTAGCTAGCTTCTTTATAACGATTTGATGCAGTCAAGACAGGCACTACCAGATGGTATGATAGATAACCGATGGCAGCAAGTGAAATAGATAATAAACAAATCAGAAATTACCAGTAAACATTACACTCACAAAAGTTTCAACGGTATAGAGACATTTCAAATGTCATATTATGGCTATGTACAGTGTTGAAAAATATGTGCAAATAGTTAAAGAATAAAATGGAAAATAAATAAACATAAATATGGGTTGTATTTACAATATGGGTTGTATTTACAATGGTGTTTGTTCTTCACTGGTTGCCCTTTTCTTGTGGAAACAGGTCACACATCTTGCTGCTGTGATGGCACACTGTGGTATTTCACATAATAGATATGAGAGTATATCAAAATTGGATTTGTTTTCGAATTCTTTGCGGGTCTGTGTAATCTGAGGGAAATTTGGCAGGAGGTTAGTGTCACGATCGTCTGAAGAAGCGGACCAATACGCAGCGCGTGGAGTGAACATGATGACTTTATTTAATAAAGCAACCACGAAAAACAACAAATGACGATAGTGAAGTCCTCTGTAACACTGACAGAAACATGGAACAAAAACCCACAAAACCCAGGTGAAACCACACAGTTTAAATATGGCTCCCAATCAGAGATAACGAGCCGACAGCTGACACTCGTTACCTCCGATTGGGAGTCATATGACTAATCAACAACAAAACCAAACATAGAAATGAACAACTAGATCCAACATAGAAAATACACCCAAACAATGAAAATGAACAACCCTGGCTCAATAATCAAAGTCCATGGAGCCAGAGTGTCACAGTACCCCCCCCTAAAGGTGCGAACTCCGGGCGCACCAGCATACAGTCTAGGGGAGGGTCTGGGTGGGCGTCTGTCCATGGTGGCGGCTCTGGCCCAGGTCGTGGTCCCCACCCCACCTTAGTCACTATCCGCTTCCGTAGCCCCCTCCACCTGACCACCCCCCAACTAAACCCCACTGGATTAAGGGGCGGCACCGGACTAAGGGGCAGCACCGGACTAAGGGGCAGCACCGGACTAAGGGACAGTACCTGACTAAGGGGCAGCACCGGCCTGAGGGGCAGCACCGGACTGAATGGCGGATCCTGGCTGGCTGGCTCTGGCGGATCCTGGCTGGACGGCTCTGGCGGATCCTGGCTGGACGGCTCTGGCGGATCCTGGCTGGCGGAAGGCTCTGGCTGATCCTGTCTGGCGGAAGGCTCTGGCTGATCCTGTCTGGCGGAAGGCTCTGGCTGATCCTGTCTGGCGGAAGGCTCTGGCTGATCCTGTCTGGCGGAAGGCTCTGGCTGATCCTGTCTGGCGGAAGGCTCTGGCTGCTCCTGTCTGGCGGAAGGCTCTGGCTGATCCTGTCTGGCGGAAGGCTCTGGCTGCTCCTGTCTGGCGGAGAGCTCTAGCGGCTCCGGTCTGGCGGACGGCTCTGAAGGCTCATGGCAGACGGGCGGCTTTGCAGGCTCAGTACAGACGGGCAGTTCCTGCGGCGCTTGGCAGACGGACCGTTCAGACGGCGTTGGGCAGACGGGCAGTTCAGGCGCCGTTGGGCAGACGGACAGTTCAGGCCCCGTTGGGCAGACGGACAGTTCAGGCCCCGTTGGGCAGACGGCAGACTCTGGCCGTCTGAGGCGCATCGTAGGCCTGGTGCGTGGTGCCGGAACAGGAGGTACCGGGCTGAGGACACGCATCTCAGGGCTAGTGCGGGGAGAAGCAACAGGGCATGCTGGACCCTGGGGACGCACCGTAGGCCTGATGCGTGGTGCCGGAACTGGAGGTACCGGGCTGAGGACACGCATCTCAGGGCTAGTGCGGGAAGCAGCAACAGGGCATGCTTGGCCCTGGGGACGCACCGTAGGCCTGATGCGTGGTGCCGGAACTGGAGGTACCGGGCTGAGGACACGCATCTCAGGGCTAGTGCGGGGAGAAGCAACAGGGTATGCTGGACCCTGGGGACGCACATAACGCCTAGTGCGGAGAGCCGGAACAGGGCATGCTGGACCCTGGGGACTCACATAACGCCTAGTGCGGGGAGAAGGAACAGGGCATGCTGGACCCTGGGGACTCACATAACGCCTAGTGCGGAGAGCCGGAACAGGGCATGCTGGACCCTGGGGACTCACATAACGCCTAGTGCGGAGAGCCGGAACAGGGCATGCTGGACCCTGGGAACGCACATAAGGGCTAGTGCGGAGAGCAGCAACAGGACGCACAGGACTCGGGAGACACACAGGAGGCTTGGGGCGTGGTGTAGGCACTGGTGGGAAAGGGCTGGCGACGCGCACCGTATCCCTGGTGCGAGTGGCCGGAACAGGCCGGGCCGGGCTGGCGACGCGCACCGTATCCCTGGTGCGAGTGGCCGGAACAGGCCGGGCCGGGCTGGCGAAGCGCACCGTGTCCCTGGTGCGAGTGGCCGGAACAGGCCGGGCTGGGCTGGCGCAGCGCACCGTATCTTTGGTGCGAGGGGTTGTAACAGGCCGGACCGTACTGGAGGCACACACCACTGGCTCTACCCCGGGAACTGGAACGGGCCGGACCGGACTGGATACACACCTCAGTCTCTCACGCCGTGCCTCTACATCTCCTTTCCCTCCTTTAACCAGTAGCCCCCGTAACCTGGTGGCCTCTTGAATTCGCCCCTTCTCTGCCTCCGTTAGCCCCGTCGTCCAAGCCATGTGCCCCCCCCAAAAAACTTTTTGGGGTTGCCTCTCGTCCTTCCAACGATGATGGCCCTGCTGACGCCGTTGCTCCTCTCGCCGTCGCCTCTCCACCGTTTCGCTCCATGGACGGCGATCCATCCCATCCAGGATCTCCTCCCAAGTCCAGGACCCCTTTCCGTCCAAAATCTCCTCCCATGTCCAGGAAGCCTTTGGAGCTGGGTCCTGTTGCCGCTTGACCCGCTGCTTGGTCCTTTTAAGGTGGGTTTTTCTGTCACGATCGTCTGAAGAAGCGGACCAATACGCAGCGCGTGGAGTGAACATGATGACTTTATTTAATAAAGCAACCACGAAAAACAACAAATGACGATAGTGAAGTCCTCTGTAACACTGACAGAAACATGGAACAAAAACCCACAAAACCCAGGTGAAACCACACAGTTTAAATATGGCTCCCAATCAGAGATAATGAGCCGACAGCTGACACTCGTTACCTCCGATTGGGAGTCATATGACTAATCAACAACAAAACCAAACATAGAAATGAACAACTAGATCCAACATAGAAAATACACCCAAACAATGAAAATGAACAACCCTGGCTCAATAATCAAAGTCCATGGAGCCAGAGTGTCACAGTTAGGAAGTGCAGCTCAGTTTCCACCTAATTTTGTGGGCAGTGTGCACATAACCTGTCTTCTCATGAGAGCCAGGTCTGCCAATGTCAGCCTCTCTCGCTATGCTCACTGAGTCTGTACATATGATTTTCGTAATTTGGGGTCAGTCACGGTGGTCAGGTATTCTGTCACTGTGTACTCTCTGTTTAGGGCCAGATAGCATTCCAATTTGCTCAGTTTTTTGGTTGATTCTTTCCAGTGTGTGAAATAGTCATCTTTTTGCTTTCTCATAATTTGGTTCTGTCTAAATATGTTTCTGTCCTGGGGCTCTGTGGGGTCTGTTTGTGAACAGAGCCCCAGAACCAGCTGGCTGAGGAGACTCTAGGCTAATCTCTCTGTAGGTGAGGGCTTTGTGGTGGAATGTGTGGGCATCGCTTCCTTTTAGGTGGTTGTAGAATTCAATTGCTATTTTCTGGATTTTGATAACTAGCGGGTATAGTCCTAATTCTGCTCTGCATGCATTGTTTGGGGTTTTGCGTTGTACAAAAAGTATATTTTAGCAGAATTCTGCATGTTGAGTCTCAATTGGGTGTTTGTCCCATGTTGTAAATTCTTGGTTGGTGAGTGGACCCCAGACCTCACAACCATAGAGGGCAATGGGTTCGATAACTGATTGAAGAATTTTTAGCCAGATCCTAACTGGGATGTTGAGTTTTATGTTCCTTTTGATGGCATAGAAGGCCCTTCTTTCCTCCCTCTCTCTCTCTCTCTCTCTCTCTCTCTCTCTCTCTCTCTCTCTCTCTCTGTCTCTCTCCCCCCCATCTTCTGCTGAAACAAGCAGAACGCAGCGCACCAGCTCTCTCCTGAGTCGCGCAAGCAAGTCTCCATTGAAGTTAGATTTTTTTAAACACTATGTATTTAGATGATCCGGATATCCCCCAAAAAGATGCTATTATTCAAATAGTGAAATTATTTCAAACGCCCATCCCTAGTCCCAGCAATAAAAAAGTTAATAAACACTTCTTTATCCTTTGCTTCTCAGTCTGACAAGTCGCAGGTTGAATAGAAATCTATATAGGATATACTGAGGGTCACTTTGGTGATTCAAATGTAATACTGCAGACCAAGAAGCAACCGCAGGCACCGTCATCTGATCACGTTTGTCGTGTGTAATAATTTTCAAGTCACACAAAAAAACAAGAATGAGGAAGATATCCGAGATAAAGGACAGTAGAATGGTAGACAATCGAAAGTAGACCTATGTGTTAAGTCCAAACCTTTGTATGATCTAGTCGCAAGTGCCATCCCATCTTCCTGTTCACATTGTTACCCCAAGAAACCTATCTCAGTGCATATGGACCGATATGCAAACATACGGTAAGCAATTACACACACGCGCACACACACACACACACACACACACACACACACACACAGTCATTAGCTGTGTTTGTGCTCCCCCTCTCTATTCCCCCCTCATATGCACTGCTGGGGTCTTCTGCTGCCACTGCTTCCGTCTCTGCTGCTGAATTCTAATGGCTTCAGCCCAACCCCGCCAGCACCAATAATAAACTCCATATTCAAGAGGAGCCTCTGAGCACCGGGTTATTTGAGCATTTGTGTTTGAGAGGCACAGCGGGCTGCAGAGAAAAATGTGTAAAATGAGGAGCGTATCTATTTTTATCCTCCTTTGAAAGTCTTATCTCCAATATATTACATATGCGGAATGAATTAATTGGAAGCAAAGTGAGCTTTTCATTTCCATATTGTCTCTCGAACCCCTCCGGGCATATTTGGTTGCGCAGACCAACTAACGCTGGTTAACCATTGCATGAGGGTTGATAATCCAAGTTCTATAGACATTACAGTGATAGCAATAATATTTTCCACGCTGGTAACAAGCATTTTGTCTCTTTTCACTAGTAAACGCTCTAGCAACCTCATCAATGAGGGAAAACCCTCGTATACGAGTAATTGGACAGGCAACCCCACATACTGTATATAACTTAACTGAATAACTGGCCAATGGAGACTTGGTGGTTTATGGACTTGGTGGTTTATGTAAGGCGGTCAGTCAGAGGATGGGGTGGGGAAAGAGGGCGGCCCGCCGATGGATGGGTGTGGCCACAGGGATGGGGTGGAGTTGGCCACAAATAGATGTGTATTGTTCTTGGGTCAGTACCCGAAAACATTCTCGAGAATGGGTTTTTAACCACGAGGTTCAAGATGGCAATCCACTCCTAATTCGATCAGACATGTACTGGATACCACTGTGCCGCTACAATCTGCAGTACTCAAACACAGTTTACTGTAGTCAAGCACAGCTCTCGTCTGCTGCTCTGCTGGCGTTGAGGCGGAGTTAATATGTGATGGCACTAGTGAGGTGACAGTTCCATTACAGGTTATTTATGAGGGCCACGTGTAATAGATATGCAGATACACAGTGCAACTCTGTCAGCAGTTGCAGAATCATCGTCTAGATGGGGAGTGTGGCAAGGGTCTGGGTCTTCAAGCTGCCATCCTGAATGTAGTAGCAGGGACTTGTGCCCCAAATATGCCCCACTGGCGGGTGAATTTAAGTTATCCTGTTTTACTCTTGGGTACAGATTATTAAAGATTGTTATTTATTCCCATTTCATAGAAAGAAAGCTTTTTAGACAAAAAGTTGGTAGTACTGGCAATGAATGTTCCCTGCAATGAGATCAGTATACTGTCTCATTGGCTTCTCTGTCTATCTATTGCTGGCTATGTAAATTGGAGCTGCAGTGCTAGTGAGTAAGAATTCAGGCTAGTGAGCGTTGTTTAGCAGGCGAGGTGCACAGCGGAGACAAGTGGCAGGCGAGGTGCACAGCGGAGACAAGTGGCAGAGGCCCAAATGACACCCTATTCCCTATTTATTGCACTTATTTTGACCAGGTCCTCTGTTCAAAAGAAGTGTACTAAATAGGGAATAGGGTGGCGTTTGGGACGCATTCGGTGGGTCACATGATGGATGGATACGCTTACAGAGAGCCGGTACAATGCTTAGTCATGATCAATCATCTCCCACACTCCTCCGAGGTCATTTGTTCCTCTAACACTGTCTGCATGTTGAATATACACCAACTTTCACCCTGTGAAAAGCAGCTATCCAGTGATCCACTGTATGAACTGTATAACACAGTGATTGATGTCATAAGACTGAGGGAAGCATTATGCCCCTCCATTTGGCTGAGAGAGCTCTGCCCAGCCCAGTAGTGTGTGTGTGTGTGTGTGTGGGGGGGGTGTAGGCAGGCCTGATAAGCAGCACAAAATACCCTGCAGCCCAGTAAATGATATTAGCTCCGATCTGACCACCACAGACCTCGCACTCACCAGGAAGCTGCTGGTTACCATGGATACAGTCCAGTTCCCCGCCCCAGGTTGTCATTGGTCTCCTCAAGGTAGACTTGATTATTGGCTATGAATGAGGAACAATCAACTACGGTAGCCTGTTAACATTTGCAATAATTGTCCCCCAATTTAAAAGTCCAAAAGCAAGAGAAGATTATGTATTCTCATAGTTGTTAGTAGTAGATGTTAGTTGGTTTATTATAGTAACATAGTAACAAGGTACACACTGGTTCCTCAAATATCCATTATGCAATTGTATTAGGGTCACATGGAGATCAATGCTATAAGAGTTGTCCTGCAGTGAATGACAATTTTACATTCCTTGTTTTTATACCTCCCTTTCATTGAATCACCAATTGCTGTTAATGCGGAGAGTCTGGATAGAACTTACACTAACTGCTTGCTTGTGTGTAGTCATTAGTGTAATGGATGCCCGTATGCAAGGTTGATTGAAACAAAATGCTTAGCCTTTACATTTGGGCCTTATTATTGTCAATGGGCAAAATCACCACCATTAATAACCATTAGACAGACGAGCTGATGCCGAGTCTCTGGTTGCGTCCCAAATGGCACCCTATTCCCTATTTAGTGCACTGCTTTTGACCCATAGGGCTCTGGTCAAAAGTAGTGAACTATGAAATAGGGTGCAATTTGGGACGCATACTCTGTGTTCCTGTAAGGTCACTGCTCTCAGAACGTCTGGGTGGAACGGACTGACCCAGCACTTTAAACACAGATCTCGTTTCACACTTGGTCCTAGCATCTCTACTGATCAATACACTTTGTCCAAAAAGCACCCAAACTCCTCAGTCACATGCTTCAACAATGCCCTCCACACTACGTCCCTTCCTTCCCATGGTGTTTCTATCAAAATGCTAGAATCTATACTTCTCATGTGTCACTTTTCTTCCCTCACCACCAGTATGGTGGCACACTTTAAATACTATGAAAAGTTATTCCAACTTTTTTAAAGCAATTGGAAATCTGTATAGTATATCTGTTCACACTATTTTGAGAGGCCCCTATAAATGGTCTATAGATTTTCAAACTATCAACTGCAAATCTGTTGAACATCTATAAACCATATATAAGGGGACTCTCCAAATAAAGTGTCACCCTAGATCTACCTCTTTCAATATCGCCCATGTGCACTGTAGATTTTGTGGCCTATTATGGTTTAGGTCAGGGGAATGTAGCCTATAAGTGACAAACTCCAGGATGGATCCATTCCAAACCTAATCAGGACGTCTGTGCACATATGCCATCTCCAGGGCCATATTTAGTGAACTATGAAATTACTATAATGGGGAATGGAAGGGACATTGAACTGGAAATCGTATGTCATCAGAGAGTGTGTGGGGGAGTTTAACTCTTGATTTGATATGGTTGACCATTAGGTTTCCCATCAACTCAATCTAAAGGTAGTTGGGCACTGGCGCATATGCCTATTGGCCGATCTGCCTATTATATCACTCCTGTATCATGCAATGGTCGTGTATCATACAATTATTGCAAGTAAAAACAGTATAGGCCTATATCTACTCTGTGGCTGCATGTTGCTTACACAAAGTGAATTGCTGTCCAAGGCACCATTCATTGCTGGGCTCTTCAGGACCTTGGACAGCTGCCCCCACAGTCTCTTAACCACAACACCATCTCCGGTTTCAAATAAAGAGGAGGGTTGATAGCTCTGTCGATGTTTGCTGTGCCTTTATTTTGATTGAGTAGCCTAGATTAGCCTAATTAGTGCAGATGATTGATGGCAAATCAATCATGATTAGCCTCTTTTTGTAATTAAAGTTACTGGCATTACTTTAATTTATTGCTGAAAACTTCTGCATTCCTGAGATGAATTGCAATTATCTCGCAATGCATGACTGTATATTTTGTCTCCAATGGGCATGGCACCAATACTACAATTTATGTGGTAGATACATTTGAAACAACTGTGGCCAGGGACATCATTTAAACAAAACCTCATGGCCACTAGGGCAGGGACTCAAATGTGCCCCCTCAATTCGTGACGATTCCTCTTTTACTTGCACCTAGGTTGGCTAATTTAAGTGGCATTACACATTCATAGGTTGGCTAATTTAAGTGGCATTGCACATTCAATCTCTCTCTCACCAACCTAACCATTCACTCATCCACTCCTAATTTGTTGGATATGGATTTCCTTTTTGCGCAGAGAAGACAAGAGGTTCTCATGCATGACAAAAGGGGCGCAATATTGTAAGTTCCATCATTCTTTCCAAACAATAATTTGATGCGCATTCATTATTTGCTTTTCACTACAAGCCTGATCGCGTACATTTCTGCCATATCCTTTTCGTGAGCGGGCTACATAATCGTGACGATACCTCTTTCTCACCGGATGATAGTGGCTATTATTGTACTCTGACCTCTGTTGAAATTACTATCCAGCACCAAGACGGTTGCGTTCTTCCAGAGACACCGCGCGCGCAGGCTACTCATTGGATGAACGTCTGCCGCAATCTGTAGCCTATTCAAGTGCCCTTTCCTTCTCTTCTTCTCGGAAATGCAATAACATTTGGGTTGGCTTTTGTCGTGGTAAAACTCAAGAGGAATACTGCAAGTTGAGGAAACGAACAATGTAACACTTACAGTGCCCGACAAGTAAGTATAGCCTGTTTTGTGATGTGGACTCAATTATAGGACGACGCGAAACGACACAAACTCGCTCAATTATTATATATGTTCTGGAAAACCTTAACAACATTCCTACTTGGTCAAATAAATCCAGACGTTCGATTCAGGTAGGACCGCATTGTTTATAAACGGGTCTGGGTTTGCTTTTGTTTATTGACTTGACAGGTCGATAGAATATAGATAGATTATGAAAATGATTAATGCGGCGATGGGGAAAGAATTTCACTTTAATGTGTGCCACAGGGCTAGATAAAACAGTAGGTTATAATCTGGCTCTCTTGAGTCTGTTCTTGGAGTTATTTGAACGTGAAATGCGCCTGTCATGGGTATCAGTAGTGGTTAATGGAGTCCAGGGCGCATAAAATCTACTGATTGTAGAATGTATCTGAGAATAATCTGAATCCATCACACAGGCAGCACAAATCTGAACTTTTTTTCAGTAATTGTTTTTTTGACCAATCAGGTCAACTCTGAACAAGAGCTGACGTGAAAAGATCTGATGTGATTGGTCAAAAGACCAATTAGTGGAAGAAAGATCAGAATTGGGGTACCAGTGTAAACAGCCTATGCAGTGCTTGACTTGGACTGAAATAGGTGCCAGTATTCATTTTGGGTGCCAGTACTGTTTATATTTAGGTGCAGGAGCTCCACAATACTTTTGAGCTAATATTCTATAAGAGTTACAGGCGCTCAAGCAGTAGAACATTTCAGGTGCAGATACTCCGATTCTGTGAGCTCCTGCCCAAGTCAAGCACTGAGCCTATGTGTAGGCTATCATTTCCCTTTATACCTCACACTCCCTTTATACCTCACACTCCACTTAAGTATTTCTGTGGTCGATTGTATGATGGGATAGCCTAACAGCACTAGCCTGTATTCTCTCCCCCTAAAATTAGAAACATTTGTGTATTTTGGGTGTGCTGCTTCCATGACTGTTATATTGAAGAGGAAATCAGTTATGCACACACACACACACACACATACACACACACACACACACACCATACCACACCATACCATACCACACACACAAAGCCAAATGACGTGGTAATGCTGCAGGTTCGGATGTTGAGCCCACTGACCCATGCACACAGAGAGGGGGAAAAAGACAACTCAGTAAGAATAAGATTGATAAGGTCTCTGACTATCTCTCCATCTCTCCCTAATTCTTTCACCTCCAGCAGAGGCAATGCTGCAATAGACTGATTTCCCATGGGACTCTGCAGTGTGTCCATACTTGGCTAACATAATATGGAGATCAAAAGACCACATCCACAACAGAGAGAGAGGATGTGCCATGTGATACTGTACTTACAGTGCAAGCCCAGAGGCTTCTGTTGATGGAGCAGATAGCCCATGTCTTGACTGAGGGTTTATTTCCATTTTACCCGTCTTATATGGCACACTGCATCGCTGAGCTTTTTCACTATGTACCAATCAGTGTTTAAAGTTCAAGCAAGAACTTGATGCTGCAGTATTTATCCATGTAGAAACTCTCAAATTAGAAATGTAGTGAGGCGACCAGTAATTAGATCTTAATAACGATAATGTTTGAATACTGAGATTAAGGTAATTTTCTACTCCTCATATGAGAATTAATCACTGCCACTACTCACCAAATTCATGACATAAGCTGTCCTTCTTCTAAAAGTTTTATATCGCTCATATCAATAAATATCTCTTGCATTCTAAGTTCTGAGATCTCAGTGATGATTAAAAATACATACAGCACTTCAAGTAAAGTGAAAAGGCAGTCGAGTTAAAATGTCTCATTCACTAGAGGAGGAAACTCCAACACCAGGAGAGGGCTTCATTGACCACTGAAGCGGCTAGCTAGCTGAACTAATATGCACACAGAAAGGCACCACCTTTTATCATACTCAGAAACCAAAGAGTGGAAAATCCTTTATTGCTGCTTTCAGTTGTCAATTTAATCAAGAAGTGTTTAATGCTGTATTTTGCCCAAGGAAATCTACATTATTTAAACTTGATGTTATCCCCTTCTGGTTTGGTATCAGCTATCCCCTATACTTGGCATAGAAAAGATATCGCCCTCTCACCTTGCATTTTGGTCATGTTTCCAAGCCACCTCTGGACGGTGCCATAGATGTATTCTCTCTGAGAACATGCAGAGATGAGTGCTTTTTCAGGGAAATGGAGGAGGGGAGAATCTCAGCTCGAATACCTGGCTAAAACTACCATGTGATGGACAAATATTGTTGCAGAAATTATATTTAAATGATTTAAAAGCCACATTTTTACAGTTGCAGGATCCTGGCGTTTCCAAGTGCAAAGTTAGAGGCGGCTCTATCAAAAGATGAATGTGATTATCTAACAGAGGAGAGAGGGAGACTTGGAGAGCTGAGGAGGAGCATTCAACACTCCAAAGACCATGATGAAACCATGTTTTAATGTAATTGGACAAAGAGTAACAATCCACTGTTATAGCTGGAGGGCTGCATGAAGGCAGAGGTGAATGGAAACAGAGTACTCCTGCAAATCAGTTCTGCGCTGTCTATTCCAACATTGCCACGACATGCAAAGTGCACTTAAGATTTGCCCCATCTCTATACGATGTAAACCATATAGAATATTTAACGATCAATCAACCATAGCTAACTGTAGTTTTTCTGCATTCGGGGTGAGGAGGTAGATCTTACCCATGGGAATGCACTTTGTGGGTTTTTATTTTTCTGTTTGCACAGCAGCTTTTCGGGTTGGTGAACGTACCATGCGGCTCAGCCGAGTGCTTGGGGCGATGCGCAGTGTGAGGAGAGCAGCAGCGCATTGAAACACGGCCAAGGCGAATGAAGCCTGTGAGGCCAGAGTTGGAGGCAACCTGGAGGTAGAGCTGGGGGCAGATCCCTGGCACAGCACCTCACTGGGACCTGCATTGCTCTTGGAACAGTTCTACTGTACTTGGGAGTTGCGCTTTTCTGCTCAAATAGGGTGACGTGACTCATCGGCCACACTCTCCAGTTCTGTTGCTGTTTTTACTTAGGAACAAGGAAGCCTTTTCAGAAACACTTCATTTGATCTATTGCAACGTTCAGTTGTCCTTAGCTGGTTTCAAACGTGCAACCCCCTGCTTTCCACATAGCTGATGTCTTGTGAGTGTTTGGGTGCAGAATAGCTGCCTATTTGTGCACCCAGTTACTGTACTGTAGGGTGCTGGCTCCACATTTGTGGTAGTGGAGTAGGGGTGAGTTATCCACATGTAATCATATGTGATTTGAGAACTAGTGAAGCGCTATATCAATGCAATCCCCAACCCAAACAAAAACGATGAATTTGGAGAGTGGGGTAAGTTGAGAAATGTTTTACCTTCAGCATCACTCCATCAAGTGAAATATAGTAACCTTTCTAACAAAGATATCTACATATACAGTGGGGGAAAAAAGTATTTAGTCAGCCACCAATTGTGCAAGTTCTCCTACTTAAAAAGATGAGAGAGGCCTGTAATTTTTCATCATAGTACACGTCAACTATGACAGACAAATTGAGAAAAAAAATATCCAGAAAATCACATTGTAGGATTTTTAATGATTTATTTGCAAATTATGGTGGAAAATAATATTTGGGTCACCTACAAACAAGCAATATTTCTGGCTCTCACAGACCTGTAACTTCTTTCTTTAAGGGGCAACCTCTGTCCCCACTCGTTACCTGTATTAATGGCACCTTTTTGAACTTGTTATCAGTATAAAGACACCTGTCCACAACCTCAAACAGTCCAACTCCAAACTCCACTATGGCCAAGACCAAAGAGCTGTCAAGGACACCAGAAACTAAATTGTAGACCTGCACCAGGCTGGGAAGACTGAATCTTGCAATAGTAGCGCCTTGTTTGAGAATCACTGTGGGACAGAGGAGAGAGTGGAAGACCTGGAGAGCGAGGAGAGCATTCCCACACTCCAAGAGCATGCAGATGAAACCACCCGTGGGTAAAATTGGACAAAGACGTAACAAATCCTGTTACATAGCGGGGGGCTAGTGAAGGCAGAGGTGAATGGAGACCAAGTAAACTCCTGCATAGCATCTCGCCTGCGTATTCCAAACATTGCAGCCAAGTCCCCCTGCAAAGCTTAAGATTTGCCCATCTCTATACGATTTGTAAGCATTGATAGAATAAACGGATCAAGTAATCAATGCTAACTGATAGTTTTTCTTCGGGTGAAGGAGGTAATCTGTTGACCAATGCGAATTGCATCCTAGAGCTACTCTTCTGTTATCAGGGGGATTTTCGGGTTGGTGAACGTACATTGCTGCAAGCGACTAGCGGGCGATGCCGCATGTGAAGATGAATGGGCCGATGGGATTTTGAAACACGCCTCATAGCAGGATGAACTGTGATGCAGAGTTTGGGGTCTTTCACATGAAATGGGCCAAGATCCCGGCACTGGCAACTACGGGATGGCTTCTAAGCATTTCAAGTCCTGAGTGGCTGCAGTTCCAGCTTTCAAGCCCAAAGATGGGGAGTGAAATCTGTGGCACCCCGACAGCCCTAAGTTCATTACTTAGGGAAACTGGAGAGGTATCAGAACACAAAATCAGCATCTATTGAGTAACTTGTGAATTACAGAGTTTAAACCGTGCATCCCCAAGTTCTCACAACAAGTATGTCTTTGTGTTTGGTCAAATATCCCATATTTGCACCCAGTTACGTAAGTAGTCATGGCTCCATTATTTGTTCTTGTTGGTATTGGAGTTATCCACATGTAATCATAGCTTTTTTGAATAGGGGCTGACATTGTGCACTCAAACTTAATTTGTACCAAATGCCCAGGCTGTTGGTAGGGTTGTAATGTTCTAACTTACATTTTGGTCTAAATACCTTTTCAAACATCCCTCTAGCTCACGTACCTCCCCATGGTAACGCCATCCCACTTCTGACACCAATAGGGGAGAGTGGGGTAAGTTGAGAAATGTTTTACATTCAGCATCACTCCATCAAGTGAAATATAGTAACCTTTCTAACAAATATATCTACATATATTTCAGGATGTTGTATATCCCTGGAAATAATCAGAATTCATGTAAACATTACAGTTTTGAAAACATAGCTTGTCCAAAAAAAATGGTCTCTTGGCACAATTTACCCCGTGTATGAGGTAAGTTGAGCTGTGGGACATGGTCAGTTAAGCTACCTATAAATGTCTGTACTGAATGAAATATTACCATTATCTTTTTAAAACCATGTCTATCACAATCACTTTGTCTTTGAATAATTTTAAGTATATTTTAACACAGGCGTAACACCTAACAACACACTGTACTTTTAAAAACATTTTAAACATATTCCAGGCCCTCATATCCCAGCAATAAAGCCTTGCATTATGCCAGGGAAGAAAACACTACAATTTGCTCACTTTGCCATTGGCTCAACTTACCCCATGGCCATCGGCTCAACTTACCTCAAGGCAAACAGTTTGACTATATTAGCCCACACAGCTACAAGGATGCACTTTCATGCTAGGTTTAGGGCATCATATTGAAGCTTATAGAGACCCCAACTGATGTACAGAACAATCTTTAAATTATCTACTTTGGTTTAAATATAAGATACAAGCGTCATGAAACCTCTAACACAATAATTTAATTTGACTTGGTTAAAATCAGTTTTTTGGACCGTACTTGCGTACCACTTTTTCCATGTGGTTTCTTCTTTCACAGACTCCATGAAATGATGACCTCTTCCTAAATAGTTGGTCAAATGATACATTTTGTGTATGGTTTCAACTTGGCTCAATTTATCCCACTCTCCCCTATGCTGCAAAGTAAGGGGCTAGTTCTTGTCCCTAGATGGTACACTTTAGCTTTCTCACACATTAGTCATTCAATGTTTTGAAGATGTGGCCTCTAGAATCTTGATTTAAAGTCCAGGATATTGGCATAGTTTCAAGAGAAGACACTAATTCATGATGAACAATGTCCGTTCATTTTAAAGAACCTGCAACGTGCTAAATCGTAGTTTACTCTTACTGCCGTTTACACCGTCAAGCTACAAGTGCATGCATATTTAGCTAGGGGCTGATTTAGCTAACTGCAGTACTTTGTGTGGAGATCTTTATAATAATAATAATATAATAATAATAATACCAGCCAGGATGTGTCCTATAAGCATTCCCATCTCATGGAGCCTCACCGAGTTAAGCCCTCGAACCAGTCCTCTTCTTGGGGGCTCTTTGAGTAAACAAATGTGAATTAGGATGCTCTCAGGCGTGTGCTGAATAAGGGCTGAGCCCTGCTTCGCTGCTGTACTGCATGTGCTAGGCCCGACATCTGAAGCCGTCTGCTCGGCTAGTCGGCTGTCCTTGGAGTGAGAGAGAGAGACAGACAGACAGATGAGACGTGCACGCTGAGCAGAAGAAAGTCAAAACCAGAAGGGCAGAAAAACATTTAAACCCATTCTGGGATGGTTGTCGTCATGTAATTATTGGGACATCTCCCATCAGCATTACTGTAACATGGTCTGAGAATACCAACAGAATACCAATACTATTACAGTAGCAGTGGTTATCAAAATTGTTAAAAGGTTTTAAAAACAATTGTAATAAATGCAACAGTTGGACAATGGATGAAGATATTCCAAACTTTTTAGTATTTTTTAAAATCCATTAGATATTGACTGAATTATAGCACATAAAACATTTTATGTTCAGGGATTTTGGTGGGAATTCAGGTGTTTTTTCATAGAATGCACTCATACATTTTGTCATGGTATCAGGTATTTTATTTAAATATTTTGTGTTAAAATAAAGACAATTATATGTGCCTAATCTGCATAAATACAATGGGTGTATTTGCATATATGAATACATTTAACATAACGGTGTGGAACAGGGCTGCAACCACCAAAAACTTGTCTAGGCCTACCTGTACTCACCTGCGCTGTCTAAACTGCCTCGTACTGTTATTGTCATGTTCTGTTGCGTAATTCAACAAGTGTGTCAATAGCAGTATACCCTCGAATAAAAAATCAACACACTTGGCTCTAGATTACACCTATCTATACATACTTTACATTGTTTGCGAGATCAAACATGTTATTTAACCTTTAAAGTCATACTGAGACCAAGGTCTATTTTACAGATGAGCCATGAATTACATACATGACTGAAAATACAAAAGTCAAGCAGAAAGAAAAACAAGGTCATAAAAAACAAACACATTCATCACTAAAAACGTCCTCAATCAGCATTCTGAATTGCCCTAGAGGCACCAAAACATCAACATTTAAGAACATTTAGAAGATTGTTCCACAAATTAGGTGCAAGAAAATAAAATCAATCCAGCTAGATTTAAGTGACAAGTGGTTTTGCACCCCTCAAACACAGGAAATAGATGGTTGAAAAAGACAGATCCTCAGCTGGGCGGGGCATGAACATTGCTAATTACAGTGTCAATAGAACCATTTGAAGCAGAACTCAGTAACGGGCTAGCATACAGCAGTGAGGAATCAAGGGTAGAGCCCAACAAAACAGAATGGAGTGTAGTAGAGAATAGCTTTACAGCGAGGCATAGAGCGGTCATAAATCTCTCTCCAGTGCCCTGTCGGCACATACAGCCTCAGCTGAGGCCTCATTTATAAACATTGCATACACACAAAATATGCCCCAAAACATGTGAGCGACAGTTTTCACGCATAAGTTGGCATTTATATAAACTGAAGTTGACATGAGAATGTGCTTATCCACCCCCCCCCCCCCAACGCTTTTGCCCTCAGAACAGCCTCAATTCATCGGGGCAGGGATTTTGGCCCATGTTGACTCCAACGCTTCCCACAGTTGTGTCAAGTTGGCTGGATGTCCTTTGGGTGGTGGACCCTTCTTGATACACACAACAAACTGTGAAAAACCCAGCAGCGTTGCAGTTCTTGACACAAACCGGTGCGCCTGGCACCTACTACCATACCCCGTTCAAAGGAACTTCAATGTTTTGTCTTGCCAATTCAATCCTCTGAATGGCATGCACACAATCCATGACTCAATTGTCTCTAGGCTTAAAAATCCTTCTTTAACCTGTCTCCTCCCCTTCATCTATACTGATTGAAGTGGATTTAACAAGTGACATCAATAAGGGATCATAGCTTTCACCTGGATTCACCTGGTCAGTCTATGTCATGGAAAGAGCAGGTGTTCCTAATGTTTTATACACTCAGTGTATGATGAATTATTAATAACAAAAAAACTGGTATCTAAATATAATAACAAGGTGCAATCATTTGCTGTTAGTGAGAAGAGTGAAAATCTATTTATTTTATCTTTGCATTCTAAAATAATTATTTTCTATCTCCGATTTACAGTATTTATTTCATTTCTATGATCATTGCAGAATACATTCCTCACCTTTTCTGGCTGTGATGGTTTCATACTCGTGAAATAGCCTATAGGCCAATAACAAGTTAGGATAGGCTACCATTCGTCCCATCTCTCATTTAGTTGGACCCACTTCACAGTAATACATAGATAAGCTACCGGCATTTAAAATATTTTGCTCTATGCGATCCGAAGCGCAGTTTAACAGTAGAACAGACGGTTCAGCTTTTCCATTGACATTTGTAGGCTACGTCTGAATACTGTAATGTCACATTTCTCGATTAGCCTAGACAATATTTCATTGATAAACATAATACATACAGTATATCATTACCATTGCACCTTTTCTGGCCACGATGAGTTCATATTCCCGAAGTAGCCATACAACAAATTACCATGCGTATCGCTTTTAATTGGGCCTATTAGATAGGCTATTATAATTTCAAATTTTTGCTCTATTCATCCGAAAGGAAGCGTGTTTATAACATACAGTAGAATTGAACAGGTGAACACGCAGTTGATATTTTGCATTGAAGTGTGTAGGCTACCACTAAGTATGCCTACTGTAGTTTTAATTTCTTTCAGAGTAGACGTTTCAGAATTCGCGATCAGTGCAGCATATTTAGGTTCGGGAGGAAGTAAATGTAAAACATTATTAAATTCAAACGATCTGTTTAGAGGTCGACAACAATTTGCAATTGTTTTTATGTTTCAGAAATGGTCAGATACAACAAATGTCACTGAAACACCTCCAAAGACATTTGATCAAGTTCCCCATTGATATTTCCTTTAGATATACTGTGTCGGTCTAATTCCAATACTTCCAAAGTATACAGCAAATAAGGGCGTTATTGTCATTATAAAAGGTGAATGATGGGCGTTATTCAGACGGAGTTATAATCCTTGTTCACGCACGCATAGTTTTACGACAGGACTCATTTATAACAGGAAACAGCGCATGCAGATATTTAGTGTAAATGTATTTAGTCTACCTTTATTTGTGGTTAGCTGCCAATTACCTTTTGTCCTGTAAGATCAGCTCAGTCAATGTATCAGATGGGTCTTTATACAAAATAGATACCGTTAAACTGATGTTTACTGATGTCCACAAACTGAAACCTATTCAATTCACAGTGTTTGCTCCCTATCTCCTGGTGGTAGAATTGAATCCCAGGTTTACCAGTAGACTACCAGAAAATCTGTTACTACAGTAGTATGGCCTGCCCACACGAAAAAATACTACAGTTTACTATAGAATACTAAAGTACTTACTATAGAATTCTATAGTATACTGTAGAATACTATACTACACACTGTAGTATCCTTTGATCATGTGTAGTACTTACTATAGAATGTAGAATAATACTACAGTAAATACTACAGCATTATCCCCCCCAAAACACTAGTAAATACTACAGTAATGTCCGCAAAAACACTACAGTATACTACAATCCACAAACGCACTACATTAAATAGTAAATACTACAGTTTTCTTTGACTACAGTATTTTTATATAGTTAACTGTAAATACTACATTATAAACTGGGTGGTTCGAGCCCTGAATGCTGATTGGCTGAAAGCCGTGGTATATCAGACCGTATACCACATGTATGACAAAACATTTATTTTTACTGCTCTAATTACATTTGTAACCCGTTCATAATAGCATTAAGGCACCTCTGGGGTTTGTGGTATATGGCCAATATACCACGGCTAAGGTAGTGTTGTGTCGTGCCTACGAACAGCCCTTAGCCGTGGTATATTGGCCATATACCACACCCCCTCGGGCCTTGTTGCTTAAGTATACTACAGTAAATACTTCAATATTCACTGTAGTGTTTTTGCAGACTCGCAAACATACTTTAACACAAAGAAGTTAGAAGGAAGACGTGCAAAGAGAAAAGCCTACTGTAGCTCCTGATAACAGAATTACAGAAATTACATTAACTCTGTGACCATGAATCCCATTTGGGTTGTGTTTTTTTGTGTGAGATATCAAGCTCAGGCATCCAATACAGCGGCAAGGCTTGGAGGCTTCCACAATATAATGTGCTCCCAGCACCCACTGAGGGATTTAGGGGGATGCCACATGGTAAGTGGATTTTAGTTTGGCTCTAAAAAATGAAGCTGTTCGTTCGTAACACATTCCAGTCAGCTGTTTGAAGTAACAATTGAGGCCTATAAGAAGACAAGTCTCTGTCAATTAGTTAGGATTTGTAATGAAGATATTTATAACCCAGAGATGGATGCCAAGGTTTCTTTGATTGTGTCATCCCGCTAATGGTTAAACATTGATTGAAGAATAGTATGCAGAGCATTAAGTCGATCCATGGTTATTACAATTATGAAAGTATTGCGTTATTTGTTGTTGATGCTAGCTTTAGTGTGCTATGGTTGGAAGACTGGTAGGCTACCTTCTAAGGCCAAAGAACCATAAGGATGTAGTTACGGTGATGGCCCAGAGAGAGGTTTGACTGACAGTCAAAGATATGGCAATATTCCCAGGGGGGAGCGCGAGAGACAGACAGACACAGAGAGAGAGGTTGTGTGTCTGTGTGTAAGAGAGATAGAGGTAGTGTGTGTTTGTGTGTCTGTGTGTGCCTGTGTGTGCGTGCATGTATGTGTGTGCGTGCGCTTGTGAGAGAGAGAGCGAGAGGTAATGTATGAGTGTGAGGGGGAGAGAGGGGTAATGTATAAGTGTGAGTGTGAGAGAGGTAATGTGTGAGTATGATTGCGAGAGAGAGGTAATGTATGAGTGAGAGAGAGAGGTAATGTATGGTGTAAGTGGGAGAGAGGTCATGTGTGAGTGACAGAGGGGTAATGTATGGTGTGAGTGAGGGAGCGAGGTAATGTATGAGTGTGATTGAGAGAGAGCGGTAATGTATGAGTGTGTGTGAGAGAGAGAGAGAGAGAGAGAGAGAGAGAGAGTGGTAATGTATGCATGTGAGTGAGATAGAGAGAGAGGTAATGTATGAGTGAGTGAGAGAGGTAATGTATGAGTGAGAGAGAGAGGTAATGTATGGTGTGAGTGGGAGAGAGAGGTCATGTGTGAGTGAGAGAGGGGTAATGTATGGTGTGAGTGAGAGAACGAGGTAATGTATGAGTGTGATTGAGAGAGAGCGGTAATGTATGAGCGTGAGAGAGTGAGAGAGAGGTAATGTGTGAGTGAGAGAGAGTGGTAATGTATGAGTGTGAGTGAGAGCGAGAGCGAGCACTACAGCACAATTGTGTATCAGCTCACAGATGCCCTTCTGCCCAGAGGCCTGGAGGAAGGCAGGGCTCCATTCACTGGTGTGGTAGTCAGGCATATGTCTCTCCTAGGAGATTAATGCTGTACCCTCATCTTCACTCCCTCACCATACAGCATACTGATGACAAAGTGATGGCCAGAGTACAGCACAGAGGTGCTCAGTGGTTCAGTTACACTGTTCCTACCAGGGGTATCATTGTAATTTCCATGCAAAAGACAAAATGTTAAACGGTATGGTATTATAGATGGCTATAGTAGAGAACACTGCTTGACTGCGCGGTGTAGGACTGTCGATATTGATCAGTGTCCTGTAAAAATGGCTTAGGATAAGGTTATCTTATCCTGCCTCGGTGGGCAGTTACCCCGGGGGGCTAGTTACCCCACGTTACCCCCCTATCTGGAAAATTCAGAAATATTCTACATGTACTTTAAGGCCAAAATGTAAATGACTTAACCAAGGTAGGAGCCTGCTTGGTTGTTACAGGAGTGGGTCGCAGTTCCGGAGCGACCCACTAGGTGTCATCCTCGACAACCATAGGCACCTCCTCACTCACAGTCGGGACTAATTATCTGCCTATTGGTGTCACCTGTGGCTATCTGATTCACCTGTGTATTTATGCCCTCACTTCCCTGTGTTCCCTTGCTCAGTTTTCTCTGCTAGTTCCTTAATGTCAAGCAGTACGTATCAGTGTTGGATCCGATATAGCCCCTGGTTCTCCTCAGACTTGACTGCCCTTGACCAGCACAAAAACATCCTGTGGCGTACAGCATTAGCATCAAATAGCCCCCGCGATATGCAACTTTTCAGGGAAGTTAGGAACCAATATACACAAGCAGTCAGGAAAGCAAAGGCTAACTTTTTCAAACAGAAATTTGCATCCTGTAGCACTAACTCCAAAAAGTTTTGGGACACTGTAAAGTCCATGGAGAATAAGAGCACTTCCTCCCAGCTGCCCACTGCACTGAGGCTAGGAAACACTATCACCACCGATAAATCTACAATAATCGAGAATTTCAACAAGCATTTTGCTACAGCTGGCCATGCTTTCCATCTGGCTACCACTAACCCGGCCACCAACTCTGCACCCTCTGCTGCAACTTGCCCATGCCCCCCCCCGCTTCTCCTTCACACAAATTCAGACAGCTGATGTTTTGAAAGCGCTGCAAAATCTGGACCCCTACAAATCAGCTGGGCTAGACAATCTGGACCCTTTCTTTCTAAAACTAGCCGCCGAAATTGTCGCAACCCCTATTACTAGTCTGTTCAACCTCTCTTTCATAACGTCTGAGATCCCCAGAGATTGGAAAGCTGCCGCGGTCATCCCCCTCTTCAAAGGGGGTGACACTCTAGATCCAAACTGCTACAGACCTATATCCATCCTGCCCTGCCTTTCGAAAGTATTTGAAAGCCAAGTTAACAAACAGATCACCGACCATTTCGAATACCACCGTACCTTCTCCGCTATGCAATCCGGTTTCCGAGCTGGTCATGGGTGCACTTCAGCCACGCTCAAGGTCCTAAACGATATTATAACCGCGATTGATAATAGACAGTATTGTGCAGCCGTCTTCATCGACCTGGCCAAGGCTTTCGACTCTGTCAACCACCGCATTCTTATTGGCAGACTAAATAGCCTTGGTTTCTCAAATGACTGCCTCGCCTGGTTCACCAACTACTTCTCAGATAGAGTTCAGTGTGTCAAATCGGAGGGCCTGTTGTCTGGACCTATGGCAGTCTCTATGGGGGTGCCACAGGGTTCAATTCTTGGGCCGACACTTTTCTCCGTGTATATATATGATGTCGCTCTTGCTGCTGGTGACTCTCAGATCCACCTCTACGCAGACGACACCATTTTGTATACATCTGGCCCTTCATTGGACACTGTGTTAACAAACCTCCAAACGAGCTTCAATGCCATACAACAATCCTTCAGTAGCCTCCAACTGCTCTTAAACACTAGTAAAACTAAATGCATGCTTTTCAATCGAACGCTGCTGGCACCCGCCCACCCGACTAGAATCACCACTCTCGACGGGTCTGACCTAGAGTATGTGGACAACTACAAATACCTAGGTGTCTGGTTAGACTGTAAACTCAACTTCCAGACTCACATAAAGAATCTCCAATCCAAAGTTAAATCTAGAATCGGCTTCCTATTTCGCAACGAAGCCTCCTTCACTCATGCTGCCAAACATGCCCTCGTAAAACTGACTATCCTACCGATCCTTGACTTCGGCGATGTCATTTACAAAATAGCCTCCAACACTCTACTCAGCAAATTGGATGTAGTCTATCACAGTGCCATCCGTTTTGTATCCAAAGCCCCATACACTACCCACCACTGTGACCTGTACGCTCTTGTTGGCTGGTCCTCACTACATGTTCGTCGTCAAACCCACTGGCTCCAGGCCATCTATAAATCACTGCTAGGCAAATCCCCGCCTTATCTTAGCTCATTGGTCACCATAGCAGCACCCACCCGTAGTCTGCGCTCCAGCAGGTATATCTCACTGGTCATTCCCAAAGCCAACACCTCCTTTGGGCGCCATTCCTTCCAGTTCTCTGCTGCCAATGACTGGAACGAATTGCAAAAATCTCTGAAGCTGGAGACTCTTATCTCCCTCAATAACTTTAAGCATCAGTTGTCAGAGCACCTTACCGATCACTGCACCTGTACACAGCCCATCTGAAATTAGCCCACCCAACTACCTCATCCCTATATTGTTATTTATTTTGCTATTTTGCACCCCAGTATCTCTATTTGCACATAATCTCTTGCACATCTAGCATTCCAGTGTTAATACTATTGTAATTATTCTGCACTATAGCCTATGTATTGCCTTACCTCCATAACTTGCTACATTTGCACACACTGTATATATATTTTCTGTTGTATTTTTGACTTTATGTTTTTTTACCCCATATGTAACTCTGTGTTGTTTTTATTGCACTGCTTTGCTTTATCTTGGCCAGGTCGCAGTTGTAAATGAGAACCTGTTCTCAACTGGCTTACCTGGTTAAATAAAGGTGAAATAAATAAAAAATAAAATAAAAAAAACGTGACGGAGTTACAGGTACTCGAGAAGTGTTCTCTCCCTGTGTCATTGTGTTTTTCCAGTCAGAGTTAGTATTTCGTATTATTGGCTGTCAGCCTGTTTTTTGGAGACCTATGTGCTCCTCATTTGTTTTCGTGTTAAGTCCGTTGTTTTGTATCCTGGCTTTTGGACCACCAGTAAAGATCCTTGATTCACCATCTCTGCCTACTGCCTACTGTCTATCCTGCACCGCACCTGGGTCACACCTCACACCAGCCCTTACACTTGGTGAAACAAGTATATGAATGAGTTTGAATAGAGATTCACTCCAAACCCTGAAATGATAAACCTCCAGTTTTAGGTGGTTGTTATAAGAAAATACTAATATGTTGTAAGCTATTGGCTTTGGCCACTGATACGGTGTGATAATGTATGCCAAGACTGCTTTGTTGAAGGTGTGAGGGTGTGTTAGGGGCTGCAGATAACATCCTAGTGAAAGAGGAATTAATCTATACCAAAGTATGAACCCTTATCTGAGTGCATCTGTGCCGGTAGCCCAGCGTACCGGCTCGGTATGTGGTAATGTGATTATATCAGTGGAGGCTGCTGAGGGGAGGACGGCTCATAATAATGTCTGGAATGGAGTAAATGGAATGGCATCAGACATATGGAAACCATGTATTGGATACCATTCCACCTATTCCGCTCCATCCATTATTATGAGCCGTCCTCCCCAATTAAGGTGCCACTAACCTCCTGTGGATTGTATGTGTCATGTGTTGATGTCCATGACCACTGCACTGTCATGTGATAATGTTCAGTGACAGTGTAACACCGCTAGGCCTATGTGGATGTGATGTTTTGTCATGTGATCTGGAAGTGATGCGCTTTTCTGTATCAGGTTTGCACATAGGGTCCGATTCCGACCTGAGTTAAGCATGCGTAAATGTAATGTCATTCCCATTTTATGCACTTTTATCTATATGGGTATTCTAACCTTGAACTTAAGCATGAGCATAGCATGCTATTCACCCGCTATTCGTTTGGGGTGGTGATCTAATAAATGAAGGTGTGGCGGAGGTGTGTCTACAGATACATCGTATTCTGACCTTGACTCAATTCCCTAGTAATTCCACCACCTTAATGCACAAGGAAACCATGAATAAGGTCTAGCGAACCTACCGGTTCCGAGTGGAAAATAATCGACTTTATTTTTTCAGATAGAAATAACACCATTCTCCATGCACTGTAATTTACATATTGATAAGAGCTATTGATAAGTGTTAGGTAATGAGTAATCCGTTTGGATAAGGGAATTGTAAATATAAATGGCACTTGTTTTAGATCATTTTACCTTATAAACGCTGGAGACAAATGTGAAACCAGTCATATGGCAGCAAACTGAAGCATATCAACTTTCCCACAGTTCATGAAATGCTATGCCATTATGAAGAATTTAAATTGTACAGACTTTTAACTTGCAGGGATGGGCACTCTCAAATGTCTTAATTATAGGCTACCCCAACTTTCTGTTTCCTATTTCTATCATGTTAAATATTAGCCAATATCAGTATCGACCGTCAGTAAGCCTAATAACAACACATTTTCAACTGCCAATGTACTGTTAGTTCCCTTCAGTTGGTACAGACTACATTATCATTCCATTTAATTACATTGTGTCGTTTACCTGCATTACCATGGGTTAAATAACTGAATGTGGCCATTTTCAGAATGAATCAAACCACCGTTTTCTTTCTTTTGTGCATAAATGTCTCCAAACCAGTTTTTTTATGATTCATCAATACTTTCCTAAACCTAAATAATCTACAAGACAGAGTATTTTTAAATCTACCAATTTGTGCTGAAACGGAGATGAATATGCATATATTTAGATGACTTTCTTTCATTGATCCCTAATATTCTGAACCCTTCCTCTCGATATATTCTATATAGACAAAATTAAGAGACAAAATTATAACTAAAAGGTACACCATATTTAAAGGGATGGCTTAACATAAATGTACTGAAAACCCTATTGAATGAAAACTCCACGAGAAAATATGTTGGCCAGCAAGTGGAAGGGTTTTCAGCGATTAAATGAAATGTATTCAGAGCGCACAAGGTAGCGCCTTTCACTAGGTCTTCAAGTGCTCTTATTGTTTTATAGGGGGAACACACCCCATCCACCATCAATGTGTAGGCCTAATACCTTAGCATGAATTGCTGAATAGGAAAGATGGGACATATCAGAAACTTTATTGGCTTGTTGGTTGTCTTAACCTTCAGTGTCTTATCCAATTAAATTCTACAGTTGGCTTGGGAGAGGACAGTTAGGTTTGTGCATCCCAAATGGCACCCTATTCCTTATATACTGTAGTGCACTACCTTTGGGTCCTGGTCAAAAGTACTGCACTAAAAAGGGAATAGGGTGCCATTTGTGACTCAGTCAGTCTCTTCTGCAGATAGTCTCTATAAAGAACAATAGAGACCATTGCTGTTAGTGTTCACCATAGAATGACATATAGAACTTATTTATAGGATCTCTGGGCTATTAACAGTATAAAACACATGATGTCACGTGAGAGATGTAAAGAGTGGGAAAACGATGGAGGAGGTGGAGGTGAGAGCAAGGGAACAGTGCTGAATGAAGAAACAAAAGGTTGATGGGATGAAAGATGGCGTAGGAGTGGGTGGGAGGATGGTGATGGAGGTGAAGAGGATGATGGGACTAAATTAGAGGAGTGTGTGTGTGTGCGTGCGTGTGTGTGTGTGCGTGCGTGTGGCTGTTTAAGGAAGCTAGGCTTGGTCAGGGTCGAGGAAACATCTCCCCAGTGTCATCGCAACAGAAACGTGTGCGTGTCAGCTCATCGATCTGCAGACTCATAGTAGTGATAGAGGGAGAAAGATGGAGGGCTGTGTTGGCAGGGACCGAACCACACTGCCACACACACAAACACACACCAACATTAGCGTTATTATACTCTATCTAGGTTTTATTCACTCATGATCAATAATATAGAGACCTCCAGACATACAGGATTCCAAACGTGTAACCATGTCAACGTTCATATCCGTAATTGTCTCACATAATGACTAATGAACGCATTGGCAATGTTATTCCTTAACGGCTGCAGTGTGCATAGGCACTTATTCCATCCCAGCATTAACACATTGGAAAACTGTTCTAGCTCGAAGACATTGAAGATGTGTTAGTGCTGGGCTGGAACAAAAAACGACACACACTGCATCTCTCCAGGACCTGAGTTCTAAGCCCTTTCAATCTTTCATTGACACAAGACTTCCAGACGAGCTAAACCACTTCTATGCTCGCTTCGAGGCAAGCAACACTGAAGCATGCATGAGAGCACCAGCTGTTCCGGATGACTATGTGATCACGCTCTCCGTAGCCAATGTGAGTAAGACTTTTAAGCAGGTCAACATTCACAAGGCCGCAGGGCCAGACGGATTACCAGGATGTGTACTCCGAGCATGTGCTGACCAACTGGCAAGTGTCTTCCCTGACATTTTCAACATGTCCCTGACTGAGTCTGTAATACCAACATGTTTCAAGCAGACCACCATAGTCCCCGTGCCCAAGGACTCTAAGATAACCTGCCTAAATGACTACCGACCCGTAGCACTGACGTCTGTAGCCATGAAGTGCTTTGAAAGGCTGGTCATGGCTCACATCAACAGCATTATCCCAGAAACCCTAGACCCACTCCAATTTGCATACCGCCCCAACAGATCCACAGATGATGCAATCTCTATTGCACTCCACACTGCCCTTTCCCACCTGGACAAGAGGAACACCTACGTGAGAATGCTATTCATTGACTACAGCTCAGCATTCAACACCATAGTGCCCTCAAAGCTCATCACTAAGCTAAGGATCATGGGACTAAACACCTCCCTCTGCAACTGGATCCTGGACTTCCTGACAGGCCGCCCCCAAGTGGTAAGGGTAGGTAACAACACATCTGCCACACTGATCCTCAACACGGGGGCCTCTCAGGGATGCGTGCTCAGTCCCCTCCTGTACTCCCTGTTCACCCATGACTGCATGGCCAGGCACGACTCCAACACCATCATTAAGTTTGCCGACAACACAACAGTGGTAGGCCTGATCACCGACAACGATGAGACAGCCTATAGGGAGGAGGTCAGAGACCTGGCCGTGTGGTGCCAGGACAACAACCTCTCCCTCAACGTGACCAAGACAAAGGAGATGATTGTGGACTACAGGAAAAAAAAGAGGACTGAGCACGCCCCCATTCTCATCGACGGGGCTGTAGTGGAACAGGTTGAGAGCTTCAAGTTCCTTGGTGTCCACATCACCAACTAACTATCATGGTCCAAACACACCAAGACAGTCGTGAAGAGGGCACGACAAAGCCTATTCCCCCTCAGGAGACTGAAAAGATTTGGCATGGGTCCTCAGATCCTCAAAAAATTCTACAGCTGCACCATCGAGAGCATCCTGACTGGTTGCATCACCGCCTGGTATGGCAACTGCTTGGCCCCCGACCGCAAGGCACTACAGAGGGTAGTGCGTACGGCCCAGTACATCACTGGGGCCAAGCTTCCTGCCATCCAGGACCTCTATACCAGGCGGTGTCAGAGGAAAGCCCTCAAAATTGTCAAAGACTCCAGCCACCCTAGTCATAGACTGTTCTCTCTGCTACCGCACGGCAAGCGGTACCGGAGTGCCAAGTCTAGGTCCAAAAGACTTCTCAACAGCTTCTACCCCCAAGCCATAAGACTCCTGAACAGCTAATCATGGCTACCCGGACTATTTGCACTGCCCCCCCACCCCATCCTTTTACGCTGCTGCTACTCTGTTAATTATTTATGCATAGTCACTTTAACTCTGCCCACATGTACATATTACTTCAACTACCTCAACTAGCCGGTGCCCCCGCACATTGACTCTGCACCGGTACCCCCCTGTATATATAGCCTCCCTACTGTTATTTTATTTTACTTCTGCTCTTTTTTTCTCAACACTTCTTTTGTTGTTGTTTTATTTTTACTTTTTTGTTAAAAATAAATGCACTGTTGGTTAAGGGCTGTAAGTAAGCATTTCACTGTAATGTCTGCACCTGTTGTATTCGGCGCATGTGGCCAATAAAATTTGATTTGATTTGATTTGATTTTAAATGAAATCAGCATTCTTCAATGTTACGTAATTCTGCCTATCTGAGGAAATTTGGAACGGCTCACGTAAAGTCCTTACAATAGGTCCTTCCAGAAAAGTGTCCCCAAATGTACTCGGCCCATTGACAGAGACAGTGTGACTTGGTGCAGAAGCCTGTTTGTGTACTGCAGTCTTATCAGTGTATGGGCTCTTCAGGCAGTGTAAGGGGATTGAAGGCTGCGACGGGCCATGGCATTGTTTCTCTAATCTGGGCCCAGCAGTGGTGTGTGTGAGCAGTTCATCCAGCTCTCTCTCCCTCCCTCTCTCTTTCTATGTGTGTGTGTGAGAGAGAGTGCTTGTGTGTGTGCCTCTGTATTTGCCTCTGTGTGTGTGTGTGTGTGTGTGTGTGTGTGTATGTGTGTGCGCGTGTGCAAACACATGTGTTGAATCTCAAACAGAACACCAATGTCCCATGAAATAAATACATGGTGAACTAGCCAGGATTAGCTCTGCAAATATTGAAAGGATGACAATGATGACATCATCAGATGGAAAGGATTGTTGCATACTGATGCAATGGTAAATGACTAAGTGGTCTCAGAATGACAACCCATATCTGTCTCCTTCATCCACCTTTATTGAGGTTGAGCAGCAATAACCTGGTGTCATGAAACTGTGTCTCAAATAGTCTAATATTCTTGTCTGAGATCATTCATCACCACTGATTTGTACCGATGCACCAAGTCTGGAACCAACAGGACCTTGGACAGCTTCTACCCCCGAGCCATAAGACTGCTAAATAGTTAACCAAATATAGCTACCCGGACTATCTGCATTGACCCCCTCTTTGCAATACCTCTTTTGACTCCACATACGCTGCTGCTACTGCTTATTATCTATCCTGTTGCCTAGTCACTTTACCCCTACCCGTATGTACATATCTACCTCAATTACCTCGTACCCCTGCACATCGACTCGGACTGGTACTCCGTGTTTTTTTATTTGAAAGGAAAGAAAGTGATATGATGGCATGCATAGGAGCTAACTAAATGGGTGAATATCTTGCCTTAATATAGTTATATTATGTAGAGGAGGCATATTAAAAAGATTACCGACATCCCTTTTTGCTTCAATTAGCCAACTATTAGACACAGACACAGAGTTGTACACAAAAAAAGACGTTGCATCACCATCTGAGCAACTCATTGCCCCACAGCTTGAGAGACTATGAGGAAAAAATGCAAGTGGGACAAAAACAGACATGACTGGGCACTTCCTGTTCCTGCCTCTGACAGGAAGTGAGTGTGCCCCGCGGAGCCTAGGACTCCTGCTGTGGCGGCGCAGCTTCCACCTGCTGCCGCCTGATTATATCTCATTAGACTGACTCCCTTAATCGAATCTGCCTTGCTGCTCAAACTCAATTCTGTCTGCCTGACTGGAGGCCCACACTTCCTCTGTTGGCACTCACTGCACGCACACACACACACACGTATATGCGCACATGCACTGCACATACACAAACAAACACCTGCATTATGCACATGCGCAAGCACAGATGCGCAAGTGCACACACACACACACTGGAAGAGTGACAGTTTGTGTAAGTATGAGCAGTGTGTGAGACGGATTGTGTGTTTGAGAGATTCAGCGAGTGAGCATGTGACAGGTTGTGTGAGAAAATGTGTGTGTGAGTGTGTGTCACGCTGTGTGTGTCAGATTGTGTGACATGTTTATGTCACACTGTGTGTTGGAGTGTTTGATATTCTGCCTATGTCAGAATGTGCTTTAAGGTGTGATGGGATGTGTGTGAGTGAGTATGTTCATCAGCCTGTGCTCATGCACTGCATGTCAGCTTCTGCAGAATACTATTTTGTCTGTCAATGTCCTATGTTATCCTGTGCCCCGTTAAGAGTTTATCAGACAGTGTGTTTGTGTATGCCCATACGAAAAAAATATACATTTCAATATATTTAAACAATGTATTTCAAATATACTGAACAAAAATATAAACGCAACATGCAACAATTTCAAAGTTTTTACTGAGTTACAGTTCATATAAGGAAATCAGTCAATTGAAATCAATTCATTAGGCCCTAATCTATGGATTTCACATGACTGGGAATACAGATATGCATCTGTTGGTCACAGATACCTTAAAAAAAAGGTAGGAGCGTGGATCAGAAAACCAGTCAGTATCTGGTGTGACCTCCATTTGCCTCGTGCAGCGCGACACATCTCCTTCGCATCGAGTTGATCAGGCTGTTGATTGTGGAGTTGGAGTGTTGTCCCACTCCTCTTCAATTGCTGTGCGAAGTTGCTGGATATTGCAGAGAACTGGAACATGCTGTCGTACACGTCGATCCAGAGCATCCCAAACATGCTCAATGGCTGACATGTCTGGTGAGTATGCAGGCCATGGAAGAACTGGGAAATGTTCAGCTTCCAGGAATTGTGTACAGATCCTTGTGACATGGGGCCATGCATTATCATGCTGAAACATGAGGTGATGGCGGCAGATAAATGGCACGACAATGGGCCTCAGGATCTTGTCTCTGTGCATTCAAATTGCCATTGATAAAATGCAATTGTGTTCGTTGTCCGTAGCTTATGCCTGCCCATACCATAACCCCACCGCCACCATAGGGCACTCTGTTCACAACGTTGACATCAGCCAACTGATCGCCCCCACAATGCCATACTTGGTCTGCGGTTGTGAGGCCGGTTGGACATACTGCCAAATTCTCTAAAACAACATGGTAGAGAAATGAACATTAAATTATCTGGCACCAGCTCTGGTGGACATTCCTGCAGTCAGCATGCCAATTGCACGCTCCCTCAAAACTTGATACATTTGTGGCATTGTGTTGTGACACAACTGCACATTTTAGAGTGGTCTTTTATTGTCCCCAGCACAAGGTGCACCTGTGTAATGATCATGCTGTTTAGTCAGCTTCTTGATATGCCACACCTGTCAGGTGGATGGATTATCTTGGCAAAGGAGAAATGCTCACTAACAGAGATGTAACCAAATTTGTGCACAAAATTAGAGAGAAATAAGCTTATTGTGTGTATGGATAATTTCAGGGATCTTTTATTTTAGCTCATGAAACATGAGACCAACACTTTATATGTTGCGTTTATATTTTTGTTCAGTGTACATGTAGAGACATTTGCATCTTTGCTCAAATGCATGAAATGCCTGACAATATTCCAGAAATGCATGGCTATGACATCTAGTCTACTGCGTGGCCAAAGTGGTTCCTGGCTGCCAAGTGGGTGTGGTTATGCCCTCCCAGACCAACCCATGGCTGCACCCCGGCCCAGTCGTGAAATCCATAGATTAGGGCCTAATGAATTTATTTTAATTGACTGATTTCCTTATATGAACTATAACTCAGTAAAAGCTTTGAAATTGTTGCATGTGGCATTTCTATTTTCATTCATTGTAGTGGCGGCAGCCTATTAAAATACTTGGAGGCGTGGCTTGTTGGGGGCGATAGCCCTATTTAGTAAAATACCAAGTCCATATTATGGCAAGAACAGCTCAAATAAGCAAAGAGAAACGACAGTCCATCATTACTTTAAGACATGGTCTGACAAGGTCAGTCAATATGGAACATTTGGCAGTCGCAAAAACCATCTAGCGCTATGATGAAACGGGCTCTCATGAGGACCACCACAGGAATGGAAGACCCAGATTTTCCTCTGCTGCAGAGGATAAGTTCATTAGAGTTACCAGCCTCAGAAATTGCAGCCCAAATAAATGCTTCACAGAGTTCAAGTCACAGACACATCTCAACATCAATTGTTCAGAGGGGACTGTGTGAATCAGGCCTTCATGGTCGAATTGCTACAAAGAAACCACTACTAAAGGACACCAATAAGAAGAAGAGACCTGCTTGTGCCAAGAAACACGAGCAATGGACATTAGACTGGTGGAAATTTGTCCTTTGGTCTGGAGTCCAAATTGGAGATTTTTGGTTCCAACCTCCATGTCTTTGTGAGACGCGGTGTGGGTGAACGGATGATCTCCGCATGTGTAGTTCCCACCGTAAAGCATGGAGGAGGAGGTGTTATGGTGTGGGGATGCTTTGCTGGTGACACTGTCTGTGATTGATTTATTTAGAATTCAAGGCACACTTAACCAGCATGGCTACCACAGCATTCTGCAGCAATACTCCATCCCATCTGGTTTGGGCTTAGTTGGACTATCATTTGTTTTCAACAGGACAATGACCCAACACACCTCCAGGCTGTGTAAGGGCTATTTGACCAAGGAGAGTGATGGAGTGCTGCATCAGATGACCTGGCCTCCACAATCCCAATTGAGATGGTTTGGGATGAGTCGGACGGCAGAGTGAAGGAAAAGCAGCCAGCAAGTGCTCAGCATATGTGGGAACTCCTTCAAGACTGTTGGAAAAGCATTCCAGGTGAAGCTGGCTGAGAGAATGCCAAATGTGTGCAAAGCTGTCATCAAGTTCAAGGGTGGCTATTTGAAGAATCTCAAATATAAAATATATTTTGATTTGTTTAACACTTTTTGGTTACTACATGATTCCATGTGTTATTTCATAGTTTTGATGTCTTCACTATTATTCTACAATGTAGAAAATAGTAAAAATAAATGAAAAACCCTTGAATGAGTAGGTTTGTCCAAACTTTTGACTGGTACTGTATACACTGCTCAAAAAAATAAAGGGAACACAAAAACACAAAAATAACACATCCTAGATCTGAATGAATGAAATAATCTTATTAAATACTTTTTTCTTTACATAGTTGAATGTGCTGACAACAAAATCACACAAAAATTATCAATGGAAATCAAATTTATCAACCCATGGAGGTCTGGATTTGGAGTCACCCTCAAAATTAAAGTGGAAAACCACACTACAGGCTGATCCAACTTTGATGTAATGTCTTTAAAACAAGTCAAAATGAGGCTCAGTAGTGTGTGTGGCCTCCACGTGCCTGTATGACCTCCCTACAACACCTGGGCATGCTCCTGATGAGGTGGCGGATGGTCTCCTGAGGGATCTCCTCCCAGACCTGGACTAAAGCATCCGCCAACTCCTGGACAGTCTGTGGTGCAACGTGGCGTTGGTGGATGGAGCGAGACATGATGTCCCAGATGTGCTCAATTGGATTAAGGTCTGGGGAACGGGCGGGCCAGTCCATAGCATCAATGCCTTCCTCTTGCAGGAACTGCTGACACACTCCAGCCACATGAGGTCTAGCATTGTCTTGCATTAGGAGGAACCCAGGGCCAACCGCACCAGCATATGGTCTCACAAGGGGTCTGAGGATCTCATCTCGGTACCTAATGGCAGTCAGGCTACCTCTGGCGAGCACATGGAGGGCTGTGCGGCCCCCCAAAGAAATGCCACCCCACACCATGACTGACCCACCGCCAAACCGGTCATGCTGGAGGATGTTGCAGGCAGCAGAACGTTCTCCACGGCGTCTCCAGACTCTGTCACGTCTGTCACGTGCTCAGTGTGAACCTGCTTTCATCTGTGAAGAGCACAGGGCGCCAGTGGCGAATTTGCCAATCTTGGTGTTCTCTGGCAAATGCCAAACGTCCTGCACGGTGTTGGGCTGTAAGCACAACCCCCACCTGTGGACGTCGGGCCCTCATACCACCCTCATGGAGTCTGTTTCTGACCGTTTGAGCAGACACATGCACATTTGTGGCCTGCTGGAGGTCATTTTGCAGGGCTCTGGCAGTGCTCCTCCTGCTCCTCATTGCACAAAGGCGGAGGTAGCAGTCCTGCTGCTGGGTTGTTGCCCTCCTACGGCCTCCTCCACGTCTCCTGATGTACTGGCCTGTCTCCTGGTAGCGCCTCCATGCTCTGGACACTACGCTGACAGACACAGCAAACCTTCTTGCCACAGCTCGCATTGATGTGCCATCCTGGATGAGCTGCACTACCTGAGCCACTTGTGTGGATTGTAGACTCCGTCTCATGCTACCACTAGAGTGAAAGCACTGCCAGCATTCAAAAGTGACCAAAACATCAGCCAGGAAGCATAGGAACTGAGAAGTGGTCTGTGGTCACCACCTGCAAAACCAGTCCTTTATTGGGGGTGTCTTGCTAATTGCCTATAATTTCCACCTGTTGTCTATTCCATTTGCACAACAGCATGTGACATTTATTGTCAATCAGTGTTGCTTCCTAAGTGGACAGTTTGATTTCACAGAAGTGTGATTGACTTGGAGTTACATTGTGTGTTCCCTTTATTTTTTTGAGCAGTGTATATACACACACATTTTAAATACATTCCATAATATATATATTTTTAAATACATTATTTGGCCAATTTTAAATATGCTGTATCATAATTGTTTTAATTAAAGAATATTTCACGTAAAAAATATTCCGTATGGGTGTGTCTGTGTGTTTTCGTCTTCAAAGGGCTGTGTGTCCGCATGCCTGGCTGTGCATTTCATTTTCTCTTGAAGTACTTGTGTGTGTGTCAGCTTGCAGTATGTCAGTCAGACTGCTAGGCTTTATTAGCCTGTGTGTTTGATATATGTTAGCCCCTGTGACTTTGGATAAAAGCGTCTGCTAAATGGCATATTATATTATTATTATTATATTATGTCAGGCTATTGTGTGTGCTCGTGCGTGTGTGTGTATGCGTATGTGCGTATCACATGGATAGGTTGATCCCTAGGTATATCTCAACTCCTTTCATCCCTCTGATTAAAAGTCATTGCTGCTGTGAAATACACCCATGAGACCAGAGAGACAGACCACTAAATCACTTTTAAAGCCCCACTCTGTATTATAGTACTCCTAGTTAGACCATGGTCATAGACACTGCATGGCTGTTGAGACGTTGACCTAATGTCTGCGATTCTATCTTGGTTTGTGTGTGTGTGTGTGTGTTTACACACCCTTTTTTGTGTCCAGGCCCCCCTTGTTTCAGGATTGTATTGTGAGTAATGCTTGGTGTGATGTCTGTGTTTCACCATGACATTGTGATAGAAATAATCTGAATTATTTGGACTTGAGTTTAGTGTTGGTTAAATAAAATGACAAAGCATGACTCAGAGTGAGAGCTCATCATTTGGATGTGAATTGGTCAATTGGCTGAATTTCACCAGATAATTCAAGACACATCTAAAGAAGATGGAGTAATGTGCTGCCTCTCTCCCGGGTCTAAACCACCTTCAGGGTATATATGTCTGCACTTGCACTTTCAAAAACTGTGTAATGACGTGAGCTACAGATTTTTTGGGATAAATGTTTTTTTCCCCTCTCCAGTTTTTTATTCTGTAGCCCCATCTTGTGGCAAGGATGTGTAGTTCAAGAGGAAGTGTAGCCAGGATACAGTAACACGGAGATTAAAAAAGATATATGTTTTACCTATTACATGATATGACATGATATTGGATTCTGTCTATCTTGTTTGGTCAGAGAACGACGAGGCTGTGTATCTGTCCATCAGTGTCTCCTCCCACCTGTGACCTGGGTTTTCCTCTCCTGCCCTCCGAACACTCTTCTGATGTGAGTAGCCTACTTACAGGGGTCACTCTTTCACTATTTCTTATTCTCCCCCACATATATTATTGTATCAAAATTAGATGTCTTGAGCTGTCAGGCCAAACAGACAGAGTTAATCTCATTGAGAACGTTGTCAGAAGAGGACACAATTTCATAGCATATAACAGTATACAAATCATCTATGAGGAAATTGCTTTGAACATTAAAATGATTGAAGCCCTAATTGTAAATATGGTAATTTGGATCAAAGTAAGTGGTTAATCCATCCAGAATTTCGCTGTTCATTGTACTGCCCATGGTCTTCTCTCTTGCAGGTGTTAAAGCACACTTTGCTGAACGTGAGTTCCATTTTATTCACTAGAACAATATATTACTGTTTTATGTTATAGTGCTTCTGGGTCATGTTCTGTTGTCAGAAAATGTTTTGAAGAGGAATGAAACGGGGAGGTAATACCTGAACTTGTCCAATTAGAACACACATTCTCAGTTTCCGCTACATTGTGTCCTACTGAAAACAACCCACGTTTCTGTTAGCCCAGTGGCCATGTGATGATGATGCCACTTCCTGTGCCTCCAGAGTTTGATGGAGAGCTGGTCGGATGACAGCTGGAACTGTTGTCATAACCGGAGGAATTCTCGCCACGGTGATTCTCTTGGTTATCATAGCAGTGCTCTGTTACTGTAGACTCCAGGTAGGTGTGTACGTGTGTGTGTCTGTGTATGAGAGATCTACTTAGACTCACTACAGTCTCTATTCACTAATTCATTGTCCCAAATCACAACCTCTCTCCCTCTCTCTCCCCCCCTTTCCATCAGTATTACTGCTGTAAGAAGAATGGGTCAGAAGGGGACACCGGCTCCATCACGCAGCCCCACTTTGCCTGCAACGCATGCAGTGCACCCGGGGTGGATGGGGCGGCCGTCACCCCCCTCTTCACAGAGCCCCCTGCCTCCCATGCCACAGGGCCTCCCCGCAACTACTGCCCCACCTGCTCGCCCTACGAATCACCCTTCTACATCCGCACCACCGACGAGATGCGCAACGGCGGCGAGCGCATCACCTACATGCCCACGCACTATGAGAACCCAGCTCTCGCCCTGCCCTCCCTGCACGGCTCCCTGCTGAGCACCGGCCAGCATCGCAGCAACCCAGCACCGGACTTCTATACCAACACTCGCGCTATAAGTACAGAGGTGTGAACCACTTCATATGTGGTCCTGGTGGCTCAGTTGGTTGGAGCGCGCTACTTGCAACTCCGGTGTTGTGGGTTTGATCCCTGCATAGGCCATTTACTGTACACAGAATATTTGTTCATTTTCGCTTTGGATAAAAGAAACTGTTCAATTACCATATCTCTGCTGACCACTACAGAGGAGATGATGGAAAAGGAGCATTGAGAGACAACATGGAGCGTTGACCACTTGACCTGGTCAAACACTTCCTGGCTCTCTCTCTCTCCCTACACTGTGTCAGCTGGCTTCCAACTGGATTCGAGTAGACAAAAACTGTATTTTTTTTTTTAATGGATGTTTGTTGTTGTTTAAACACCCCTAGGCTCCTGTAATACAGAGGCAGAGAGCATCCCTTAGTGTTTAATTGCCTAAGGGGACAAGACCAAGACCTATACACTGTCTGGCGAGGTAGTGAGTGGGATTCCAATCTTCACTGTTTGAGGGCTATCTGTATTGTGGTTTCACCTGCACCTACTCTTGTCATTTCCCTGTATCTGCCAATAGAGACAAATAAAACGTGTATCTGGTATACTGTATGTTTTATTCTGAACTAGAAATTAAAGCTAACTGCATTTGAGTGATGGTAATCAGAAGATGAACAATCAAGAGTCTCCTAAGAGTAACGCAGCAAAAACAAAGAGACTACTTCAGAGCTTTCTCTATGCAAGTTCTATGCACTCAAACCCGAAACAGCTGGAGAGAAAAGCCTAACAATGCAGATGTCAATCGTGTATGTTTTTCTTTATCCAAATGTTTATCATATGTAACTGGAACTATTGAAAGACTGTTGTTTTCTGTTATTGAAAGATGTACTATGGCTACTTTTGAGACCATGGAATTTGATTCCATAATATAACGACTCGAATATTACAGTTAAAAGATAGTTTTAAAGTAAGGACAGAGGCATTTTGTAAGTGGGTGATGCAGAATTGCAGTTAATGATGATTTGGCACTTTGTCTCTGTAGCTGTGTTATTGAGTAGACTACCACTCTTTGCTCAGAGCACTGAAGCTACAGCACAGTTGAAATGAACATATTGTGTTTCTCTTTATTGACAGTGATGCAACAACTTGGAAATGTATATATTACCAAATGCATTGAAAGCATTTATATTTATTTGTTTGTCTCCTTGATTGACTGGCTGATGACTTTTGGGATTCGGCCACAATGTATTTTTAATTGGGACGTGCAAGTCTCGTATAATTTAGATGTAGTTTGTGCCATTTGGTGTCCACACTCTTCGGATCTCCTGATTGTTGATTCTATGAACTGTAAACATCCATGTCTTTACACATTTTAGTGTTTCTTTCAACTTGTGAAATATAATATTTATGTAATTGGTAACAAAATACATAATTATTAGCCCATTTATCTTATATGGCACTCATTTTAAACGAATATTAGACAACATTACTGGCCATGTATACTATTATTTTGCCCTCGCTGGTGTCTTTTTATGTTTTAGAGTGAAAAATATGTAAAAATTAGATTGGTTGAAACAGCAAAGCAAAAAACAAAGGACATCTATGATAGAGGTGATACTAATTTTGCTATATTTTTCTGAAACCGACCACATTTACTACTACTGTATTGAGCAGAAATGCCCTATGCCACATCATACATGTGACAACAGCAATGCTCATTAGATACAACAATACCAAGGTAAGCAGCCTTGGTATTAGGTCCCTACGCTGTTCCAATTCTTTGCACCAGTGCTAGTATTGTACTTGTTTTTTTGTCCAACATTGAATAAAGTAATACATATATTGAATACATACTAAAAGCAGAGGAGGTTGGTGGGAGGAGCTATAGGAGGACGGGCTCATTCTAATGTCTGGAAGGGAATTAATGGAATGGATTCAAACGTGATTTCCATATGTTTGATGTGTTTGATACCGTTTCATAAATTCCATTCCAGCCATTACAATGAGCACGTCCTCCTATAACTCCTCCCACCAGCCTCCTCTGAGTAAGCTGTAGATTGAATCAGGAAGCTGTTATAAAATTATTGGCCGTAAAAAAGCAGTTGTGTTAGGGTGTTGTTTCTGGTGTTTATTTATTCCCACGGGGGGTATGAAAAAAATAAAAATAATGTATGCACTCACTAACTGTAAGTCACTCTGGAAAAGAGCGTCTGCTAAATGACTAAAATGTAAAATGTAATATAAATGTATTTGCTCCTTAAAAAGGGGTGAAATGTGTGTGTCTGTTCAAAAGCTTCTATAAATCCAAACAAAGACCTTGAATTAGACAATACATTTCAATTGAGAATATCTACAGAATTACATGCCCCATAAGGACACATTTTCATTCTTAATTTTTGTTGGTTTAGGTTATTCATAAAATAATGGATTTTTAGAAAATGCTTAAACAAAAGGATGCTGTATGAAAAGAGAAACAAACTAACAAAATATTTCACAGTGTTAACTTTTGACAATTAAAGATTTATAACTGCTTGAAATGCCTTTGTTGTCCATATTGTGCACACACACACCAGTTTCCCTGCACATTGTATTTATGGTATTGGCACTGACCCTGGAACTTGCACCCTGTATATAGTTTACTTACTTTCTCATGTTCTTCTTATTTCTATTTGTTGTGTGTTTTTGTTCAATTTTTTTATTATTTTTTTTGTCTACAGCTACTGCATTGTTGGTTAAGAGCATGCAAGAAAGACATTTCACTGTACTAGTTAGTGCACATGCCAATATAAAATAGAAAACATGGAATACACACACACAAGGCCTGCTCAAAGGTAAATAGCTCAAACAAGCCCATATAGGCGACATCCAACTTACCAGTAGCTCTGGTGCCATGGTGCCAGAACCGGTTGGTAACCTAGAACACACTGGAAAGGCGTTAGGTTAGTGGAACCCAGAGGTCTGACCGAGACTCCCAGACGTTCCATGAACGCCTTCCAGACCTTGGACGTGCACTGGGGACCTCAGTCAGAGTCTATCCTCTGGTACCCCGTAGTGCCGGAAGACGTGTGTAAATAGGGCCTCCGCTGTTTGCAGAGCCATGGGGAGACCGGGCAGTGGAAGGAGGCGGCAGGCTTTAGAAAAGCGGTCCACAACGACCAGGATTGTCACACCCTGGCTCTGGGACTCTATATGTTGAGCCAGGGTGTGTTCATTCTGTTGTGTTTATATCTATGTTGGCTAGAGTGACTCCCAATCAGAGGCAACGAGTGTCAGCTGTCGTTGGTTGTCTCTGATTGGGAGCCATATTTAAACTGTTTGTTTTCCCTTTGTGTTTGTGGGTTTTTGTTCCGTGTTGGTCATTGTTACCGTGGACTTCACGAGTCGTTTCTTGTTTTGTTTATTGGTGTCTATTATCACTAAAGATAATAAAGTTAACCATGTTCGTTCATCACGCTGCGCCTTGGTCTATTCAATACGACGATCGTGACAGAAAAACCCACCATATAAGGACCAAGCAGCGTGTCCCGGGGCAGAACTTGGACTGGACATGGGAGGAAGCGCCGGGAGAGGCCCTGGCGAAAGAGGAGCAGCGGCGTCAGCAGTGTCAACGTCGGACAGGCGAGAGGCAACCCCAGAACATTTTTAGGGGGGGGCACACGGCATGGACGACGGGGCTGACGGAGGCAGAAAAGGGGTGGATTCAGAAGGCCACCAGGTTACGGGTACACCGCCCTGTACGTCCTGTGCGGATGCCTCACACAGAGTGTGTGAGGGTAGGCATTCAGCCAGGACGGGTTGTGGCCGCTCTTCACTCCAGGTCTCCTATCCGTCTCCACAGCCCGGTTCGGCCTGTCCCTGCTCCACGCACCAAGCCTACGGGGTGCGTCGCCAGCCCAGTCCGGCCTGTCCCTGCTCCACGCACCAAGTCTACGGTGCGCGTCGCCAGCCCGGCCCGGCCTGTTCCTGCCACTCGCACCAAGTATACGGTGCGCGTCGCCAGCCCGGCCCGGCCTGTTCCTGCCACTCGCACCAAGTATACGGTGCGCGTCGCCAGCCCGGCCCGGCCTGTTCCTGCCACTCGCACCAAGTCTACGGTGCGCGTCACCAGCCCGGCCCGGCCTGTTCCTGCCACTCGCACTAAGCCAGGGGTGCGAGACGTCAGCCTGGTAAGGCCCGTTCCTCCTCCACGCACCAAGCCAGGGGTGCGAGTCGTCAGCCTGGTAAGGCCCGTTCCTCCTCCACGCACCAAGCCAGGGGTGCGAGTCGTCAGCCTGGTAAGGCCCGTTCCTCCTCCACGCACCAGGCCAGGGGTGCGCGTCGTCAGCCTGGTAAGGCCCGTTCCTCCTCCACGCACCAAGCCAGGGGTGCGCGTCGTCAGTCCAGCACAACCCGTGCCTGGGTCACCGGTGCCTGGTAAGGTACCGGTCAACTGCTCCACTATGGAGCTGAAGCTAACCGCTCCTGCTAAGTCCAGTTCAGCTCCAGCCAGCGGGGCCAGACTGGACCAGGGGCGCTATGGGGGGTTTATTGGAGGGTGGGTGGCAAGGCCGGAGCCAGAACCGCCGCCGAGGAGGTATGCCCACCCAGCCCTCCCCTGTTTTGTTCAAGTTGAGGCGCGGTCGCAGTCCGCGCCTTTAGGGGGGGGGGGGGTACTGTCACACCCTGGCTCTGGGACTCTATATGTTGAGCCAGGGTGTGTTCATTCTGTTGTGTTTATTTCTATGTTGGCTAGAGTGACTCCCAATCAGAGGCAACGAGTGTCAGCTGTCGTTGGTTGTCTCTGATTGGGAGCCATATTTAAATTGTTTGTTTTCCCTTTGTGTTTGTGGGTTTTTGTTCCGTGTTGGTCATTGTTACCGTGGACTTCACGAGTCGTTTCTTGTTTTGTTTATTGGTGTCTATTATCACTAAAGATAATAAAGTTAACCATGTTCGTTCATCACGCTGCGCCTTGGTCTATTCAATACGACGATCGTGACAAGGATGGTGGTGTTACCTTAGGAGAGGGGAAGATCAGTTAGAAAATCAACACTTAGGTGAGACCATGGTCGTTGTGGAACTGGTAAAGGTTGTAACTTACCAGCTGGGAGGTGCCTAGGTGCCTTACTCTGGGCGCACACTGAGCAGGAGGAGACATACACCCTCACGTCCTTA